TCAACGACAAATCCAAGTCCCTTCCAGGCAGCAAAAACCTGATCAATCGAAAGCGGGTTAGGGGCCTTATTGAGCCGATAGCCCGCCTACTGGAAGTGAAGATCAGAATCCGAGGACAGCCATATGGTGTTCGAATAACCCCGAGGACAAAATATGAATATGTTTGTTCTGACAGTCAAGCTAGACAACAGCTTGGATCTCACTTGAGAATCAGCCGTATTTTCGGTGGACAGTTGGCTTCGCAAGACTATCAGAATCAATTGACGGAAGGCTGCCGCCCCGTGGAATACATGGTCGCGCGATTTCCAACCAGAACTATGGAGCCTGATTTTCCCAACGAAGTCAGGATTTCAGTTGTCAAGATAGCAAACAATAAATATGTGTCTGGTATCAGAATCGCACGTTCGCCACCTGCTGCGGCGTTTCCTTCTGAGATAGGCTATTTTATGCCAGGAGAAACCATAATTCGACTTCCAGATCAGGATGAAATTCGAACACTTGAAGTTGTCTTCTCAGCAACCGGTTTAAGAGGGATTAGGTTTATCTATAGCAGTGGAGCCTCTTCCCCATGGGCAGGACAATTTAGAGGAGAAGGACTAGCAAGAGGCCTCATTCAATTGGAAAGCTCAGCGGAGTATGATATTATTGCAGGTCTTGATGTATGTGGAATCACCGATTATATTACTCTAATTACCTCACTAACCAGTACAACGTTAGTACTATAAGATCATTGAGCTGGGACTCGTCGCCAAAAATGGAGATACGGCTGAGGAACCAAACCGTATCGTATCAAGGCTTTGGAGCCCAATGGTTCCAAACTCTCGAAATATTCGGATAACTCCTCTTAGGCCGTCCTTGAATGTGCGTCCATTTGAACCAATAATTGATATGAACTTTGCAGGCTCGAATGGGTGGCTGCTGCCAATGTTAAAGAGAGTCGTAGTCCACATGGTCTCTGACTTTCAATCGGTTGTTGGGTTCTCGTTTGTCTTTGAAAAGCACACTCTCAGCCTCGGAAAAACAGGAGAGGCTGAGCTTTCTGCAGTGATCGATGGCCCTGGGGGTGAGCGAATTACGAATCTCCAAGTGTTAGGTTATGAGTTCCGCTATGAACAGAGGATGCGTGGCTGCCAAGTTAGTCTCACATCTTCTCCTACGCTCGGCATTATAGTTATTGACCAAGGCTCCTCCATAGATTGGTACCAATTACAGCCGGAATATTGTGTTTTCTGCAATCCCTCGCTTCCCTCACTTGCAAAAAGACTCTGAGCTTTTAGAGCTGCCAAAAAACTATTCGGTTACTGGGCTCATCGCTACGAAGGATGTGAGTTACCCTCTTGGTTAGAAGGTATATAGAAATGATCTTTGGATTGATCGTATTAACTACTAGGCGGATGACAACACTCTCCAAAAACTTGGCCTCCAGGGTCACCCAAGCAAAAATCATTCATCTTCGGAATCGAAACGTATTCGAGACCTGAGTCAAGAACTACGTGAATCTCAGGTGGAATATGACAAAGTGTTTGCCGTTACTATCAATGTCCTAACTCAGGGCGACTTTTGCACCTACGCACCTTTTGAAAGCGTGCGCCGAATTACGGCATCCACAGGGTCCGAGGGGCGTTCCAGGACCCCATGTAATGTCTCCGGTTTAAGATTTGACTATCACGACGAATGGCACTGTCCTACAATTGTTGGTCAGTGGATGAATGAATTGGATGCCTTTGAGCTAGATCAAGGCGAGAGGATCGAGGGCTTAACCGTTTGGCTGTCTACAGAGTCATGCTATCGAACAGTAAACCCGGTGGAGCCTGGGAGAGTGATTGCTATTCGAATTGATAGCTCATCGAAACGGCATAAAATATTCAAGGCTGATAACGTTGACATCTCTTTGGAAGAGTACAAGCAACAGCAATACCAGTCAAATCTGCGAGAAAACTTAGTGCGTTCTTTTTACAACCCAGCACATGCACCATAACTATGTTATAACTATATATCGGTGAGGCTGACTTGGCTTTTATCGAATAGACAGCGATTTCATGGATTCTAAATGGCACGTTTGACCGAGTGCGAGCGGTTATCCAACTCGTAAATCCTGCGATACCGCCTCCTATCCTGATCCCTCAGCACGATGTTCCGTTCGACCAAGCTCAGAAGCTATTCTTCGAAATCACAGACCAAACTAGCCGCCTGGATAAGTTGGTCCAAATGGTAGCACATGTCCGGAATAACGAAGTTCTGGGCGTAAGTTTCGACTACCAGTCAGGATGCAGGAAATCAATGGGATATACAGATATTCCAAACTTAATAGAATATTCTATTGGCCTAACAGACTACGAAGATATTCTAGTCTTTGAAGTTGAAATTTGGAGAGAAAGGATAATAAGAATTGAGGTAAGAGTTCCTCGTAAGACGTCGCTCGTCTTGTGCGCGCGCTAAAGTGTGATTTCCAGTTTGAAACTAGGCGATCTAACGGCGACCCTTCATCGTTGGAAGGGACCAGGAAGTCATTATTCCGTTCCCCAGGGAATAAAGGTGATTGGACATCGACATGGTGCGCAACTGAAGCTATCGCGGCCAAGATGCCTGTTAAACAGGCGCTTAGTTGCCAGTATATTTTCCCTGAAGATGCAAAACTCGTCGGGTTGTATGTTGCTTGCCAGGAGTTTAGCCGTATAGGCGGTGTCTTCCAATCTATGGATATTTGAGACTTCAGGAAAACTGGCTTCGGAAATTCAGCGGTGAGGATGAATGGAACAGTATGCAACAAGTGCTTCTGAATAATAGGGTGAAATTCACTTTTTCAATTGCCAGGGTCATTGCTGAGCCGGCTGTAAAACAAAGGAGAATGTTGCTGTCCGGCCTTGGACATGTGTGAGATATGCATCCAATTCGTGGTCTTCGGTAATGAGAAAGGAGATATCACTCCCGTCGTCGTCTCTCACTGTGCCTTCTATCCTCGCCACACGCGCATCTTTGAACTTCACTAAAGCAAGCATTCGCAGCTCAGCCACAGTCCGCGTATTAAGCTTGCTGATCCAAGTTTTAGCATTCTGATGGATCTGAGACTGGGGGTGGATGCGGAGGAAAACAGGAACTGGTACAAGGGCCTGTGAATTAAGGATTGGACTGGAGAAATCGAAAGGTTGCGCGGCTGGCTGCTGATGAATGGCGAAAGAAGGGTCGTTAGTTGCGGCCTGGATCAGTGACGGATCTATCTGGATCCCGCCAAGTTCGCCGCTAGCCATGCGAGTCGATGCAAGCGCTTGAGATGCCAGTGAAGTAACCCCACTAGGAACCGCGGTGGAGGTTCTAGCTCGAGGAGCTCGGCTGGTATTAGGCCCCCGTCGAGTTGCCTGTCGAAGGCTCGGATCACGCTTAGCTTGATCGTCTCGCAGTCGTTTCATAACATCTCGACAGAGCACTTCTACTGCTTTAACTTTGGCTGCGTGTTGAGGGTCCGCTGGCCCTGGGGAAAGGATACGTTGTAAAATGTCAGAGTCCTGAATCCAGCGCTGTTTGAGTTCCTTCCAACGGTCGTCACCCATTTCAATCTTGCTTGTGAAATGATCAGCTCTCAGTGCGTCGTAGAAAGCATTCCGTATTTGTCTGCTTTCCTCCGGGTTAATCCCCAAAGTGTTCTTCGCCTCTGCTATGGTCATCCTGGTTTCTAAAGTACGCATTCGTTTCGTGACATCGGTGCAAACAACGTCCAGCGCAAGCGTCTTTAGTTCCACATGAACATTATTTGCCCAAAACATAGTCTGCAGATGTGGGGATTCCCGTATCAGCCTATCCTTCGCTGCCTGCCACTTCTCTGGCCCGGCAATCGTCTTTTTGATAAACCCAGCTTCCTCACATATTCGCTGAAATTGATCACGAATCTCTCGGTACGTCGCATCGGTCAGACACAGGTATTTCTTACTCTCATCAAGCGTGGTTTCGGATGGGAAGCGCGGGGGCCCAGGAGGGTCGGCAGGCAACCCTCCCCAACCCCGAGTGCGGCGCCGTCGCTTCTTAGTAGCCCATCTCTCGTCACTCTCCGCCCGCAATTGAGCCAGTCTCTCTTGTCTCTTCACCATGATATCCGCATCAGAAGACGAAGGAACCGCCTGATGCACCGCAGGACCTGCTTGTTCGCCGGGAGCATCCACCGAAGCCCCCTGAGTCGTCCCAATGTCAGATGGAGCCGCTTCTTCAGCGCCGGTTGGTGGAACGCTCTCTCGGTACGACTTCATGCCATTCGGGACTCTCAGCAGCCATCTGTTCTTTGCACGTAGTCGCATCAGCCCACGCTCCCCAATCATATACCCTTCGTCGTTTAGAATTCGCAGCATATCCCGCTGCGTAACATTGTTCTCCCATAGCTCTTTCACTCGCGCCACAAGGTTCGGACTTTTATGCGCAGGATTGTGCTTCGAGGGGAAACCCCAGCGTTTAAACTGTGTCTGGAAAGCTCGCTTACTGGATACATAGAGAGGCAAGGAAAAGACGAGCAGAGACAAGTTAGTAAGTCTCCTTATCAGTAGTGCTCCTATATCTGCGGATTTAAGGGGGGAACAGGGAAATCTCCGGGCCGATGCCTTCTTTTGGAAATTGCCAAAACACACCTCGGTGCAAATTGATGCGACGTTTTCATATACTCCATGATATCATCCAGAGACTTTTTCTCTTCAATGTACATCCTGTAACAGGCGTCTCGCTTGCCCTCCCAATCGTACACCATGTTTGCGGTTATGCTGATGGGCGTATCCCTGGGCTGCGTGGTCCACCGTAATGCCTTGCTGGCGATGGAAGAAGAGGTTGCTTGATCCGCCGTAGCACAGGCTGGCCGTTGAGTCAGGTGATACTGGCACTAGCTGCTTGCGGAAAGGCCTTGGCGGGCCGTTGGACGTTTATTATATAATCAGTGATAGCATCATCGATTGGCCGGCTTGCCCTCCGGGGGACCTCGGCAAGGCAGCACAAGCATCATGGCCTCTCATGGAGCTGGTTTCGTGCAGCGTGGAAACGATCGTTGAATTCAAGGAATAATATGGATTCTCCAGATGCAGATGCTATTCTAACACGATAAAGCAGGAGCACAACAAGAGCGAAGTGGCTGCCTTATACTCCCCTTTCGAGGCTGACATCCCCATGTAACGATCAGCAATTTCTCTCCGCGAAAGCGAGAGATACATGGCAAGGGAGTTCTTAAATGATAGACAGGAACTTCGCAACCCGTACATATATCGCCAGGAAGGAAAGGAAAGACCACGAAGAGAAACGAAATCAGCAGTAAAAAAACAGCGGCAAAAAGAAAGAAAACAAAAGGCACATCCCAGTTCAACGACGAATAACTCCGATCGCACCATTCAGCCAACGCCATAAACCCCATGTGTGTCCTCCTGCCAAACCAGGGCGAAACCAAGGACGAGTGTCGGGGGGCTCGTAAAACACAAAGGCGTAGATTCATCCGTCACGCGTAACACGTCTCTAGCTCATCTTTTTAATCTTCTTTCCCATCTTGAAGATCCGAGTCCGAAGCCATGTCAGAAACAAAAGCCATGCCGTTTTTGGGCTTTTAAACCCGAATTTCGTTCCTCCCTCACCCCCATACCTTGCACCACTACTTGAATAATATCCAGAATCACCATGGGCGGATCCCTCGTGATGGGCTGCCTTTTCACTGTTTCTGTGATTTCGGAACGTAAAATCTGTTAAGCGCGGGGTCCTCCCCGACCCTTCATGCTGTTCTTTTTGTTCCCGCCGTAGCTCTTTATCTTGCGCTTTCATATTCCGTTGCTCATGCTTACGCGACTTGGCAGCCTCACGATCTTCAAAAGCCTGCCTGGCGGCCTGGACGGCTGCTGCCCGCGCCACGGGGTCTGTAGTGCTTGGGCGGCTCTTAGAGCGGAATGGAAATTCAAGCGAGCTTCGAGAGATAGGCGATATTGTTTCTCGCGCGCTATTGTTGTCCATTTGGCGGCTAAACGAGGAGGAGGCTCTTCCGACATTTGTCTGTGACGCGGCGTGGGGGAATGTGAGATTCTCTCGGTGAATATTGAAAGAGGGACGCGATTCCATGTTGGAGTTTAGGGAAGAAGATTGTCTGGGGGGTTCTCGATTACTCGAGGTGGCTTGGCCATCGAGATCAGGGAACTGGTGCGTGTCAGGGGAGTTGTCAGTAATCGAGTTTTGATGAGAGCGATTGACTGGGGTGCGAGGGCGCGGGGTCTGGCGCATGGGATGAACATAGTGCGACCCGGGCTTGTTTGAAGCAGACATTGTCATAGTCACAGAGCCCTGGGAATTGCCGCTTATAGAGCGTTGATGGCTGTTTGACCCCGCCAAGCGCGTTGCAGTGACGTACGCATCGCCATATCTTTGGTCTCTGTCTAGGTTCGTGTATATTCCCAGTCCTTCGTTTTCGACGGCGGTGAGATTCAGGTCGAGAGACGTTGATCGGTCCTTTTTGAGATGCGGAAGGATATGGACCTTGTGCTTACTCCTAGCCTTCTTATCCAACATGTCGGGGCGATACCCACTGGCCAAGGTCATCTCAGCTTGTGCAGAGTCTGTTGAAGAAGGGGATCTGTATGACCGTGTGCTGTATTTCGAAGGGGAAGGGTTGGAGGCGTCTTTGAGAGATGGAAGAGAGCTCGAGAAGCGTCCGGGACCAGCACGAACGTCATCCTGATCCAAGAAGTTTCCCGATGATTGGGACCTTTGAACGAGCGCAAGGGTGAGCATAAAATGATAAGCGGACGGGGACAACCATGGACGAGCAAACCTAATCGGCTTCATCCTCTGCCTTCTCGACGTTAAGACACCGCTCCCGTCACCAATCTTCCCCAGATAGTCGATAGGCATGATCGCGGCGTGTACATACAATGGGATACTCGGGCGCGTCGTCGTCGGTCCATCAATGTCATCCCCAGTCGATGAAACAAAACACCCCCGATTCGGATGCTACAACGACTTCTTTATCTTCAAATACGGCATCGCGCGTCCGGGTCTGTCGGTAAGAATAATAAGAAGTACGTATTAATAAGTGTCTTAAAGATGCTTTCTGCGCAGGTCTTTGCAAACGGATGGCTGAGGGCAGAGTTGACGTAATGACACAGGCGATGCGGACAGGCTAAACACACAGCAGCAAAGTCGGAGACTGGGTTTCGTTCAACAGACCATGAAACAGGCCCTAGGATGGTGATAAGGATACAGCAATAACCAAAGTCCAAAGCAACACAGATGATGTTCAGATGAGAACACAAATGTGAATTTTTTGGAGATGGGAGAGATAGTGGTATGCTTTTAAATGAAGATCTGGGAAAACGGGGCCGAGAAAACAAAGAAACTTCACTGCGGTCTCGGAGTGGGGAGGAACACTGAACGCTCAACAGCGCGAAGTTTGCAGAGCCAGGGCGACGGAAGTGGCACAGAGACGCCAGCGATTGGTAAACCTCTCACAGCAGAGAGAAAAGAGACGTGGAGGATGGTATTTCTACCTAAATTCAAAAGAGCATCCACATCCACACATCCAGATCTCTCCAGGCGTGGCGGCGGCCTCGTTTCTTTTGGCGGGTTTCGCTGGTCCTCGCCGTCGATAATTGGATGCGTGGGAGAAACAAACGTATCCTCAGCCCCGGAACCCCGAGGCGGCGTGCGACGACATAAATCAATGCACTGTGCCAAGGGAAGCCCAGGCGCACGCTTCGTCCAGTCGGTCGACGATCAGGGCCTGTCGCTGGAAACAGCAAACTCCACGGGCCTTTAAAATAGATCCCCCGTGCATATAAGACACATACAGATACATATACGGAGCATACATCGGCTACACCTTCAGCCTCTTGCTTAGGGTCTGCTATAAGTGAGGTGACTGATGGCTGTTTAAAAACATCTTTTTATCATGTCGCTTCTGCCCCTCGGCAAGGGTATGGTAACCGGGTAACTATGGAACTTGCGGAAGACAAAAACCTTCACACCTAAAAAAGCATCAATAGTTCCAGTGTTAGTGCGAGGATTTGCTCCGCTCTCGAACTCATTCCCAGCCACACGCACTCCGCAAAGCTCGCTGACCGCAACTGAATGTGGGAGGGGGTCGCAGGGACCTGGTCATAAATTTTCTCGGAGCATGACGACCCAGCTCGTAGTGGGATTCTCCAGACATCATCATCCAGGGCCCCCCACGTAGTTAACTATGTAACTCCCTGCCAGCTGATAAAATAAGCACAAACGAAGCGATCGGATGACTATGCTGGGAGTGCAACCTGTGGTTTTGCCACAACTTACCGATGTATCTCCGCTCTCCATTCGCTACTCCTCCGTGCTCTTCGGTCTCATACAACCAACAATCCGAATGGCGGGGTTGCATTCCTGTGATTGTGCTTGCGGCCCGGAACTCCATATTCCCCCTCCCTTCGAAGGTCCTCGGACAATAATTCTAAGGCTCCTGGCTCCCCAGGCTTCTCTTGAAGCATATCCATCCACTGGGCGGAATGGGATGCTTCATTCGGCGACGCGCGATCCCAACCAAATCAGAGCAGCAGAGAGCACTCCATATTGTCGGGTGCTGCTCGGGGCTCCACCACTAAAATAGAATAAGATTAGTGGATTCACACCCTCATTATACAAATTTTGCGGGCGCTGTGGCTCTGGTGCTAATATTTCTTATCACTGATGCTATATTCTTTCTGCTCTAACCCCAAGGTTATTTGCTATCCACCTCCCCCTCAAGAACATATGGGTGCGTGTGATGGGATAATTTCAAATAGAAAGATAATGCTGCATTACTGCTTCTGTTACTGCCTTCTCAGGATTTTCAGATTCTTTTTAATTCTCTGTGTAGTTGTTACATTGCAGCCAGTTGGAAATCTTTCTTCTTGTTTTACTGATGATTGTGAGGTTAGAAGAATAAGTCTTTATTTACGGAGTACTGACTAAAGTACTGTACTCCGTAGTTGTCTTGGGATCCACAGCTTTCACATTCAAATGTTGTCTGCAGTAACACCCATGATGAATATCACTAAGATCCAGATATTCTGAATCAACCCTCATTTTGCAAGCAAATGCTCACATGAAAGATCTTAAGCTTCCTGAAATCAGCAAGTCGACAGACAGAAAGAATAAACCATCAACAGTGAGAAATATTATTATCAGGGCCATGCAGTGTCAGAAAGTTTGTTTGTAACACTATGACCACGCTAATCCTAATTTTGGTTTTGTTGTGTCCCAAGAAATATCTGTAACCGATTTGCAAGTTGTGCTTGACCTTTATCTGTCACGCACACAGCCTTTAGCCCACAATAAAGAATCATAGCTAAAAGAATGGGTGCCTATCTTGATCCATGGAACGTCTTTACAACCCGGAATGACATTTTTACCTAGGACTCTGGAGCACAAGGGCGGCGTGCTCCGGGAAGAGGGGATGACAACACAGTATCATTTTGATCCCTTTTTGGCGCTTGGCACCACTGGGCGTCAAGTAGGCTAGGCAAGCTTTCATGCCCGAATTGTAAAAAGGCTTCTCTAACTCCACAGAGCATGTCGGCTAATTCCGACATCATCTCTTTATTTATTTTGATCTTCTTTTCCTCTCTTCAATATGCCCGGCACATCAACTTCCTTGAGATACATCTTTCAACAGTTGTGACGTGGGACCTCCCACCAGAATATGGCGAAAGTCAGATCAAAGCGAAAGATGGAAAACTAACGCCTGGGTCTCCAGGTTGAATCCAGACTGGTCTGCGTACTTAAACTTGCCGAAGTTAAGGCGGCCTAAGAACGATCAGCACTGTTGACCTAAAGGATCCAAGGAGCTCATTTACCATTCTGGGTGATATAGTCGTTATCACTAAAACTGATCAGGAAATATTCGTGCTTTTTGTGATGTCGACGATCCCTTCGATCGACGGGAACTCGCGCAAGACTCTCCCACTTCTCGTTGAGCAGGAATCGATCTTGCTCACCGCCGTTATGGAGACCAAACTTCGCCAGCTCTGAAGCGAGGTTGTAGTCGATAAAGGGGCAGTACTCAACGGGCCTTATTCCTGCCTTTAGGACTCCAGTCGACGATGCAATTGAGCCGTTGACTCTGTCGTACTGGTACGACTTGATGTCTGTCGTCCATCGAGATTTAGAGATGATATCCGCCTGGCGATACACCGAGCGGGATTCTGATTGACCATGGCCAAAGCCGGAATCCCGCGCCAGAATCATCAAGTCTCCTGTGGGAAGGTAATGGATTTCCGATTGCGATGCAACCAATGTGGCTTTCTCGGGGTCCTCCTCCGTGTAGTCTACATACGTTGGCAATGTTACCGCGTACTCATGCACATACCGTTGTTTCCTCCCAGAAATATCATATTCGAGCAAACGCGCCTGCTTTCTATTCCGCTTCTTCGGCCCCCCTTCCTGGTTCATGCCAGACTGAAGCATAACGAAGAGTTTTTTCCCGTCAGGCGAAATCGTCAAGGCTTCAAAGCCTTGATTATTATTGCGTCCGCATTCAGGATCTTCGGGAACAGGTATTCGGTCGGGGTCATATATTGGGGGTGACGCAGCACTGAAGCTAAGTGTGTTGTTACGGCGAGGAAGGTATGCAGCCGGCGGTTGGATGGCTTGCAACATCCGCCCGCGACGCGAAAATTTATAGACATAAGGACCGTATTCGTCCGAAACCCAAAATGAGCCATCACGACCCAACGCAAGACCTTCGCAATCTAAAGAGATACGGCGTCCACCTGGTCCTGCACCACCGAACCCGTCGCCATTGATGGTCGCTCCTGGTAACGGAGGGAATCCCGGAAATGAAATAAATCCTGTGGCGTCGGCATCAATTCCAGTGGTAGGAGTACCATCTGGCCCTGTGAGGAGAATCGTGTCGAGATACTTTATTTGGAGATTTGGTTTGGATGGGTTTTCGGCGCTGGCCGTGGGTGCCAGAGTAAGCTTCAAGCTCAATTTCTGGACTCTTGCTTGCACATTCAGGGTACCATTGGTGTTCCTACGCTCCCATGTTAGTGGAACAGGCCTTATATCTTCACAAGGGATGCTCGTCTTCATACCAGCCGCGGTCTGGCAATGCCCACGCAATACCTTCGTATGATCCATCTCGTTTTCTCTGCCACGAAGATTGCTCTACAGCTATAGCGCTGCCGATACCGCCGAGTGTATCACCGTATTTATCTACCGCGTCTGAAGGGACGACTCCGTAGCCCGCCAGACCGTGGTATTGATATGTATGTCCGCCGCAGGTTGTTTCCCCCACCACTGGAAGATCTTTCGGTGGATATACCCTTCCACCCGACACAGCATTTGAGAGGGAAAGAAACCAGAGCAGAGAGCTCAACGAACAGTTCCATAGCGGCGCCATTTTGCAGTCGGAATGGCAAGCGGGGTTCAGAGTGCTTTTCCTTTTCTTTTTTTAAAAAAAAGAAAAAAGTGGCCGCTCTGGGAAATGTGTTCCCCTTTATGAGGGACGAGGGCAGCGAGCTCTTTTGCTTGGAATGAGCCTTGTGCAGCTCAAAATTGGACTTTGATTCGCCTTGAGCAACTAGCATTCTTGTGCTTCAACTAGCTACATATTGATCCGTATGGTGAAGAAGGACGCTGCACGTGTCTCTTTGCCCCCAGAAGAGCTCCCGTACTTTCTACATACATTAGGAAATGCGCCTAACGCGTCCCTTGTAAGTCGGCTTCGGAGTGACCCTCAATCTAGGCGAATATTCCAAAAGTTTGGAGTCCTAACCGAGCACCACTCGAGCCGGAACCCCTGTAGCATCTAGAGTTCTATCGTAAATGGTAGTGGGCGCAGGTATCTTGGGAAATACTCTTCCCTCACGACCCGTCTTCCTTGCTCCACCCAATGTCACTGTCAAGGACGGGGATGTTGTCCGGCCCAATGATGTTCGCTTTTGATGTCACGTTGGACCTGTTGTGGAGCGCTGGCGATATGGTTTCTTTTTCTTTTTGCCCGTCGCTGGCCACAAGATGAGTTGACCTGAAAAGCCATCATTGATTTCTCCTCTGCCCAATCTTGCACCCTGTGCTCCGTAAATGTGAAAGGTATTGTACTGCCGCTTCGCTCGACTCTCTCACTATCATTTCGACTTGAAAGTTGAAAGGCAAAGTTAACTACATACTTATAGAGCCGGCAGTTACCGCCATTCCGACGTACTAAATATGTGACGGAGGTTACCCGGAGAATTTTCTTATTATTGTACATAGGTTTTGATATTAATGGCTAAGATCAACCCGTCTGCTTCGATGTGACCATAAGTGATCCGGGTGGCATTGTCAAATGATATGTCAGAGCGCGCCGGATTTATACAAATATTAAGTTCACTTTCCATTTGTCCCCATTAAGCCTGTTTGGTAAGGACCGTTCAAACTCTTCCGCACTCAATATACAAGGGGATAATTATAGGGCTTTTAAACGCCTTACTCCCACGTGGTCGGCATGGACGAAAACTGTTTTGAGCTCATTCCCAGATCTTCGAAGACTGCGTGATCATCTACGAAAAAAGAATGAGTATATCGCCTTACAACAGCGGCGCTCGGAAACCTACCTCGAAGTGGAGAAGCTCGAACTTCATTTTCATGCTCCAGCTGCTCAAGCTCTTCTCCAGCTTCTACTTTTTCGCTCGGTTTGTTTTCAGTCATACCGCCTTTACCAAGTTCACCTCGTGCCTCTCCTATCATAAGGAATTGGGCATTAGGGTAATTAATGAACTTGGGCTCCAAAGGGACCCAACGGAGGTCGCGAAACCCATCCAAAATCCTATCATGCGTTAGATGCTGGACTCAAGAATAACCACAGAAATACACTTACTCCTGGGGGTATTCCGGAGGTTTTGGAAGCCGCGCCATCGACGGCCCAGGAAACTTCGGGCTTTTGGAGCTGACAACAAAAGAGGCCTTTTTCTTGAGGCCGAAATCTGTCTGGATTTCGGATGGTTCCCCAGGAATGGTGAGAATGTATGCTAGGTGAGAACTACGAGTTGTGGATGTAATTGCATAGACACCTTCGGCCAGAGGAGTTGCGCTTGGAACTTCCTGATGTCCCTGAGTTTTCGTTTCGTATTCCGTGCCCAAAAACGATTCTCTGATCGTTTTGAGAGTGGAATTCGCCTTCTCCACGAAGCCCATGTACCGCTCACGAGGAGACGATGGCAACTGTTTCTTTGGGAGGACAAGAAGTCGGCAATTAGGATCATCTCCAATCGGGCCTTTGCCTAGCTCCGCACCTAGGGGTAGAGGCCGCAGAACAATAAAACTCCGCGCAATGTCTTCGAGACTCTCTGGCTCTTCAACACCAACACGTGAACGAAAGAAGAAGTAGATAATTCCCTTCTCCAAAACGTTCGATGGTATTTCTTCTTCCCTGTCTACGGATCTTCTTACTGCGGTCTCTGGTTGTGTGGCCGCTCCTCCCTTACCCTCCTCCTTGGTTTCTTTCTGCAATCCCTTCCCTTCACTAGATGCCTTCTTTTTATCTCCGTTTATATCATGTCCATTCTGCTGCTTCTCAGCCTTTTTCAATTGGTCCTTTGGGGGCTGGCTTGGCTGCTGGTCTGCAGGAATAGCCTCCTCTTTAGCATGGGGCTCGTCTCCCACCTTCTTTCCACGTTTGACCTTGGCCCCCCCCTCATCAGTGGAGCCTTTCCGCTTGCTGCCAGATGCCCTTCTAGTTGCTGCACGTGCAGTTTGGTGCAATGCCTCGTTCGCTTTCACGGCTGCTTGACGAGTTGATGTTCTGGTGGGCATTGTGCAAAAATACGATGAACCAATGGAACAGGACTTGAAAAGAAATGTCAATTGTATAGCATCGAGGACATCAGGATTTTACCACTTTTCAGCATTGTCAATTAAAAGGAAAAACCTCATGGAATGGCAGTCTTTCAATATCGAGGTGTTGGCCTCTGACGTCATGGATGGCCAGCGGGATGTCACGTGACTATAACTCGTACCGGAGATTTGAGGAGGATAATCTTGATTCACGCTTGAATGTTGGCCTTTTTTATGGCCAAGAAATTAGTGACTTGCACGGAGAAGTACTCTATTCTATGGGTGGATGATCTGAAGAAGTGAAAGTGCTAAATGGCGTTCGTCTCAGCTATTGGAAGCACACCATAATACGCAGTACCCACGAGGAGACTCAGTCAATATCCATAGAATCACTCCCGACGGCACTTGACTCGTGCTTTTCATGGTTCCAATGTGCGGATGCTTCAGATATGAAGGGCCCATCTGAGAAGCGGTTTATCGGGTCAAGGTCCAGGTCTGTGTCAGTCTCGAAGCCGGAATATTCCATTTTAGGTCTCTTGGCCATAAGGAGTGCCTTCTTAGATTCTTGACGATTCAAACTCGGATGGCCGGAACGTAGAGACGATCTTTGGTGTAAAGAATCCAACGAAGGCCTCGATTTCCTCTTTCGGCTTTTCTTTAGACGAGCAGTGTCGTTTTCAGAGTCACAGCGTAAGGAGCGCATCCAATCGATCAATTTACTGTGTGACACATCATCGTGGTTTATCCGCTTCGGACCTGTCCATTTGGAATTCGTCGGTTGCTTTGAACCGGGCTCTGCCTCCTCGCCCCCGTCTTCGTATTGATATGGCCAAACCACTTCAAGATCAGCATCGTATCCAGAGTCTTGGTTAGATATATCTTCGATAGTGAACGCGCCGTCGAACTCGACACTCAAGCGACGTTTACGAGGGGCCACGGAGTCAAGCGATTGCTTCCGTTTTGGAGGTGTATCCTTCTGACGCCTTGCAAAATGGGATCGGCCTTGTTTAGTTCCCGATTCAGCATCGTCTTCGTTCGGCCCGACGGGATGCATATATGAAATTTTCGGAAGTCACAAAGAAAGGCTTTAGGGTGAAAAGACTCATGTAGCTGTATTTGGCCATCTATTATATGGAATCCGTCGTTGTGCCGTTCAAAAGCAGGATGGACTCAACCGGCCATGGAAGAAGCTTGTGGATCTAGGACTATTAGTGAGAAGTATCGATGCACCCTAGAACCTGAGGGCGTAGTGTCTGATTTGTTCAAAATAACGACAACACCAGACTCCTATCGCGCGAATTTTTGAACTGGGAGGTGGTAAGAATGAGATCGTCGTCATGGTCCGGTTGAAATTGTGTGATCGAAAAGATCGGTTTTTGGGTTTCAGAGTCCGTAAGGGACCAGCCAATGACACGTCGTTATAGCTTTGCTCGCGTGTATGGCCCAGTACGGGCTGGCTCCTCCCCATACAAGCCGCTCGAACCACAACTTCCGAAGAGTCCACGTACTTCACAGCGCCGTTGAGGGACAGCAGCGTAAGGCAGCAATAAAGGGCTTCTGATAATCAAATAGCATTCAATTGACACCGCGGCCTTTCATCCTATCAACTCAAGTATTGCTCTTCCATTGCTCAGCCGAGAGAGCCTGCAGAACACCGTGGCTTCGGCCACCACCCGTCAACATGCAGTCCGCTCCCACCATGCTCACAAAGGTTTGTCCCGCAGCTTTGGTGATGAGAGCTTGCCACTGACACCATTGTCTAGTTCGAATCTAAGTCGTCTAGGGCAAAGGGCATTGCCTTCCACCCCAAACGGTTAGTTAACCGCGGTCTTCATACCTCCTTTTCTCTCCGATACTAAAATGTAATTAGGCCATGGCTCCTTGTCTCCCTCCACTCCTCCACGATACAACTATGGGATTATAGGATGGGAACGTTGATCGATCGGTTCGAAGAGCATGACGGCCCAGTTCGAGGAATCGATTTTCATAAAACACAGCCGCTGTTCGTATCAGGAGGCGATGACTACAAAATTAAAGTCTGGTCATATCAGTCACGCCGATGTCTCTTTACGCTCAATGGCCATCTAGATTACGTTCGTACGGTTTTCTTTCATCATGAACACCCGTGGATTATTTCAAGTTCCGACGATCAGACGATCCGTATCTGGAATTGGCAGAATCGATCGCTGAGTAAGTGGTTCTGATGCTTTCGTCAACACGGTTCTTCACTGATATAGAGGGCAGTTTGCACGATGACCGGCCATAATCATTATGTTATGTGTGCGCAATTCCATCCAAAGGAGGATCTGATCGTTTCTGCTTCCCTCGACCAGTCTGTTCGAGTGTGGGATATATCTGGCCTCCGAAAGAAGCATTCCGCTCCAACCAGCTCAATGAGCTTCGAAGATCAGCTGGCCCGTGCTAGTCCTGCTCAGGCGGATATGTTTGGAAATACCGATGCCGTGGTTAAGTTTGTGCTCGAAGGTCATGACCGTGGCGTTAACTGGGTTGCATTCCACCCTACCCTGCCATTGATTGTTTCTGCAGGCGATGATCGCTTAGTAAAACTTTGGAGAATGAGCGGTAGGATTCTCTCTAGAATTGCCTGTGGTTGGAAAGCAACTAACCGTGTACAGACACCAAGGCGTGGGAAGTCGACACCTGCCGAGGACATTTCCAGAACGCATCTGCTTGTTTGTTCCACCCTCACCAAGACTTGATATTATCCGTCGGAGAGGACAAGACTATCCGTGTATGGGATTTGAATAAGCGAACATCCGTCCAGTCATTTAAGCGTGACTTAGACCGATTCTGGGTAATCGCTGCGCACCCAGAAATTAATTTATTCGCTGCTGGGCACGACACCGGTGTTATGGTATTCAAACTAGAACGTGAACGTCCGGCATCAGCTATACATCAAAGTCAACTCTTCTACATCACAAAGGAGAAACATTTGAAATGTTATGACTTTGTTAAGAGGACTGAGTCCCCCCCCATGTTATCACTCAGAAAGCTTGGTAGCCCATGGGTGCCACCACGGACATTGTCTTACAATGCAGCCCAACGCGCGATTCTAGTGACCTCACCAACTGATAATGGCACTTACGAACTTATACACATTCCGAAAGATTCGGCGGGGGCTATTGAGCCAACTGATATCAAGAGGGGCCACGGGACATCAGCTGTTTTCGTTGACCGCGATAAGTTCGCAATTTTTAATCAACCAACCCAGCAAATCGATATCAAGGACATGAACAACTCGACCTCCGAAACGATCAAACCCCCTTCTGGAACCACCGACATCTGTGTCGGCGGACCTGGCTTACTTCTCTTCCTAACCCCGACTTCTGTTGTTTTATATGATATTCAGCAAAAACAGCAAGTGGCTGAATCAAGTGCTAGCGGTGTTAAATATGTTGTGTGGTCGAATGATGGGCAATATGTGGCTCTTTTGAGCAAGCACAATGTGACAATCGCCACAAAGACTTTGGAACATGTGAGCACATTGCATGAGACAATCCGCATCAAGAGTGCCTGCTGGGATGATAGTGGTGTCCTATTGTATTCCACTCTCAACCATATCAAATATTCTCTCTTAAATGGGTATGTTGTTCTTCAACCTGGTGGATGCGGGTTACTGACAGTTGGTAGTGACAATGGCATTGTACGAACTCTTGACAACACAATATACCTAGTCCGAGTAAAGGGCAAGAGTGTTTGTTGTCTTGATAGAAATGCTCAGCCGATTATCCTCGAAATCGATCCGACAGATTATCGCTTCAAGCTTGCCTTGGTCAAACGCAACTATGACGAAATGTTGCAGATTATTAAAACTTCCAGTCTTGTTGGACAAAGCATCATTTCGTATTTACAAAAGAAGGGTTATCCAGAAATTGCTTTACAGTTCGTACAAGATCCCCAAACACGGTTCGAGCTGGCCCTCGAATGTGGTAACATTGATGTTGCCATTGAAATGGCGAAGCAACTCGACCGCCCTAAACTGTGGTCACGGCTAGGAAACGAAGCCTTAGCACACGGAAATCACCAGACAGTGGAGATGACTTATCAGAAGCAACGGAATTTTGACAAGTTATCATTCCTCTATCTAGCAACGGGCGACCAGGAAAAGTTAAATCGAATGGCAAAGATCGCAGAACACCGGGGAGATTTTACGTCCCGATTCCAAAACGCAATTTACCTTGGTGATGTTGAGGGTAGGATACAGATGTTTAAAGAACTTGGTCTCTGTAAGTATATCGCCTTCATAGCCGATCCTTAACAAGTGCTGATGAAACTAGTACCGCTGGCTTATCTCACAGCGAAGTCCCACGGGCTTACCGAAGAAGCGGAAGCAATCCTTGAGGCAAACGGTCTCACAGAAGATGAGGTTAAGCTGCCTGCGCTTGGCACACCGCAGGAGGTTCCCAAAGTTGTTGTTCCAACCTTCAAGTCCAACTGGCCTGTGAAGGCTGCTTCTCATTCTGCATTTGAGAAGCTGCTCTTGGCCGATGAAGAAGGAGAAGAAGATGAAGATGAAGCAAATGGGTATGAAGACGAGGGAGAACCCGCCGAAGAAGTGGAGGTAGATGAGTAGAGGGCTCGCGTATCTTGGTTGAGAGTTTTTGGCGGTTATGATTTCTTTCTATCGGAGATGGATTTGCGAAGATGGAAATTTTTAAACAGTTCTACTTTTTATTACTTGTCTTCGCTTTGATGATAGACTGGGGGAATAATGTCGATACCAGCTTATCTATGCCATGACCATGCTTTTTTTAATAATCAATTTGATCTGGCTCTCCCAGATGTAACATGTGGCTGGGGCAAATATCGTCACCATACAAGACTCCTAGTGCGAAACGGTACATGCTGATGTTATAGAATCAAGATCTAGTTACATCATGAGTTGGGTTGCTGAATATAGTACAAATATCTAGTGTACATACGTGGATATATACAATGCAAGCAGGGCATTCTATCATGCTTCATAAAAACGGGTCTAAATGGCACCCATAGGGAGCTCTAGGCATCATACCAAGCGCAATAGTCGCCACAGCCACAAAGGGGCCAGGGCAAAGCAGCCAGAGTCATCCCTGAGGAAGATCCTATGACGTGCCAAACGACGAGTCCTCCGTCTCCCTAGTCACATCTTCCATCCTTCCAGCCCGTCCTCCACCTCTCCTGCCACTTTGAACAATCAAATTCCTTCTTTCCCAGCTTTCGATTAACTTCGTTATGTGCCTCGCACATCCAATTTCCGAATTCATCTCTTCCCTTCACTTTTGGCTTATTCTTTCCAGAGGGATCGTTCATCCACGTCCGGAAATCGTCTGCGCACACCCAGCACGGGTACAGCTTTGAGAAGAGCGAGAGGAACGAGCGCATGTCATCTTGTTGCTGCGGGGTTGCAGATGTTGGGTAGGTCGCTGCCATTGTGTGCAGGAGGGTCCAAGTGCTTCGGCCAAGGGTCTCGACGTCAGCAGGGCAGTCTGAGGGGATGGGATCGGAGGGAGTCAAGGTTAGAACGGATCTCGTGGACGGCAGTGTGGCTGCGGTGGACGATGAAGAGGATGCGGTGGCAGCAGCGGCAGCGGCTCCGGCTGCGGTAGAGGAGGATTTCATCCTTGTGAGAGCGCGCCAGTCAGCAAGAGATGTACATGTGCGACAGCTGTGTGAACACGGGTCGTTAGCAAAGACAAACAACGCAGAGAGACCAGGTAAGTGTCGCAGGGGAGAAGAGGAACGGTTAACCTACGGTTTTCCATCTTTATCTAACACTACACCCTTTGGCAAATTCTGCTTGATTCCTTTATCACCCCGATTGGGTAGCTTTTGCTCCTTGAGGGCGTCGATCTGCTCGGTCAAGATTTCTGCCATTTAACACTCGTGGGGCGGGAAAGGTCGTCTAGACTGGGTTGTTTAGGAGAGTGTCAGTAGATAGGGAAAAAAAAGGAAAAATTCAAAGGAAGACAAGAGAGTGAAGTACGCTTCGTTAACGTTGCCTTTCAATCGTACAGTTAATGTGGTGAATTATGTACTCCCGTACTCCGTACTCCGGTTTCGAATCGCGGCGGAGATCTGGACCTCACGATCGCCGACCAACCGCACGTCATGTGGAGAGATAAGGTCCGAGCGCCAGCCAAAGACAAATATAACACCCGCATTTGCCCAGCGCATAACACAGCGCAATAGCGACATGTCTACTCTGTACGGAGTACAGGGAATTTCATTGATTGAATACAGTTACTGGTGACTATAGACACGTAGAATCCTCTGTTTGACGCGTTAAACACACCACCACTACGTCGAGTTTTTGCCTGGAAGATTTGGCCGAAAGGTTCCCCAACATTACAACGCAAAATGTCGGACGATTCAGAGTCAATTTCGTCCTTCAGTGCGCCTGAGGATGACATCGTCGAAAATGCGCTCCGTGAAACAGTCGCAGAATGGTACAGATTGGAAAAATTCGAGGATCTGACTATGAAGCGCATCCGCAGAGCGGTTGAAAACGCCTTAAACCTACCAGCTGAATTCTTAAAGAGAGACCTGGGTTGGAAGCCAAAGAGCGAAGGGATTATCAAGAACGAAGTGGTATGATCCCCATCTCTAACCTCCCAACGGCTTTTGCTCTTTGATTTCGCTTCACTCGTGGCTAACTCCAAGATCTTCTCTCCAGGACCGGCAAGACCAACTGCTTGATCAGAAAAATAAGATCCCGGCTTCTCCCTCACCCAAGAGACCGGCAGGTTCCACTACATCGACGAGACCGCCATTACAGCCCAAGCGTGTTAAGAGAGCGTCAGCCGCCACATCGGAAGCACCGAGGAAGAGACGAAGGCAAAGCGCACTACCTTCTCACCGAGAACGCGTATCCGCACTATCCAATACTAAAAAGCCGTCGGAAAAGGAAAGTGATATCGAAGAAGGAATAGAGTCGGGCATCCTAGCGAAACGGACAAAAATGGAAAAGAAACCTAGAAAATCCTCGAGACCAATTGTGGAGTCTGCTTCTGAGACCGAAATTGAGCCGCGGAACTTGCGCGATAGAGATGAGCAACCGGAGAGTGAAATGTGTGCTGTGCTGAATGAACCACCGAGGCCTAAGCCGCAGGGAAAGGTAATCGTGAGAGGGAAAGCCGTTGAATCCACGCAGAGCGAAGAAGCTGCCTCGGAGAGTGAAATGTCGGAGGTATTAGATGAGGCCCCAAGGCCTCAACAGCGAAAGCGCAAAAACCGCCCAACGAAGGGAAAGGCGACTGGATCTAGCCGTGGTAAAGATGCCAATGTCGACAAGGACCAAGCGGAGATCAAACGACTGCAATCCTGGTTGGTTAAGTGTGGCATAAGAAAAATGTGGCCTCGCGAGCTTGCGCCGTTCGATACACCCAAAGCGAAGATACGACATCTAAAGGAGATGCTCAGTGACGCTGGGATGGTCGGACGATACAGCATTGCGCAGGCCAACGTTATCAGAGAAACAAAAGAGCTTCAAGAAGACCTGGAAGTCATCCAAGAAGGTGCGAAGAAATGGGGGAGAGAGGAATCTGACGATGAGGGGCTGAACCGCGGACGTCCTAGACGGCTAGCGACGCAGGAGGCCAAAAGTTTTGATTTCCTTAATGACGACGACGTAGAATCTGGCTGACATGGGGTGTTTCTAGGCCAGTTGTGTTGGGGCCCATTCGGTATCCTGATAGCATTTACGGCTTTCCCGAAAAAGTTTGCTTTTTGAGTCTCTGAGCATTTGTATGAGCCTATATCTAATACAATGTTGTACCCTATGGTCGATGCTCAGGAGCCTTTTTGGGAATGTCTATTTTGTAGTTTATATAATTATTGAGCTGTTTTTCCGCCGCCCATTCTCTGGGCGATGAGGCTGAAAACTGCCACAGAAGATATGAATAGGACGAGATTATAAAACTAAGCCCATTGTTAGCTTGTTCTCTCTTGGAAAAAGTTCACAGCCATACGGCATTTCTTGAGTATTCATTTTCTTCGGCCTCGGAACGGGCTTCTACGAAAAGCCGGCGGAGATTTGGAAGATTTGCCTAGAAATGTGTGAGCACTAATTGAACGATGGGCTGTGTATCTTTCAATTAAATTTAAGGGAGATACCATTGCTCGCTTCCTGTGTTCTCTAGTTGTCGGGAAAATGAAAGGTCTGCTTCTTGGTGCTTGTACGGAGAAAAGTGGAGGTTGCAGGCCAACTGAAAATCATGCCAAGCCTCAAAGAAGCTCGTCCACTCTCCGCGGCAGCACTTCACGTTGGGGGTTTTCCTTGCTAGGTTTATAGCTGTAGAACCTCAAACAGAATAACAGAATTACAAATCCCTCTCGACGTGCCGTGAAGGCTACCCGTGTTGGAACCGGGCTAGATGGGACAGTCCTACGAGCGCTAGCTTCAGTAGAGCATAGCAGGCATAATGGCTAGTGTACTCCGTAGTCTGACTTTATATCCTCCAGGGAAATGAGTAGTTGACCATCCTCTTCTTCGGGCGCAAGGGACTATTGGTCCTACTTTTGACTGTATTCTTTGAAGGCAGCATCCACGTTGCAGGATTGCTCTAGCGATAGGAAGCACTGGGCTGTCAGCTCCCTAATGAATTATATAAGCGTGTCATTGAAACCGCCCATTCCAATTACGGAATAGGCCGATTTGTTGCCCATCTCTGTGTAAGCTCGACGGGAGGGAGTCGATGCGAGGACGGTGGAAACGATCGCATTCAGCTTTTAATCTCGAGATTCAATGGAATGAGAACTGGCAGGGACCATATTCTGCATACGGAGCTTGCCACCACAGATTATCATAGTCGGTCCCCATTGAGGAATTCCTGGAAGGACAACTCGGGTTCTGTTCGTTGCCCGTCGGCGTGCTCCTGACCCCACACTCCAAGCCATTCAGCATACTTCTCACAGACGGCCTGGCCTCTGTTCACTCACTTTGAGACATGGCAGTTAATCGGATAAGAGGCGCATTTACAACGCCTCGAAAAGGAGAGACATTCGAGCTGAGGGCCGGTCTAGTGTATGCGTGGCAGTAGTTACCTTTGGTGCCTTTGACCGTTGCTAACATGGGTTGCGTAGGTCTCAATATGCACACGAGAGGTATTTCTAGTTTCCCAATTTGATCTGGCAGAGAATGGCAAGGCTTATAATATGCTAGGAAGGAGGCGATACAAAAGACCATTATGGCTATGACCCTGGGCAAGGATGTCTCGTCCCTCTTTCCAGACGTCCTTAAGAACATAGCTACCGCCGATCTGGATCAGAAGAAGCTTGTATATTTATATCTAATGTTGGTGACACCTTTTCTTGCTGGTCGATATCCCCCGGGGATTGCACTGCTTTAATATCCAAGAACTAATCCCCTATGTAAGGAATTATGCCAAGTCCCATCCCGATCTCTGCATCCTCGCCGTCAACACCTTTGTTCAAGACTCCGAAGACCCCAATCCCCTGATACGAGCGCTGGCCATACGCACAATGGGCTGTATCCGAGTAGACAAAATGGTGGACTACATGGAGGAACCACTGCGGAAAACACTACGAGATGAATCTCCCTACGTGCGCAAAACCGCTGCTATCTGCGTTACGAAGCTTTTCGACCTCAACCCCACGCTTTGCTTGGAGAATGGATTTTTGGAAGCCCTACAAGAAATGATCGGGGATCCGAATCCAATGGTAGTGGCAAATTCGGTTACTGCGCTTGCGGAGATCAATGAGACTGCGCCAGAAACCAAGGCGCTCCAAATCACTCCGAATACGCTCCGAAAGATGCTAATGGCATTGAACGAATGTACAGAATGGGGTCGAGTGTCGGTTCTTACATGCCTGTCGAATTATAGAACGGCGGACCAGAAGGAGTCGGAAAGCATTTGCGAACGAGTTGTTCCCCAATTCCAGCATATAAATGCTGGCGTTGTTCTTGCTGCAGTGAAAGTGGTATTCTTGCACATGAAGTACATCAATCCAGAAACAGCGAAATCTTACCTTAAAAAGATGGCGCCACCATTAGGTGAGTCTCGTACAAACTTTTGCCGGCACTGACAACCCAGTGCTGATCCATTACCTAGTAACGCTCGTGTCTGCTGCTCCCGAAGTGCAGTATGTCGCTTTGAGAAACATTGACCTCCTCCTTCAAGCTCAGCCAAATATCTTGGATAAAGAACTCCGGGTTTTCTTCTGCAAATACAACGATCCGCCTTATGTGAAGTTTCAAAAGCTGGAGATAATGGTCCGGATTGCCAATGAACGGAACGTAGATCAGCTACTCGCAGAGTTGAAAGAGTATGCACTGGAAGTCGATATGGATTTCGTACGTCGGGCCGTCAAGGCAATCGGACAGACCGCTATAAAGATTGAAACAGCGACCGAGAAATGTGTTACCACGCTACTAGATCTCATCAATACCAAGGTGAACTACGTCGTCCAAGAAGCTATCGTCGTGATCAAAGACATCTTTCGAAAATACCCAGGCTACGAAGGCATCATCCCTACTTTATGTCAATGTATTGATGACCTCGACGAACCAAATGCTAGGGGATCGTTGATATGGATTGTAGGAGAATATGCCGAAAAAATTAGCAACGCTGGTGACATTTTAGCTGGTTTTGTGGAAGGATTTAATGAAGAATTCACCCAGGTTGGTTAATCTTGCGACTATTTTGTTCCAACAAACCATCTAATTCATTTAACAGACTCAGTTGCAAATATTGACGGCGGTTGTTAAGCTATTTCTGAAGCGGCCCGAAAAGGCTCAAGGGCTGGTTCAGAAAGTATTACAAGCAGCAACAGCAGAAAGCGACAACCCTGACATCCGCGACCGAGCATATGCTTACTGGCGACTACTGTCAAACACGACAGACACCAATGCCGCCAAAAACGTTGTATTATCTGAAAAACCTCCAATAGTCACCACCATCCAATCCCTTCCGCCTACTCTCCTTGATCAATTGCTTCACGAACTATCGACGCTAGCCTCTGTTTACCACAAACCACCAGAACAATTTGTCGGACAAGGAAGATTTGCGGCTGATGCTGTACAAAAGGCCGCCATCGAGTATGTTCGCCATCCCTAACAAACCCTACAAAGGTGCTAACGTTCTAATAGGGAACAACTGCAAAATGCTCGCGAAAATCCCCTCGCTGCGGCGGCGGCGGCAGCAGTTACCGGCACTTCCACAGCTCCAATCCAAAATAACGTTGAGAATCTACTGGACATCGATTTTGATGGCACAGCACCTGCGTCTGCGCACAAGGAGCCTCCTTCCGGCATGTCCGGCCTTGAAGGCCTGGCTGGGACACCAATGAGGGTTCAGTCACCTGCTGCGGGGGCGTCACAACCTAGCTCAAATCTAGAAGATTTGATGGGCGTATTCGGAAGTGGTCCGGCGGCAAATGATGGCGGGTTTGGAGGAAACACAAGCAGCTCTGGCGGAGCGGACTTGATGAATGGCTTTGCTGGTTTGGACCTATCTCGGTCTTCCACTGCTCCTGCGGCTACAAGTACAGCCGCGACGCAAAAGCAAAACAATACGGATACCATTGATCTTATTTAATTAGATTAGCAAGTCTGGATGCAGCAACTGGGGAATATAGAGGCGCTTCAACGCACACATGATATTTTGAACATTTATATCCGTTGGGATTCTAGGGTATCCCCAGTTAAACACCATCACCTGATAAGAACTAGTACGAGGTTGCAGGCCCAGAGTCTAGATCGTCAGCAAAGGGCTCTCCTGGTAAGCTTTGTGCCACATCCAGTGCACAAAAGGACAACAATGGAACCATTTACAAAGCTATTTCTTGACCAATTGACTGTGACATCACCCGATTCACTCCCAAACGGAATGTAGGATAAAAGCTGTCTTAGATAGAGTCCACAACAACACCGATTCCATCAACGACCCATATCCCTCGAGCACTCTGCAGTCACTATAATAACTAGTCCAAGGCAAATCAATCCGCATGTCATCAAGCGAAGAAGCCCAGACCGCTCATCACGAACCGCCCTCTGACGACCTCCAGGCCTCCGCCCCACCCCCACAATCACCACGCCACCAAGAACAACAGCAGCAGCAGCAGCCATCCCTCTCGACGACGTCCTATTTCACCTTCCCCGTCACACATGTCGTCTCCGGCCTCTACCGCCGTTTAACTGACCCTGCTCCCGAGCTCCCTCCCAAGCCGCCCACCCGTACCGCCACAGAGCCCATGAATTCCAGCGCTCCGAGCGTCGTATTTACACCCCGGCGCACGGCGTCCCCGTTCCAACCACCGCCTCTCACACCACTCACACTCAATGCCTCGCCAGCGCCGTCGACTCAGCTATTGACGCATGCGTTGGCGGAGGAGATTCGATTACTTGTTCCGCCTAGATTGCAGCTAGTCGATACGTGGACGCTAGCATATAGTTTGGATCGGGATGGGTCGAGTTTGTCCACGCTGTTTGAAAAGAGCAGTCAGTGCGCGGCGAGAAGTCAGCGGGCGGGATATGTACTTGTTGTGAAGAACGTTTCTTCGGGGAATAATTCCGCTGGGGTAAGTGACAGTGGGGGTGGAGGAGGCGGAGAAGCATTGTTTGGAGCATACCTCACAGATCCTCCACGCCCAGCATCACATTATTATGGGACGGGGGAGTGCTTTCTGTGGAGAGCTAGCACGCTTGCTTCTACGCCATTGCTGCAGGTTGGGCTGAATGGCTATGGGAATGCGCCCGGGGGACAAGAGCAACTTGATTTGACAAGTTTACCTCCCCCGCCAAGTGCGGATACGACGGATTTGCGGGGCAGAAGTACGACATTTAAAGGTGAGGAATGGTTCATACGCAATGCTGTAACTCATGTTAGCAGAGATCGGGACGAAAGTCCAGCCAATTGCTCCAAGATCCGGAATATTCACAAATTCTCGCTGTGATACTGGTCCCGATAACCCTGTTTGCTAATGCAAGAAATGATACTACAGGAGAAAATCTAAGAAGTGGAACTAGCACGCCCGATCGAATACGTTTTAAAGCATTCCCGTATAGTGGAGTGAACGATTATATGATACTCTGCGAGACCGGGTTCCTAAGCGTTGGTGGAGGGTAGGTTTTCGTTTGATTCCACTCCAATTCCTTTTCAACCTCCCAATAGAGCGATCATTGTGCTTAGCATATATGTGTACTGACTTTCTACGCTGCTAGTGATGGCCATTATGGCCTCTGGCTTGACGACTCGTTCGAAAAAGGAGTTAGCAGTCCCTGTCTAACATTCGGGAATGAACCATTATGCGACGAAGGAACGAAATTTGATGTTTTGAATGTGGAGTTATGGTACATTGGGAATTAACCAGCACATATATCTCTTGATCATTTTGCTATGTACTTAATCCTATTCTGAAGCCACATAGCTCCTGTGACTCTCACCAAAAAATAAATAAAAATAAAAATAAAAATAGACAAAGAAAGAGTGGAAAGCAACACTATTCACAAAACAACTTTGCCTGTTTGACAGCCTGTTTGTGGAGTACACATCCATGAAATGTAGATGGCCGAACTGGAATGTAAGCCTTAAAAGCCATGAAGGTTCTATATGTTGAACTACCAGCCGGAGCTTGAAGTCCCACGTCATCCTCTGGTTATGCGTTGTCGCCAAACCTTTAAGGCTGATTGAATGGGAAAGGTAAAGTGACCAAGACAAAGAGCAAGGAAAATAAAAACTGAAAAGCGAATTAAAAAAGGGTATATACAGTGTGAATGAAGTAGAAGAATACAACGCCTCTACACAGGCGAGTTTACTTCCCGAATAAGGAAAATTAATTGATGTCAAACAAAACACAAAATCAGGGAAAAAGGAGGAAAAAGACTAAAATCTCCAAATACCCACTCCCGTCTGACCTCGTGCACGCTCATCCTAATTCCAAAACTCCATTGCGGTGTCATAACTAAAATGGGCTATTCACGATCTCATCTTTTCTCAGCCGCGCGCTGCTCCTTCTACCAAATCTGGCCGGGGTAACCGGACCCGCAATACTTTCTCTCGTTGGTTTTCGGAAACTTTGTTTCGCAACCATATTGACCTCATTCGGGAGCGCAACAATGACGTTCTTGTCACTTCCGAACTTGAAGTTATCAGCCTTAACTTCCTCCGCATATCGCTTGATCGTGTAAGGGTCCTTTCTACCGGCCAGAACCTTCTTCAGATTCCAGGTGATGATGAAAGGTCCCGTGGCCGTAATAATAGAGGTTTCACTGGAGTCGAGGCCGGTGTTGAAACGGGCCGGAGTGAATGACAATGGAGCCCCAGTCTCATGTTGGAATTGGGCCACATGGGATGGCTGAAGACCTAGACGACGCGGCTGTGGTTTGGAATCCTTTCCAAATGGCTTTTCGAAACCGAGCCTTCCTTCGTTTTTCCCCTCTTTTTGGAGCGCATCGATAAGAAGAAGGTAGGTACGGCATGTTGCTAAGACCCAGCGACCATCTGCGGAGACATCCAGACCAATGATAGGTTCGCCAAGTGCAGGAATGTGAGTCTTTGCGTTTATTCCTAGCCGATCAAACAGGCGAACATCTCCTTTGTTTGACGCAACAGCTATATATCCTTTTTCTGTTGTAGCAGCGACCGAAAAGTCGTTTTTGCTGACATATTGTTTCAAATCTGCTTCGACAAGCTTATTGCCCGATAAACGAGGATCGACCCGATAGAGTGCATTGCGTGAAATACCCAAGAAAGGTTGATGAGAAGTCATTTGGGAAAATTTCTAACTCAAGTTAGTCAAAAGGCCCAATAGAAATCCACCAAAGGATGGGTACATACATTCTCTGGAGCAAAATTGGTCACAGGGATATCGTCGTGGACCTTCCATTCATCCACAACTTTTCCATATTCAAGATCCATGCGGTATAGCGTATTGGGTTCTGATTCATTCTGAAGAATCATATTTGAATCCTCTGCATGAAGCATAACCTTCTTGGGACTGAAGAGTTTGCCCTTTGAGGTTTCAACCTTCGATATATTTGTCGAAAATTCTAGGTTATTATTTGGCGTATGCTTAAAGACCCCGATCTTTGAGCCGCGAACGACAAACGATCTGTCATGCTTGTAGCCGACGGCAAGTTGGGAGTTGACGTTCCCATCGTCTTCCTTAGTCACAACGTCGTCCGCTTCTTCGTCCGAATCGTAGTGCTCGCTTCGCTGCGAGTCATCGATCTCATCTGCTTCTTCCTCTTCTTCCTCTTCCTCCTCGAGTTCCTCGGGGATGTCTTCCATGGTGAGATCATTGAAAGCTTCCAAGACGTAGTCACGCTCATCGACCTTAGTTTTAGACCACTTCATTTCATGCAAGTATTCCCATAGCGCTTGCATCAAGCCCTCTTGGAACCGTTCTTCCACAGCCTGGTTTTTAAATCTCAAGAGCCAAGAGTAGGCTGATCCATCTGCTGTATAATGATTGAAGATGAACGAGAGGTATTCAAAATTGAATACTGGATTAATATCCGCCACCACAGGTTGTCCTAACCATTCCCTATCGGTGCCGGTTATTTGTAACCAGTACTGCCAGTTTCCAACTTCAGACACTGTTGCCGTTACAAAGTGGTCCTGAAGAATGAACGTTCCGGAGTTGAAATCGAAAAGGTGCAGCTCTGCAGTCTCTTTTGCGAGGACCTCAAGCGCATCGGGATGCACCGCGGCAGGAGGAGCTTGAGTTTGTCCATCAGACTTTGCTACAGTGAGATCTTTACCTACTACAACCTCCTTGGACATTGCAGCGGCTGATTCCTTGGACGTTGGGCTGACAGGACTTGCAATAGGGCTCGCGTTTGGTATGGGACTTTCTTCTTCAAACGAAAATTCCTGAAGCTCCCTTTCCGTAGCCTTCTGGGCGCTCCGTCTGTATTTTCGCTCGTACTGACACTGGACTGCCGCGAGGACAAATGTCGCAACTTTTTCAGATGAGGTCGAGATGTCACACACAAATTCGTAGAGATCGCCGACGTCTCCACTTAGATCTCGCCAAGCCAGTACTTTCTCTCCTCCTTCGCGTACCTCAGATCGAAAATGAAGACTTTGATCTAACAAGAATGTCTTTTCATCCTTGTCGCCACCAAGTCCTTCAACGTCGCCTCCCTCGTTCTCGTCATCCACGAGCTCCTCTTCACCCTCCTCGTACGCACGTTGTATGACCAATTGGTACTGGAATTCTTGCCCCGTCCGTCTGATACTGGCGGCAGCGTCTTTGAAAATGAGCTCGGAAAACCCCTTTGGCGACAGCGGTCGGACGATGTAGAGTTGGCCTTGGGGAATTTCGATAATGGACTCCTTGGCAGCGTCGCCGAATATAAATTTGCTTACTGCGGAAGAAAAATGAAAAGATTAGTATATTCCCGAAGGCTGGCAGCGTTGTGTTGTGCAGCTGCACTTCTAGGGTGGGGGAGGGGTCGAAAGCTTCCTGCTAGAAAAACACACCGTTTCGGAGCATAAACATGGTGGTGGACTTGGAAATGAAAAGTAGCCCTTAGTTAAAACTTGATAAAATTGTTCAATAAGAGCATCACCGAAAGAAAGTAAAAAGCAAAAGGTAAAATAAGGAAAACACCGGTTTAATTCCTGAAGAGGTGAGGATGAAGCTCAGGAACAATGTATTTTTCGAGGGAATGAATGTTTTTGCATGACGACAAAACAAGCCAAAACCAGGCAAACACCAACCTTGGTGACGGTTTCCGTGGCAAATGGCTTGCAGGGAGTGGAACTAACCAATCAATGTACTGGAAACCGATCGCGAAATGAGGGACTAAACTGTATTCGGCATAGCGTACTTAACGACAGCTTTATGCACACAGCTCGTCCTCCTATCCGCCACAGACATCTTGCTTGAATCTCTTTTTCGCGAGAAATCTATCTTTGACGCGATTTATGTATATAGATACATATTACCAAGACTAGCTGATACGCTCAGACGGGTATCGGGTTGCCGGCGCCCTCGGTGACCAAAGGAGACGTTTCCCCCTTGTTCCCTTCCTTCACATCATCCTGCTGCTCTTGCACCTGCATATCTTTCTCCACTTCATTCTTTTCTTCACTGGTGCTACTGGTCTTCAACGTGCCGCCTTTTCTCTTCGGTATGACCCGATCAAATGCCTGACCCCAGTCGCCCAATTCTAGCCACCTGATCATTATTTCAACAACATGGTTTGTTGCTAGAACAGATCGACTGGACATCTCCATGTAGTCCCCGATGGGTAACTTAGCAGTTTTAAACCCTTTCTCTGTAGCTCTCTTATAGCAGATTCCTTTGTGGCGATTCTTATCGACTAGTCCCCCAATAATATACGTGCTGTAGGGCTTCAGCTCCGTTAACGTGTCAGGACTGTCGCTCGTGAGATAGACAATTTCTCCTTCCTCTTCTAACTTGGACTTTCCAATCTCTGCTTTGCGGGAAAACATGCCGGCCAGTCTTCCACCCCTGGGCTGTTTCATTCGAGCTTGCGCAGACTCCGCTGCTAGGACAAAGTCATCCTCCGTTAGGGTCACGCCCTTCCAGCGCTCATATTGTTTCGCCAACACTGTGTCGAACCGCTCTTTTAACATTTTATTAAAAGAAGATACCACCAAGTGCGCCCTATACTTGGATCGAGAGTTGTCAGAATATGAACGAGTGATTTGTGACGCCAGGGATTTTCGCTCCTTATCCAGCATGAGATCGTCAAAGTCGCAATCCAGGAGAAGCGTAATGGGGAGAACAACAGAGCGGCCATTATCCCTTTTTCTCAGCTGCCGAAGCGTAATTCTTCCGGCTGGCGAGCCGTCACCTTGTTCTTCTCCTTCAGGGGCTTCAGAGGGTTCTTCTGCTGCGGCCTGTGCTTTTACAGCTCGTTCACGCTCTTTTCTCGCCTTCATTTTCTCCTTCCGCTTCTCCTTGCGCCATTCCCGCCCTGCTTCCCATCGTTCCAGTTTCTTAAGTTTCTTGAGCTGGTTTTTTGATAGGGCGGGGGCGACCTCGTCTCCAGTTCCAGTGCGGGCTAGAGGGCCCGCTTCCGACGTTGCTCTACTATCATCTCCACTAGTTGTAGGTGGTTCTTTTTCAGTGATTGAACTATCGTTTGACATCGCTGTATCCGTTGTAGGGGCCGAAATAGGTATTGCGATTTTGTCGTCTTTTGCTCCCGAGCCGGGCTCATGCACCACCTTCTGTAATTTGCGCGGCCGTTCCTCTTCTGCCATGGCATGCGCAACAGTAGTTGATGCAACCATCTGTCCAATGCGCGCAGCTTTGAAAAAAGCGCGTGGGGGTTCTGGAGGCCTGAAGAGCTTTGCGAAACGTTCGCCCACCGCCGCCAGAGGCGTCCAAACTTCCAGCCAATGGGAGGGAAAGGATATCATCAAATCACGTGATAGATTATCCGACTGCCGATCCATCATTGATCATCATTACCACCATGACTTGCTGCTTCACGATTGAGTTGTCGTCTTTGCTCATAACTTCCTTTTCACAATGCCTCAGGACATGCCCCCAGTTGGGGGCTACAAGCCTGTTCAATATAAGGTATCAATTTGGCTCTTATCCCCCCATTGCCCAGAATGCAGGTCGAGCGTTGAAACGCTAACAAGAATACATTGAACAGCGCAACCTCCCCGTTCGCGGCTTTAGACCGGTTTACTACTTGCTTGGAATGCATGCCATTATGGGATATGGATTCTATAAGCTGTGGCTTGGCCAACGAGAGAAGAAGTTAGTCACCTGAGTTTTCTCCTTCTCCACAATCGTGCTCTTACGTCCCTCTTCAAACGTCGAACTGGACTTCTCGAGCGTTATATTTATCAAGCAACAGTGCTAATTATTGGCAGCGAACTTGCTCGCGAGAAAACCTGGGCTCGAATTCATTTGATTCCCCTTCTCCAGGCGGAAGAAGACCGCGATCAAGTCCGACGATACTTTGCCGATCGGGCGAGAGAGAAGGAGTTGGTTGGGACAGAGATCAAGGTTTACAACTCAGACCGGTTCGTTAAAGTTGCCTGCAAGAGTGTTTCGTTAAAAAGTTGCTTCTAACACCTGATTGCGGTCTAGATTTGTGAGACCGACCTTCGCGTATACCCCTGCTCAGCCCACCCAATAGACCCAGAAGAATTAAAAGCGTTGCACCGCTGGGGTGTTTCCTATTTGGCATTTTTAGTGCCTATTAGAGGATCGGGCTACTTGGAACATCAGAAAATGCCCTTTTGCCAGCTTTAGAGCTGGGTCTGCTCGATTAACACAATGTTTTCAAGGAAATAGCTTATGGGCAAAATAGTGTGGAGAGTATAGATGGTCGATCTGCAGTGTCCCCATATATTTGTGTTTTATAAGCGTTGGACATGATGTCCGCCAATGAAGTGTATATCAGTTCAAAATGCATCAAGATTCATCCTACATTCAAGAGCGTTCCTCGATCCTACAATACAGGAGTTCTTCACTCTTCAACGCAGAAATAGGCATTCGTATGCACCGACAAAACGTTATGCGTAAAGCGCCCGCACCTTATCTTAGCAGATAAAGACTGGGAGAGGAAATGAGGTATACAGGTTTCCAACACTGCGAATACGATGGGGCCATAGAAATGCAAAAAGTATCGGGATATATAGCTGCACTGAAAAAGGGAGCCCATCAACCTCTCAGGACCCCCTCAAGAGAACATATCAGCCACTCCGGTCAAATCAGGTCCATTGTTGATATCCACTTTTCCGCCCTCCTGGCCTTCCATTTCCGTCGTCATATACCTTGCCTGCATGATACTTCGCTCCTTTCTTCGACCAGCCCGGGCTCCGCCGATCTTTCCTTGCTCACTGATACTTACGCCCCTCAAACCTTCTAGGAAATCCAAAACCACTGCTTTCTGGATTCGTGTTGACGAGGATTTCATCAACGCCTCTTCAGCAGCTATGGCTCTCGCTTCCGTAATTCCAGGTAAGCTTAACATGACAGATCTTGGGGTAGGGCTCCGGGGCCCGTAGAGGATCCATATAGAGGCAATTAGTTGGGCGAGGTCCTTTTGCATATCGACAAAGTACGGTTCATGCACGGAGGTTATGCACGCTTTCAGCACCTGGGTGCTGATGAATTCGCGAATACTCGCTGCAGTGGGGGTATCAACGGTGGGTAAGAAGGAAGATAGAATAGAGCGGAGCACTCGGGTTATTATGCTACAGCTCCGAGTATCGTGTATGCGTAGAGCATGGGTACAGAAAACGACTACCGGTTCGAGGATTTGGGGCGTGGAGAGGATGAATGTTCTCATTAGGTTGGCCGGGTTAACTTCTTCTGCTTGGGTTGGGCGATTATTGGAGTCTGGGTTTCCGGGGCCTTTTTCTCGAGGGGAAGTCAGCAAATATAATACCATGTCTCACAACGCTAGAGCAACAAACCTTCTTTGTTAGGATCCAACAAACTAGCCACCATGATTACGGCAGAGTAAGTCAACTGTCTCAGTATGCTCTCTTCCTTCATCTCTTCCGTTAAATCGTCATCCACCATGCCCGCCCTCCGACGTTCTATTACATCCCATTCCGTCGTAATCTTCTTATCAAGTTGAACGAATAAGCTTGACATCATTGGTGGGAGGAAGTGCCCGCGGGATTGCGGCGGGCAGTCGTCAATGAGGCATCTAGATATATTCAAGAGAACCGAAAATTGGTGAGAGGAAAGAGATGTGGCGTTGCTGTATAACGCTTGAGATAAAGGTATCGAGAGTTCCTGAAAGCCGTAAAAGTGCTCACCCAATCTACTCATGCTAAACAGAATGGAATAACATGCTTCTCTGACAGCTCTAACTTTGCCTCGAACGGATGATGAGAATCCCTCAAGGCTACGTTTCGATGTGGCAATTTTAGCGTAGAAATCCTCTCTGCTGCCCGCTGAAATACCAGCTTGCCAGAACCTATCTGTCAAGATTCGACCAACAATTGGGCGCATCTCTAGTGGTAACCCCGCCCAATTATCGGGGTTATGAAACGCGTGGGCATGGCTATAGGGTCAGCAGAATAGAGATACCTTGGGATGAGTGTCACTAACCCAACCAATTGCAGCAAAGAAGGAAGGATGAGAGGAATCATGTCTTTCCAGAGCTCGCATGATACCTGGTACGGGGGATCGCTTGGTTTTAGTTTCTCTGTGGAGACAGCCAGCAAAGTTTTGGTGTTCCTTAATGGAACGCTCTATGACTTGAAGTCAGCGTAGGTCTCCACAGTCCCTGAATTGCGAAAGGTACCTGAAACTTCGAGTTCATCTGACTTTGAATTCGTTTTCCTTCCTCGTCAAGGGTAATGACAGACCAATCTTCAATATTTTGTGCCTGACGAGCTTGTAAATATGGGTGAACCTGGTCAAGGGCAAAGACTTCACAGAAGCCCTGAAAGGTACTAATTATCTGCCGGAACTGGTCGTTTGCCCAAGCCTGCCTTAAGGGTTCAATGAATGAGCGCAAACGGGCTTGTCGTAGATGCGGATCGACATCTTTTGCTCGGTGCCTACGTAGGTTAGATTGCAGATTTCCGCTTGGAGCACACACAACGGCACATACATAACGATGAGTAAAACCGAAGATAATTCCATCTGTGGTTGATCTTCGGTAGATCTTTGTTGCATCTCCTGGACTTTTTGCTCGAGGATATCATAAAATGTCTAATTTGTCAGCTGTTGATTGCTTAGCGGTTGGGGGGGAAGCCATACGGAAAAGTAATCTGCATATCGAGTCGCAAGTCTGCGTACTTCATACGTTGACAAGCTATACAGTTCTCTCACAGCCTCAGAATAAAGTGGGAACTCGGGATTATCCACAGCGTGGGTCGTTAGGATATGCTCAAGAACCTTTAGTGCATAGCTTGGTTTATTTCGCAAAGCTTTAGCTGAAAAATCAACGGACAACCGAATAACTCGTTGTTTGATCACCGGGTCCTGTTTATCATCAGCATCTGAGCCATATATATATTTTGGATGTCCCATACCACAAATTGTCTTTGCAACAAACTTAGAGCCCATGATTCTAGCAAACTCTCAAGCGTTGATCGTTGCTGTTCCTGTGAATAATTTAACTCGTCAGCCCGACTTTATGCCTCTTTTAGGTTGGCAACCCTCAACTTACATCTCGTTGCGGGTCATTACCGTGGTTTTCAACCCATTTATTGTAACCTTTCAAAAGATATTCTGTGACAGTAAACTGCGTGTCAGCCCGCAGCGCTGCAACCGTGTGCTTATGGAAAGTAGCAGCTAAATAAAAATAATGTTAGAAGCCATACATCCTCATGAAAGTCATAGCTCACGCACGATTAAAGGGATCAGTTCCATTATATATGTTGTTAAGGCCAATATCAACACCGGAGAGGATATGCGGAATAGCATCATGAGGTCGCTTTTGAACGATAACCTCGATGACCTGTCCACAATACCTTCTGTAGTTTCCTACGAATGCATGCCTGTCGGGTAATGTGTCAATATCCTCATTAAGGAACAAAATTGTTGGATCTTCTGAATTTTCCGGGAATGCTTCGTATCGTACGAGTCGCTGGGTGCATATCTCAAGCAACGGGCCAATAAAATTGGTAACGATGTCTGGGTTCCCAATCTCATCGCAAATGAGCAGCCTTGACCAAGAATGAAGCACAGGAATAGATAGAATCAAACTTGGATGCCTTAAGACATTGGTCAAAAAAGAGAAAAAGTAGGATTGATCGATCTTCTTGCTGAGATTGATACTTTTCTCTTCAAGGAAACCGGCCAAGTACGATAGGAGCTAACACAGGCGATTAGCTCAAGCGCGCATAGACGTAGCAGTATCAGTCTCACCTCCGACAGTTTCTTAGACGTTGTATATTTCGAATCTATAATGTTTTCTGCATCGACAATGGACCACTCGTAAAGTTTTCTCAGTAATTCAAGACGATCTGTGTCATAAATTATGAGTAGAAGGGGTTCGAATTCCTGGATATCATAGTGCGTTCTCCCATATAAAGCATGCAAAGCCTCAACAGCCAACTGCATATCCCATTAGTGCTTTCTCTACGAGTTAGCGGAGAAAGGACACCTACCATTAAGATGCTCTCATCGTTTGCAGTAAGCGCACCGCATATTGCCTGAACACACTGACTAGAGGCAATAGCCAGCGGGATGTTCCACGTCAACAGTGATCGCAAAGTTGCGAGCGCCTTCTGGGCACATGTCCGGACTTCGGGAGCTGAATGGAGATTCTGCACACAATCATTCAGGAGAACGGTGATTCTGAAAAGCCAGCCTTCAGGCCCACAGCGGAGTTCGGTGAAGTTTGCTCGATCGGGATAGACTTCCTTGAAAACTGCATATGGAGTGCAAATCTCCACCAGCGCGCGATTCAAATCCGTCCCGCGCAACGAAGAGGCTGTATCTTCGTGATGGAAAACATCATCGGACATCGCTTCCAGAACGCCCAGAACAAACTCTTTATGTATCAGTGATCCGTTCCATAACTGCAGCAACGATTCGTCCATGCCTAACCAATCCAGCGCCCATGTCCGCTTCGCTATCTCTACCCACAACAGAATGAGCTTGTTGCGGATATACGACAGATCTTGAACCTGAACCTCCTGGGCAAGTCCCAAAATCAATCCTCTAAGGTGCCCAATTTGCCCGGGGGTCAACTCGGACAATCTGTGCTTCAAAACATGCTCCAGGAGCGAGAGACCGAAATGCCGTACGAGGGGAGAGTGGCTCCGCTCCGCCGCCAAGTAAAATCCATTCTGCACCGCACTCTTCTCATGTTTCTGCAATTCCAAAAATTCCGAAGCTTGCTTTCTGATTTCATTTGTCGTGGTCCGAGTATGTATGGCTTCTAGCGCCTGGATGATATTGGCTAGGTCGGGATGGGCTGTCCCGTTGCCATGTATTGCAGTTGGAAGTTCCAGGGTCTGAGGTGTTGATGCAGCCATATCGCTCCCCGGCGACTGGTTAAATCAAACGCGTTAAACCGAGTTCGTGTGATTTCATATACAAGTGATTCTCGGCTTTCAAGCTCTGATATTGCGAGTTCCCAGATTCCCCGGGCGGCGATGAGTTATTTATTGTATCTCGAGCTCTCGCCACTAGCTTTCAGCACATCCGATCCCTAGGAATAGAAGAGTCCACCGTCCACGTAATGTCTACTTCATGTGTCGTAAACACGATCTGAACACTGGCTTTGGCAGTGATGTTACCTGGATCTTGTTTGTTGGTTGGAGGTGGTTTGTGGTGGATTTGGGTGAGATCCGCAACAAGTTCAACATCAATGCAAGTTTTTTCATTGACCTGCAAACAAAATTCACCTCGAGCTCAGTGGAAGTTAGCCGGTCCACACAAACAACAGCTGGTCACAGTTTATGTAAAATTCAAGAGCTAAGAATGACTTGAGGATTTAACTATTTCGTACAGATACAATTTTTAAATTTAACGTCAGGCAAACGCAAATCACAAAACGCATCGAATGACTACAAATCCATACAGCCTTGAATGATGCATCGAGTTGGATGTAACTCATAGGATGATTTAGGCTTCATCCAGGCTTTGACTTGAATTTATTTTCGAAAAGGCAACACCCGCCACCTCATTACAGAGGTTTTTTTGATAGCAAAAATGCTATAATTAGAAGTGCATTTATCAGTAATCCAGGGCTTACTCTCGAATTGATACTGCGCGAGGCCCTTGATGGCCCGATTGATTGAAAATGCTTCAAGGCCATTATGAACACCCAAGTGTGCAAAATAGTAAACCACCAGTTGGTTGTAGGAGCATTCGCATTGAGTGTTCAAACATGTCAACGCTCGCTAATCTTGGTACGCGGAAATGAGCCTAAGCGCGCGACAAATCCGAAAACTGACAACACTATCAAGGACATCGTGTGCATGGCTAAACGCTATAGAATAACAAGAAACAAATAACAGCACTTAAACCGAGATCATTGTTGTGCATCATTCAACTCATTTCATCTACCCGAGTTTCAACACTCTACATCAGAATGCAGGCGTCGCGACGACACTGCTCAAGGTATGCTTCATCGTCGCTAGTATCCACTATAGCTCCTGCTTTTCGTTTCGCACCGCGGATCTCAATGCTTTGATCCCCTTCTGCGTGCCACCACTTCAAATACTGGACGATGCCGGACCCAATTTCTTCCGTGTCAATAGCCCATTTCCCGCCGCTCACCGTAACGTCTGTGTGCATGCTGGGATAGTGGAATTCCGGAAGGTAAACGACGGTGGGCGCATTTTCCGGAGTAGGGGTCGGAGAGGTTAACGACATAGTAAATAAGCAGTTTTGCAAATTGAAGCCGTAGCCTCCCAGGTTTCCGTGTACCACAACGGGGCTCGGCCGGATGTACGCTTCTGCAGCTCTGTATCCAGGCTGGCTGGATGGATCGGCATCTGATGCGGGATTGACTGAGATAGAGGGTGTGCAAAGCGCTTGCTTCACATTATTTGGGTTAATACTTCCGCTGAGCGAATCGGTTCGGCTTTGAGAGAACGCAGGGGAAGTGCGATCTAGAGAAGTACTCGACTGATTTTGAGAGTTCTGTCCCAGTGACTTCGCGGTAGGCAATTCAGGATCGTCAAGAGAGTAGATCGACAAATCCTCGCCGTTCCAATGATCACCCCACTTGTGTATGTTCTGCAACGACTTGATTTAGCGACTATTATTTGAAGATCATTGGGTAGAACAGCGTACCATTGCCATATAAGTCCAGACCGAGAAGCCATTCATTCCGCTTCCTTCAATCGCATAATGATTGGCATCCATGGCGCTGATCTGGCTGGAATAATCTCCGGTTTTATAAGCGTGCTTGTCATCCATGTCATACGGAATACCTATTTCTGTCAAGATCGCAGGGTGATTTCCCATAAGATCTAGACTTTCTTGTCGAAGGAAGTGGAGCTGATCTCGTAAGCAATTTCGAATCGCAGTCTCTCCGATCTTTATTGCGAATGCAGGAGTGAGATATTTTCCTCGAAGTATACCAATTACATCAACATTGTAAAGCCGGTTCCTAGCTTTGTTAATTGTGGTTCAATCGTCTTATGATAGGATACTCACCAGTGCTTGGTCATAAGAGTGAGGCCATCGTAGAAATGGACAGCATGAACCATATTTGGATCATCATCAGCCGTATCCTTAATAGCCGGGGGGATTTCCATAACCGGCGGCTGACAGAAGAGGATAGCGTCCGCATGAACGCTTCGAATAGCATCCCTATAGTTTCGATAGTGCTCGAGAAAGTATTGATTCGTAAAGCCAGCATAGTCCAACTGTTCACCGGTTTTGGGATCCTTCGCAAAGTAGTCTTTCTTTAGCAAGGTATCCGTAGCCGGGTCCCAAACCCCATGTTGCGCCCAGAGACATTCGCCAAGTTTCCACTGCGGATCTCTCTTCCAGCCATATTTGCTATCGCTATACTCTGACGAAAGCCATACTGTGGCTCCTTTTGGATCAACAAGTTCTCTCCCAGTTTGGCGAGGACCAAAGTTTCCAAAGGCCCAAGTAGTAATCTCACAAGCGCGCCCTGAGCCGGTCAGCATCCCTTGGAAAGCGGTTGGCGAGGTACCGAGCTGAAGCTGCTGTTCCGGAGGGATAACCGAAATATCTTGATAGCCCACCAGTCCCCTATTAGGCTCATTAATGCTTTCCCAACCTATTACGACTTCATTTTCGAGGTCACCAGCCTCATGGATACGCTTGGCCAAATGCTTCACTGCAGCAATGAAATGACCTTGGAGAAAATCCTGTATGTTCTTGCCATTGATAATAGCTTTGGGGGCAAAATCCTTCCCAGCCCAAAATAGTGTAAAAATGGTTTGACAAACAAGTCTAGTATAGTTTGTACTCCATATCATTTTTGGGAATGAAGCAGGATCTGGATACGTATTTTGAACGAGAGCAGCCTGTGTGATATTAAAATTTCGAGGATCGAATCCAGCAGCGTATAAAGTCCACATAGGGGCCCCAGAGCCACCCGAGTGCCGGGACCACTATCAAAATTTAGTAATAATATTGGGCACGCCAGGGTCATGACTTATTGGTTGGGGATTTCCTACCACGTCTTGGTGAGGATCCATATAAATATAGAAGCCATATTTTTTCAAACTCCGGAGCAATTTTATTGTGAATTCTATCCAGTCTTCATCATATTTTCCGGGGCCAGCATGTTCAATGGCCTCCCATGTAAAGATGTATCTGATTTGATTATAACCCCATCTTCTTAATCTTTCGAAATGTGTATGTGCATCTTCAAGAGCAAACGGCCGCCCGACAAAGGAGACATTATCTCCATCGTAGAATTCGTCCGGGATATAGGAGGGTAGATTTGGGGTCTTTGGAAATTTCGCCGTGGCATCAATATTGATACCTCTTAAGACAACTTCTCGATTGTGCTGATCCCTGAAGGTCCTTCCATCGATGTAGAGGCGTAATGGAGCCATAATTTCGCATATATATACTGTTAGGATCAAGGCAATCGTCTGAATTCAAAGGCGTCAACGGATGCCGGACAAACCACCACTCATCACCAGAGGCAATCTTGGAGTATCATGCAATCCATCTAAAAGTTGAGATCTATCACATAGATAACTCTAGTGAGTAACTAATTATATTATTTGTGCTGCAGTTGTCGGACTAGCGTGATCAAACCGCCGACACCCCTTGAGTAAACAAAGCGATGCGGTTGCCCAAGGTTGAAGCTCCGGCCGGCATCAGTTGGTGATGGGATGGGCTTGGGAGCTGACTAAGCTTGAACCTGACTTCATTGCTCCGCTCAACCAGCAGGCGGGATCAGGATGGCCGCATGTCTCCTGTTATCACATTAAATAACCATCTGTGCTGTGTGGACGAGTGCACAACCCAGATGCAGTGCGCAAGGCGTGGGATAACAGCTGCAACTAAGAAATTTAGGAATCTTACATCCCGGACGTTTTGGTGACAGATAGCGAACAGGAAATGCTCTAAGGCTAGACAGCCAAGTAGAAATGCCAGCAAAATCAGCCCTGAGGAATATCAGAGCTTGTCTAGATGCCGGAGACTTTGCGCAAGCTGCCATAAAAGCCACAGAGCTCTGCGAGCAAGATCCTCAAAATTATCATGCGTAAGCTATATAGATCTTCTCCCAAACTGGCCAATATTTGATAATACTAATCTCTATGGATATTCAAGGCACGTATTTCTAGGGCTTGCCCTTGATAAACTAAATGACGCGGATGCATCCGAGCGTGCGTATATAAACGCTACCAAGCTCAAGGCGGATGATAAAACTGCCTGGCAAGGCTTGATAAATTTGTACGAAAGGCTCGGAGGCAAGAAGCTGGATGATTATGCATCCGCTGTGATTCGACTATGTCATATTTTTGGAGAAGCGTTCGTGACCCTTGATAATATCTTTGACATGTCTCTTAGCTAAAGCCTCTTCTAGAGACGAAAAGAGCCGCGCCCAGGCGTTGGTGGAAAAGTATATCTCTTCCGCTGGGAAGAGTGGCACTACCAGTCAATACAAGCAAGCACTGAAGCTGCTACTGCCTTTAAGCCCATTGTTCAATGTTTTGGAAGGCCTGATTCCTCATCCTTCCCACACATATCTTCGAGTTATCGAGCTTTCTGAAGCGGAAGAAAAGCAATTTATCAACCGGGAGATTGGCGAAAGAAGGACTAGATTGGGTGCCAAAATTGATCAGGTCACAGCAGAAGTTAAACTCGAGGCTTTTCGACGTAGCGACCTTGATGAATTGTACCGTGGCCTCATTGACTGGACCCACGATGACGCAGTACGGCGAGAGCATGAAGAGAAGCTCCTACAGCGAGGATATGACTATCTATTGGCCCTCCCAATCGGAAAGAAACCCGAACAGCGGAACCATGTGATAAAATCCGCCAACGATATGGTTATCATTCATCACCCGTTTGACCGTGCATGGAAAATTGCCTTGGAATGGAAAGACGTCAATGAGCTCTCTGAGCTAGATGTTACTCTCTTAAGGGAATATATTCAGTTATTCCCAGACGACGGGCTTAGTAAAGTACTGAAAGGGTGGTTGGCCAGCGATCTATCCCCGTTTCCTAAGGAAACGGATCCAGAAACCCAAGTCGATCAGGATGTGTCAAAGGCAGGAAATCCCGCTGATGATGAAAACCAGGTTCCAGGGGATGATCCGTTGTTGTTAATGGCTGAAGGGCTGGTGGAATCTTCCGGTTCCGTATTATCCCATCGAATAATGGGAGAAGTATATCTTGCACTTGAGGAGTTCCAGTCCACCACAGAGGTTAGTCGGAAGGGCTTAGCATTGGCGCTGGACCTTCAGCGACGTACAGGCCTAAAGCTTCGCAATACAATCGATTCTATGAATACGGCACTTGCAACTGCACTTATCACATATCAGTCCCCGAAAAATCACCCTGAGGCCAAGCAAATTTTCGAAGAAATCTTGAAGCGAAATCAAACTTCGACAAAGTGTCTCCTGGGACTAGGCCTCATTTTCGAGGAAGATCAGGGCTATGATCAAGCCGTAGCTCTGCTCGAGAAAGCATTGCAGCGCGATCCCAAAAACGCTAGAGTTCGGTGCGAGCTTTTCTGGTGCAGAGCGCATTGTGGGGAGCTTCAACAGGCGACGAGAGGTCTAGAGGAAACCCTTACAATGATTCAGTGCGAGCAATCACAGTATCGTGATCTGAAGGCTGTGATATTATATCGAATTGGACAATGCCAGTGGGAGCTAGACCCATCCCCGACAGCAAGGAAAGATCGAAATGGAGCATATGCCAAATTCCTTGGGTCAATCCAATCGAATATGAACTATGCACCGGCGTATACCAGTCTCGGTATATTCTACGCAGATTATAAGAAAGATCAGAAAAGGGCAAAACGCTGCTTTCATAAGGCAATTGAACTCTCATCGTCGGAGACCGAAGCTGCAGAACGTCTCGCCCGGGATTTTGCTAACCAAGGTGACTGGGATCTCGTCGAGGCAATAGCCCAGAGAGTTGTTGATTCTGGAAAGGCTAAGCCCGCGCCAGGGTCAAGGAGGAAAGGTCACAGCTGGCCATACGCCGCCCTGGGGGTGGTGGAGATAAATAGACAGCAATATACCAAAAGCATTGTTTCGTTTCAAACCGCTCTCCGTATATCGCCCAACGACTATCACTGCTGGGTTGGCCTTGGGGAGAGTTACCATAATTCTGGCCGATATATCTCTGCTATCAAATCCTTCCAACACGCCCAGGCACTCGAAGAGACGCTATCCGAAGCTGATAGAGATCACATTTGGTTTGCAAGGTACATGATGGCGAACGTGATGCGAGAACTTGGAGATTTCCCGGAGGCTATTTCTAGGTACAAAGAAGTGCTGAACATGAAGCCTGATGAGTTTGGAATTTCAATCGCGCTACTACAAACGCTCACAGAAAGCTCTTGGAAATCCGTTGAATCCGGTGTTTTTAGCGACGCTGCAGAAATGGCTGCGACAACTATCAGGATGGGAATTTCAATTGCCAAACGACACCCTAATTCCGTCAATTTGTGGAAAGCAATCGGTGATGCGTTCTCCGCGTTCTCTTGGATTGAGAATAAAACTGCATTAATGCCTGTCTCAGAGTTTAAGGCGCTCTTGGATACACGGTGTGATTCGGAGGGCTTTCAGATACTGGCGGATCTCGATAACATAGGCTCGAACGTCAACGATCTCCTTGAAACGCCGAACTCGAATCTGCCGACGATTGCAGCTATCCTTGCGTATAAGCGTGCATTATCGGTCTCTAATGCTGATGTTCATGCTCGCGCGGTCGCATGGTACAACCTAGGTTGGGCAGAGTACCGTGCACACGTACGTCGCCTGGCCGAGCCGAGCAAGGCTAAAAAGGGTAAACACAGTGGGTTTCTCAAAGCCTCCATGCGCTGTTTCAAGAGAGCAATTGAACTCGAGGCCGGAAATTCTGAGTTCTGGAACGCACTTGGTATTGCATGCGCATCCTTGAGTCCAAAGGTTGCCCAGCATTCGTTCGTCAGGAGCCTGCACATCAACGAAAGGAGTGCATCAGTCTGGACGAACTTAGGTGCATTATATCTTTTGAATAACGATTTTCAACTGGCAAATGAAGCATTTACCAAAGCTCAGTCTGCAGATCCCGACCTTTCGCATGCTTGGTTAGGACAAGCCATTCTTGCATTCTTAATTGGGGACGTCGCTGAGGCTCGTGAACTCGTCACGCATGCATTCACTCTGGGGAATTCCAGCTTCGTTTTCCCAAAACGGCAATATACGACCTCTGTCTTTGACCACCTTTGCTCTAGCTCGGCATCCAGTGATCTATCCCATCTCATCCAACCTCTTTTTGCGCTTCATCAACTCCACACCCAAGAGCCATCAAATCTACCTCATGATCACCTGTCCGCCCTTCTAGCAGAGCGCCTCGGAGACACTGCCGGTGCAAAATCGAGCCTCGAACGCGTTTGCTCCACCGTTGAAACTGAATATGAAGCCACAGAATCTATTTCTGCTTTATCTCGATATTCCCAGGCGAAAGCAGATATGGCCCGTGCGCAGTTGGCCCATCTAGAGTATGAAACTGCTGTGGAGAGTGCAGAGACTGCCCTTAGTTTATCGAACGAAGACGGTGTAGCGGAGTTTGACACTGAGACACACAAAAAATTGCGGCTATCTGCACACTTAACGGCAGGGCTTGCGTATTATTATTTAAAGGAAATGGATAGAGCTATCGATATGTTCCGGGACGCTTTGCAGGAAGCTAACAGTTCTCCCGATGTTATATGTCTCCTCGCGCAAGTTTTGTGGGCCAAAGGAGGTGAAGAAGAAAGGAGCGTTGCTCGCGAGCAATTATTTAATTGCGTTGAGCAACATCCTGACCATGTTGGAGCCGTTACCCTTCTTGGTGTGATTGCGTTACTCGACATGGATGAGGACGCTATCGATGCGGTTGAGTCTGATCTTCAGAGCATGAGGACCAATAATGAACTGAGCATTCATGATCGCACGAAAGTATCCAAACTTTTGGCTGGTGTCTCGAGTATCACCTCCAAAAATGAACCTAATGTTTCGGAGGAGCAAAGCCGAATTCATCAAGCGAGCATTTCTGTCATGCTATCACCGAGTGAGCCGCAAGGCTGGAAAGCACTCGCTTTGGCGTCTTCAGAGGAGTTTCCGGCTCAAATGACTGTTCTCACCGCTCTTGGAAACATTCCACCGCACGGCTCACTCGGTGCAGTCGATGTCTCGAGAGCATGTGCTCTTACAGGACAGAGGCAAGATGCCCTAAAAGCTGTCATGGTGGCGCCATGGATTTCCGATGGCTGGGAGGAACTGAGTCATTGTCTGATTGAAGCATAGTGACAAAAAAAAATAAAATAAAATAAAGGCACATGACCACCAAATATAACCAGCGGTTTTCGCCGTGTGATACTGGTACGAACAAGATTAAACAATGTTTCTTGATGCCCACCGGGGTTCTAAGTTTGTTCGGGTTGCAATTGTTGCACCTTAGCTAGCAATCTATCTTTCCTGCCAGCATTCCATGCTGTGTCTGCATCTTCGATCTTGCCACCCAGCACAGTAACACAGCTTGGTTCAAGGAGCAGCATGCCTCTCGCAACAGTAGCGTTTTTGATAAGTAGTTTTGCGCCAATTGGCATTTTACCAATTCCTACGCTCTCGACCGGGCTTAGTTCAATAGCGACTACTTTCGTTCCTCGTGGATCTTCAAGGACAAGTCGATGTGGGCCTGACTTTGGAGACGTATTGTTGTTCCCCTGTAGTACGGCAGAATTGGAGCTCATATTTCCAGAATTAGGATTATTCCCTACAGTGGAATCTCCTCCCTCATCTCTCATCACAGTGCGGATAATTTCTCGTCCTCGTGTAGTCTCGCCCCTCTCCACTCGCTCAATTGCCTCAATCTGGGTCCATACACTGCTCCCGATGTCCTCAATATCGAGGACCTGTAAGGGAATTGGCCCGGGTATCTTCGTTTCTCTTATGTTTGGATCGGAGACGCTGGTTGGAAGGAGATTCGAAGGTGCCGGGGCTAGTGAGGTGGTAAAATCGGATGCAAGAAGGCGGAATAACGCAGTCTGAGTAAGGGCAGGTAGAGAAACCGGGATTGATCTTTGGGAAGAAAGAAATCTAGAAAGCCAGACTTGTGAAACCGGGAGAGATTTCACGGTTAGAAGATAGTGCGAAATGTGAGCATCAGGATTGGAGGCCATCATAGGAGAGAAGACTGAGCTGGTGAGAATCCACCTTAGAAGTTGATAATGAGGTTAAAACAAAGCCAATAATTAACATGCATTTCGTAGAGGATGTTACTCTGCAAAGATTCGATGAAGGAGGCTCGCTGGCCTGCATCCCTAAGCTATCCATAGGAGGATTTTCCTTAGACGACACGCGTTGCCAAAGCACGCGATAAAGTTCAAAAATGTTCCAAAGCACGGGCCACAACCTTATTTGCGAGTTTAATACATCATCCGTTGACAGCTGGCAATCCGTCTATTTCTCGTTGCCCTTACATCAGCGGAGGTGAATTACAAGCGTGCTATGGTTCCTAGCCTTATCTTTACGTCTACTTCTTGCGAAACAAAATGTCCACTATGTCGTCTCCCAGGCCCTCTATTACTTCCGCCCGCACGCCCACACCTACAGGCTCCCGAAGACCCTCTGTCGACAGCTTAGCCGTGAGCATCGCATCTACTCCCACCCACCGAGCCCCATCTCCATCCATCACACATCGCCGTAATAGAGCCGCACTGCGAGATTACTATAACCTGAGATCAAATCGCACCGAGCCATCGGTTTCAATTCAGCCAAGTGCGCGCAGCGCCCCTCGTGCCCAAGATAGCCTTGCGCCGCAACAGGCCACCCCAATTACCAACACTGAGCTTGACAACCCAAGTTTTGACCCGTCAGCCTATGTTTCACACCTTTTATCCACATCCTCTCTTTCAACAATTTTACGCGCTGAAAATTCACTTGTCAGCGATATTAGAACTCTTGACGGTGAACGCAAAGCTTTGGTATATGACAACTACTCAAAGTTAATAAAAGCAGTGGAAACCATTGGCAAGATGAGAACCACTTTAGAAGAAGAAGGTGCCCCAATGATTATGACGAAGACCCTTGGGCCAGCGATAGGATTTGTTGCTGAGACAGCTGGCACCCTGATCAAGGAGCAGGAAGAGATGAACAACAGAGGCAATGACGAGATTAGGCAATTAAAAGACAGGAAAAGCCCAGATAAACAAACTGTGAGATGGGTATTGGATACACCAAGGCGTCTCCGAGTCTTATTAGAAGAGGATAAAACCGACGACGCAGAGAGAGACTGGGAGGAGATAAAGCAGCTGCTAGCCAAGTGGGAACGGGTGAAAGGCGTTGAAGAGTTGAAGCGAGAATGCGAAGCCATTTTAAAACAGGAGAGGTAGAGAAACACGTCGTCTGCAAAGGACCTTAAAACGCCTGTGCCATCGAGACCCTGCATATGTTCACGCCATACACGCCTTGTCGATGATATAATTGGCGCAGGATATTCAGTCGAATCTTGACTGCGCTGTTTAACTGGCCGATACAGGAATGAACTCAATGAAAGAGGCAAGGTTTCTAAAAAATCTTATAAAATCAATTGTCTACTCCTGTCGCAAATATATGAATAATTTGGCGGCTATGAAACTCCTTGGAGAAAGACGAGAAAGAAGATTTCAAATGGCTAGAGTACTAAAACTTGACTCAACTTCCTTAAAAGCGTACGATAAACGTTATCCCGGTGATATGTTTCTATGCACGGGGCTACGTCGTCAAAAAGCTTGAGCAAAAGGATGCGAGGCAAAATCTACTCAGGTGATGATATTCGATGCCTTTTTTTAATTGTTAGAAAGGAGTACTAAAAATCGGACAGCATCTTGTTTTCAAAAGCATCTCGCACAAAGCGGCAACTGGGGATACAGACACCAACTGGAGTCGTCTCTAAATGGCCGTCAGGCCATGGTCTTCGATTATCTATCAATGGAATTTTTCACATTTTCTCTTGTAAAGATTTGAAACAAATGAGCTGTGTATGTCTTTACAATGTGACCACAGGATATAGGAAATCATTTTAGAGCTTCCAGATAATTTATTCATTGAGATTGAAGTACAAGCCGTCGAGGGTTTAACTAGCTAAACATGAGCACATTTTTACCAAGGCCCAAGGGTCATTGCATGAACCCTCACCACCCGCACGCGCCCATCTCATCTCAGGACTAGCAACAAGTGAGAATCTCAAAATTAAGATGATGGATTCTACAATAGAGTCCCCAGCATCATTGTCTACTTTATTTCTTGATCAGCCACCCAGCTGCTTAGCCTTCTGCCCAACCGCTCCCGATCATGTCTTGATCTCCACCTATCTGCTCATAGAAAATCCCGCAGCAGCAGAAAACTCCACGCCAGAATCAGTTCGAACCGGAAGCCTCCAACTCTTTCGCTTTGATCCACATCTATGTCATCTGTGAGACAATTTTTACGTCCCATGCGTCAAAACTCGCGCTTAACTAAATTATGCAGCTCTCCGGTGCAAAAGCTTTACTTAGATTCGGCAGTTTTCGACTTTCAGTTCTCGCCACGAGATCCAACTTTATTTGCTGTGGTCCTAAGCACACCTGTCGTATCATTATATCGCATTGAAGGTCCTAGTGGTGAGCCGAACGCTTCAGTGAAAATAGTGTTTGTGCGCTCCATTAATGTCCATGAAAACGCCAGCCAATTGGCTTTATTTCTTGCCTGGATTCCTTCTGGTGGCTCTAGTCGAGGTGAGAATGATGGTCAAGAAATTAAGGATGGCTTTGCGGTGTCATTCTCAGATGGCCGGGTTTCTGTGCTTTGCACAGATGCAGGAATTGAGAGCACCAATGAGATCGCAATCTCTGAAATTCGGTTCACTGGATACCCTATCGAGGTCTGGTACGTTGCTTTTTATTTAAAAACGGTTGAACATAAACAAATTCCGGTTTTGTTCGCCGGCGATGATATGCAGCATGTTCGTGGGGTCACACTCGAGGAAATTGAATGCGCTGGAAATGTATCATCACGCGCATGGCAACTTGACGACCGTGGACGATGTCATGATGCAGGAGTAACAGCTATTGTGCCTCTCTTCGCCGATGAGGTGGGCACGATTCTTCTCACAGGAAGTTATGACGAGCACATACGCGTTTACCACTTTAAGCCCCGGAGCGAAGTCCTGGCAAGCAAGAATATTGGCGGAGGAGTCTGGCGTCTCAGACTAATAAAAATTGAGCTTTTAGGGGATGCGGATAAAAGCACACCATCACAGTGGCAATTGGGATATAAGCGAATCCGAAGTTATCTGGTTTTAGCTAGCTGTATGCACGGGGGCGCCAGACTACTCCGTGTGAATCATTCTGTCCAACGGGAAGACGATGAAGGACAGTGGGAGATCGATGTGACTACCGAGTTTAAAGAGCATCAAAGTATGAACTATGCCTCAGACTTCTATAAAGGCAGAAAGGGGGGATTCGAAACGGACACTCAGGATCGTACTGTTCTTTGTGTGACAAGCAGCTTTTATGATAAAAGGGTCTGTGTATGGAAAGCAAGTACTTAAAGAGAGACGCAAAGTTTGCAACATCACCCTCCAAAACCCTGGAGCACCAAGTTTGTCTATACTTTAGAAATATGCGAAAACTAGGATTATATTATCCCTGCAAAGACAAGGGAGAAACAGAGATGTATGATACAATCCATGGCCATTGCATCTCCCATGCCCCACCCCGCGAAAAGCGTTCTACGAGTGAATATCAGACGATTGTCTCTAATTGTCTTGCGTAGCCGATCGCGTTCTCAATGACGTTGCCTCCCGTCAGGAGAATTTGCTTTTCGGATTGAGAGGCATCCTCGTCGGTCTGCTCTTCTTGCGTCGGGAAATATACTCTTCCATCTTTAAGAGTCCAGCCTCGCTCTTTCGCAAATTCTATAACGGCGCCTTCAGAGTTGAAGAATAGGAGGTTCTTTATATTGGAAATAGGCAAAGATGGATACGCTTTCTCCGAGCAGTCCGCAATCTCACTTCTAATCGTCCCAATAAGGATCTAAAGCATAGCATTAGCATTGAACTGGCATATAGAAATCTTAGCGAGGCAGTTGGTGAAGACATACATCAGAAAACAAACCAAAATCCGGAGATGGGACATTCTCCAGCTTGGTTTCCCTCCACACCTTATCATAACTTCCTTCCATCAAACTCCTCTCCAGTTCAACAGGGTATTTGATGAATGGATCATCTTCTACTATGCGACCCTGAATAGAGGCTTCTTCCACTAAACCTTCCAATACTGTGTGGAAATCGGTATTATTACCCATGCTCAACAACAAAAGCAAATAAAGCCCGGTGATCTTGCTCCTCTGACTTGTGTGTACGTTGATCTGTGATGTACTTCCCTGCGTCGCAATAATATGTCGCTCGATGTCGTAAAATGGCTGAAGTTGTTGGTAATATCTGGTGAACGATGGGGCATCGCCTCGACGTATTGAAGTAATGGCGCCTAGCTCCAGGATTTCGCGGGCAAGAGAGAAAAGTCTTGGGGGGGTGGAGGATGTGGGAATCAGGGCATTTAGCTGTAGCAGTGCTAGTTTCGAACGGCTAAGAAGCGCAAGAGCTTGGTCGAGCTGCTCATTTTGAAGACTGCCGTGGAGCTCGGTGACAAGAGCTTGGAGTTCGTCGGGTGCCATGGCTGGCAGATTCGAGGTAGCAATGGGCGATCTTTAGGGAAAAGGAAAAAGCCAGAACCAGAAATAACTCGGACTGGCTCTAGTCAGATGACAGAAGGGGGAAAATTCTATTCTTTTGCGATATAAATGAACTGGATCAAGGGATGTCTGTTCGTCTTGGGCCCGTCAGAAGCTCAACGTCACGGGAGCGCCTGATGGCGGATAATTAGATATTCCTTCCGTTGGCATCCTACGTACGCTAGCCAAATTAGGCTAGACAATTCATTCGGGATATGGAGAGGAGGTGCTCCGTACGGAGTAGTACTCCATTTATCTAAACCGATGACTTGGCGCCGAACATTTGTTTTCATTGCGAAGCAGGGCTCAGTGAGGGTCGACCCACTCCACGGGACAAGAAGTAAATAGGCATATAACTGAAATGTTCTGCTAGATTGTTATTTTTTGCAATTGATTTTTCCACCGTGGTCAGGCAGGCGCTGGATTATGTTCTGAAACCACCAAGTGATGGGTGATTCATAAGAGCAATTATAAGATCTACAGTTGCAAAGCTTCAAAAATTAACACCATCTGTCTCTCTTTTGAAATGTCAATTTTCTTGCCAATGGGGTCTTTCTGAACCCCTAAAACCTCAACACATTGAGTGGGTTTTCACACTCCTCTGGAGTTAATCCAGAGACTCTTGTTTGCGTAGGCCGCGTCCCCTGTGATCGATCACCTAATGCAACCGTACAGAGTGTTCTCTTTATTTGTCCTATGATGGCTGATATTGGTTTTTCTATATCTATGGCAAATTTTCCTTCCCATGGGTGGCAGTTCTCCTTTGGGTGTTTCATAAAGAGAAATCTCTGGCAATAGCTGCTTTGCCTGTGACTATTCCAGTGACTACTTCCTCCAGTTACGTTCCGCGGGCACTCTGATTTCTACTTCCATCTCAATGCTAGTTAGGTGCAGCTCTAGCCAGGAAATGTGAAGCATAGAGCCATCGTGGCTGGGAACAAGCAGAGATGGAAGAATCATGAATCAAGATGTTTGAATGACCCAGACACACGCAAAGCAGAACTATTTCCTCAGATTGTTTCTATGCTAATTGACTCTATAAGCTCATCATCAAATTTCTGTACTATTTCCTTTCTAGTGTAGATAATAGGTGCATATGTATCCTTCCACTACAGATCACAGTGGCCTTGGACAAGCATAGAAGCTGATGATGAGACCAGCTGTTTGGAAGCTTTCAATACCTTTCTGGAAGTTATATAATAACTTGTTTGCCAAAACCTACTAATTAATTGTTGTCTTTCATGTGTTGCTAATTTTGCACATGTTTTCAATCTTAGTGTAGGGGCAAACTGCTTTCGATTCTCCAGCAACTCTGATCCTTCCCATTTACGGAGTGCCTAGATAATATCCATCAATGACGCAAAAGCCGCCTCCTGTAGCTCCAGTTTAAACGCCAGTTATAATCCCACTAGGGCCAACTGACCCCAATCTTCGCTTAGGTGGGCGTCCCTTATCATCCTTCTCATGATCATCTTTATGGTATTCATACACGGAGCCCTCCGAAGCTCTCCTTGGCCGGCAAGTTGGGCACACAGTTGTTTCTGCCCAATCGCGGGTTCTCGCCTTGTCTGATGGCTGGATAATTGCACACAGGCGACCTCTTTGCAAGGCTTCAGCGCACCAGTAGATTTCAGAGCCGAGAAGGTGAGGTGCGGTATGACCGCATTTCCAGGTATATTCGACGGGATCGTCCTTCACGCACATTTTGATAGAGATGACGAGGATGGGAATGAAAATCTCGATAGGTCTCGAGGATGTTGGGTGATGAAATGGGGTGACGTCACTTCTTTTGTGGACCCAAAGCTATGGATTTATGGCAGAGAACAAACTCCAAAAGGGGTTTGGCCATCAATTGACTTTTTCCGAACAAGTTAACTGGTACGTCAACTCTCTGCAGGCAAAGCCATGCGATTCCACGCCCACATTTAGACCATCGAATATCTCAACCAGTGAGCATTCAATGGTCAAATTGCTGCGTGTGTTATATGTTATATGTGCCCATCTACAGTTATGTGCAGTACCATACGGGCCGTACATGGAGGCCATACATTTTGGCCAGATACGTACAGGTATGCATTCTACCATATGCGCATGCTCCGTACTTGTGTAGAATACGTGTGAAGCTAAGCCTTGCTGAATTTTCTTAGTATCGAGTATAGCTGGCCGTCAGCAGAAAAACAACACTACGTCTCCAGAAAATTTTCGGTTCTGAAAAATATGCAGAGACATTTGCTCGCGTCTGGGTCACTTTTGGAGCCGTCTAGAACCACAACGGGAATACACGATGTATCGACATACGATTCTGCATGAATCTATCGCGCGAACTACGGGGTCTTTCGGGCCAAGTGCAGGTGATCCGAACCGTACCCCACGCCATTTCCCGACATCTTCTACAGGGTAGCTGGTTGAGAATTCTTGATACGAGTCAGGTTGGCACACACCTTCGTCACGTTAAACCGGCCGATAAAAATCCCTAGCTGGGTATCCCCATCAAATTAGTTATCGGAATGTGTCATGTCTGGCATTCCGGGTCAAATTCGATACGAACATCAAATGTCTTGTGCTATTCGAGAGTTGACAAAGCCCTCGGCTACTTTGGCTTAATTTGACTGTGACAGGCTATGCTAGAATATGAAAGCACCGGCCAGCCATCCTTCAACCTCACAATTCCGACCAGGGATCCAGATTCGGGCGCGGGCTGCAGGAAGCCGATCGAAATTTTATCTTCTCAGTGGTGTCAGGACAGGGATGTTCAAACAAACAGGCCTGGACCTTGCTTTATGATTCCCAAAGATCGGGAGAAATTAGGATGCCGCTTAGCGCGCGAAGCCGCCGGCAGATCGCCCGAGCAGAGTCTAGACCTCCGTGGAATCGTGACTGGCTTTTGCAATGAAAACGACGCCTTTTTTAAAGACTGAGCCTGCGTTCGGAACTTGCGGGGCATGCTCTTAATCGTTTCCCGCCTTGAAAAGGATTCAAAAAAGCCACCGTGTCGATGAAGGTCTGGAACTCTCGGCTGAAAGAAGCATACGGGACCCCATTCTACAGGGGATGCAAACAACTCCCATGCCTTTCGCATCGCTTCGCCCCAAACGCTCTAGTCGAGGTCCGAGCTTTTGAAAAAGCTGACGTTGCAATGCAGTAGAGGAACAATCCCACTTCTAGCGGTGTGTCCGTTTATTTCAAGGATAGAACCGGTGCATTTAATCGCAGTTCACAAATAACCACGACCCACGTGCCCGTCACTGTTCATGTCAATGAGCAACTACACCATATGCTATGAGCTTAACAGTGGTTGCTTCACCTCAGGAAGAACTTGTGTGCATTTCGCCCAAGCACTCCTAGCGCATCAATACGCTGTGCCCGCTCGTCATCACTTTTTCAGACTGACAAGTACAGATCTGCACATTTTTACATACACATTACGGAGAATATACTTGTGCACAATATATGCATGTACTGTACACACAATGCTGATGGCTACTGTGGCCTGATGTTTAGAAATCCACCATCTTGGGCTATCCTGGGGAAGCTTCTAGTAGTGGGAATGCTCCACCGTCAGCTCCTGCATGCAATCGATAGCTTGTCAATTGGACTGCAAGGCGTTGAAATTTTAGGCTTCCACTCCATGCCGTTTATATTTCAAACACCATGAAAAATCCACAGATCACAGGGATACACATGACCGCACATGACAGTGATTCTCGCTGATGGACAGCTTTCCGACAGGACCCTTGTGAAGCTGTGCAGCTATGTGCTTAGCTTGATGAAGCGATGAATTTTTTTTTTTCCTAAGACCGGAAGGGCCGTCTCGCACAGCCTCTGTGGAAAACAGCAGATCTGTGTGACATTCTCCCTACTTCCCGTCGATAGACCGTATTTGTTACACCACCGCGAAATACCTAGTTGATTGACAACTTTGCCGACTCGAAAATCGCATCCGCCGGAGTTAGAACTCAGTTTGATTCGTTCCTCAACTCCGCTTGAAACATCGGTGACAGCCCCCAACTTAGCCTCCATGATGGTTAACTACCTACATGCATAGTGTTTTCTAGGCCCCAAAGAAAATGGCGTATGAATGATGCGAGCTACTGTTCTCAATCGAATACGCTGGAACGACCCGCATCCTTGGTCCGACTGCGATGCTCCTGGGCTCAAGAGAAGGTCGCCGTCCGTATGTTTGACGAATTCAAGGCTGATTTCGGAGTGATTGAAGGCTCAAAGAGTGCTCGATCCGGCGCAGCCACCAGGCTCGGATCCACTCAAGAGGGGGGGCATTGGGTTTGAAATCGACGATTCGTCCGATGCGGCCTGTAGATCGTCATTATGTTCTCATTCCATTATGGGAGGAATGCCTTCTGTATGCTGCTAATGCTTTACACTTCATACATCCAACTCCAATGATGTATTTTCAATTGGTTGATGGTGCCTGCGCAGGCTCGGTTTTAATTTGCCAAAAGCTGGTATGAACCCACAGCCATTGCCAAGCTCACCGGAAATTAAGCCTTGATTTTTTGCTCTTTGACACCTCAACGCATGCCCTCAACTGGCATGGGTATGGCGGCTGCGCACCAACAAGCCACAGCCCTAGGCATGTGCAGCGATTGACGTGAAGCCAATTTCGCTGCAAAAGGCTAGAATCTAGCTGCCGTTACGGAATATTTCCATGGTTTGCAGAAATAATCTTTGGAATATCGTTGTTAACTAAATGTACGGTCTTTCATTAAACAAAACCACGCTGCGGAATGTTGGCTGTGTGCTTCGGCTATGTTCGAGTCACTGAAGTTGTCTGCCTGGGAGTAGTAGCGAGCCCTCCGCGCTATTCTTTTGCTGGTCACCCACCCGCCTACATTAGGGCGGTTCAGTTCTTCTCGCCCTCTTTTCTTTGCTTTTTCTTCTTTTTGGCGTCTCATGATGCCTGTCAAGTGTCAATGCAGGTATCTGTGGCTTGAAGCCACAGAAATCGATATCGCCTTCCAGATCCTAAGGAAGGATAGCAAGTAATACTTGACCGCTTATTCTTATTGCCTGTGATTCGGTGCGGATGGCAAGAGGAACCGTAAGCTTGCCTCTGTCCACCAAGCTCCTGTTTCAGGAAATGGCAATTGTTGCGCCTTTGGCTCCTTCTGACGCCTTTTTGCTCAAGCCATTCTGATGCGTTGTTGATTGTCGCCTTTTGCCTTCCTAACCCGATTCTAGGCCATTCCTCGCGGAGATCTTGCAGGGATGCAATAGGCTAGAGCTTATGGGTAAAAGATGCATTGATGCCCGGCAATCCACCGTTTGCGATGCTCCTGGATATCAGCAGGCAACCCGCAGTCAAGTCTTTTCTTAATTCTGTGAACCTCTTTCCGTGGAATCTAGGACGCATCTCTATAAATGATGGGGACCTTCCCTTCATGTTGCTCCTTCATCTCCAGTTAGACATACCAGCCGCTTCCTCCTTTCAAGGCAACCCACTCTCTTCGAACATACATTTGGGAAACGGAGAGCCAACTACACTTGCAAATTCCACAAGCCGTTTTGTTCCTCAAAGGCCACTCCTAAGAGTGCCCAGTTCCCCCCATCCGAGACACGTCAAAAATGACAAGCCCCGAGCAACAAAGATTGACTCAAACGTCCCTTAAGCTCTTGGAGAAGTTGCCGGAGCCAGTACGTTGCATTCTTTGCTTTTCCTTTCTTTTATATTGAGTCAAAGCCTAACTGTATCATTAGAAGCCCGAGCTACAGGACAGTTACGCTGCCGCTACCGTCAGGCGAGAACAGTTTCGTTCTTTGCACCAAGAACAAGGGCAGGTTCTGCTTGACAGTAATGGCGCTTCAGAGAGTAAATCCTTTCAGAACACAAGTTTTCCATCGGAATCCTCAAATCCACTGTGCCAGACGCCCTCGCACGGCCCCGAACAACTGGATAACGACTTGAAACTAGTCCAAGGATTTGCCAAGTCCGCCATCGAGGATCCAGTAGAACGGCACTTGACACCTGGTCACATCGCTGACCCACCCCATGTCGCCAAGCAAGGGCTTGAAAAGCTCAAAACGCCATACGCAAGTGCAGAATCTATTGAGAATCGGAGATTGATTGCTCAGCTCAACGCTGAGGGGGCCCGCAAACCGCCAGCGAAAATAAAGCGACGAAAGAGCTCTATGGAAGTTGAGATGAGCTGCTCTGCTCCTGATTCTAACCAAGTTTTTGAGATGACCCTTCCCTAAAAGGGGGATCCAGATATACACAGCCTTGTTTGTTAGCGCTGTCCACTGGCTATTTTTCTCCTCGTCGAAAACAGTTGGCTTCCATTTTCACTTCCGTTGATGGCTTCACCCCAGTCGAAGTTCCTGTTTCTTATTTTTCGGTCCAATATCATAACTAGTTTTAGATTTCCTGTTTTACGCTAGGCTTGTTTCGCCCTTGTCTACATTTCTCTTGGGGCGCAAACTTTTCGAGAGAACGCTACTATCACTTAGCTAGTGCTCCGCAAAGCATAAAATACTTTTACGCGTCAAGCAATGCTTTGACTCAGAAATGGGATTGTCCAATGTAATCGAAATTGTCCAACATTGAACCTTGGGCACTGAGCTTGTTCACCGCTACTTCGCATTCAGCGCCCTGCTGGACATATTTACAACACCCTCGAGCCTCTCGATAATGGAGGAAAAAGAATGGTTATTTCCGGTAAGATTCCATGTGGCTGTATGGATGATCTTCTGCTTGCTTCAGGACCCAAATGTTCGGATTGGTCCAAGGCGCGTGCGGCACTCTGAATTAAACGGCAGACGCCAGACCCAAATTCCCATTCTTCGGGATTTCCAGCTGGTTCGGTTCGGAATTTCTACATTAATTAGCGCAGCCTCTCCCGCTCATCTCCATCTTCTTCAGCTCGTTCACTTCACCTAAGATGTGGCCAAATTCCGGAGTACTGATACAAAATTAAATGTCTTTTTTGAGTTTGCAGGTACATATGTGCCCGGTCCAAACAAGAGAAGATCAGCATCCCCTTCTCTTCACCTTCCTCTTCCCCCGTTTTGTGTAACTCTCTTGCCTGGCCCTCACAGAATAAAGAAATATCTGAAGCCCAGGAGAGTAGTGACTGACTTCTGCCAGCGCTGCCTAATAAGGTCTTGTTTGGGGGGGAGGAGGGGGGAGTAGTAGGCGACGAATGCGACCAACAAGGCCTGGTGAAGAAGAGCAGAGGATTAAGATGGCCTTAAGGTCATTAAAAGCAAAATCCTGATACTGACTACCAAGACTAACTTGAAGATTAACCATGCAAAATAATTAATCATCATATCATTATTCTAGCACGGGTAGGCCATCTAATAGTATGCGACTAGCAAAACAAGAAAAATAAGATGAAAACAAAATCCACCATTTCATGCATGCAAAGGCTATGCTGTGGGATCACGAGAAGTGGCTGCAAAAGCCGACGCCAAGAACTTGGTATGTAGGTCACGGGCATCCAGGGGCGGGCCCGAGAGTGTTGTGGGTACCATCGTGAGACTCGGCGAGGGCACGAGGAAGTACCCCCCCTATTAGACGCTCACTGTGTCCAAGGGACTGTGAACTGAAAACGTTGGGATCGATTCCTCTCTATATCGACATTGGCACGCCGTCTCGAAAAGGCCGATGCTGCCGTACGATTTTGGTTAGGTCGTCTCCTCAAGGCTGGCATGACTACGTTGCTGACGTAGTCCTCGGACATGCCGAAATCCAAGGAGTCCTGCAGGCCTCGAATCATCCGATTGGCATACTCCTCTCGAGGAGCTGAGTCAGTGGTGTACTGTGGACTGAGATACACCAACGCCTTAACCGTTACCCTTTCTCCATCGCTGCGAACGGGTCGGACGGAGCTCCCACGTTGACTTCTCGGCCCGTTCCTCAGAAAGTACAGATCAATGTCAAGCAGATGCTTCTCGTATGCTTTTGGCACGCCTTCATGCCTGTCGAGACGAGCTTCATCCTCCTTGCTCAGCATGTAACAGAGCCCTTCCACACGGTGCCCCCGCGATGGAACCACGTTCGCGTATCCCCGCTGATAGATTGCTTCCAAAGGCGAAGTAGATATGATATTTTTCGTGCCGGCTTGCAGCAGGGACACTAGCCGCACGTCCAGGCAGCGTAGGATGATTTTTTTCTAGTGGGGTTGTTCATTTTGGGCCTTCGAGGAATATTTGAAGCATCAAGTTGGAATGTATAGAAGTAAGTTAAACGACGAGTTTTAGCGAATTTTAGTTGAATCTCTCGGATGGATGTGAATAGTCTTCAATCAACTCATAAGAAGAGCGACCAAGAAAAGGAATAGAGTACTCCGTACTCCGTATTTATAAGAGGATAAGAGAAAAAGAATAAGGTACTGTAAGGCTGAGTGATGCGGGGGACGTGGGTCGAAATCACGATCTCCACGTCGCGTTTGCCGCCTGTTGTTCCACCGCCAGAGGTACTGTTGTATCACTACTCCGTACTCCATAGCGACAAAGGAGTGACAATTGTCTACAGTCTTGCTTCAGATTCGCTTTTTTGATTTTTTGATTTGATTTTTATTTTTATTTTATTTTATTTTATTTTTTGCCTGCGCAGCAACGAGGTTCTCGACGCGGCTCAACTACTGTAGCACGCGGCGTCTTGGTTCGGCTGGCGGGACCGGGACGCGGAGTGGCGTGGGCCAATCACCCGGGGTTTGTCCTTAACCGCAGCTCCCATGACCACCATCCCGCACCCGAGAATGCCTGCAACTTTCCAATTCTCTTGTTCCAGACCGCCGGCATTGTTTTCCACCCAACAGCGTCTTGATCCCTAACATTCTGCAACACCACGGAACTTGGCTCCGAAGTACGGAGTAGTCAGCCAGGATACCTACCAGCATCGCTTCGCTAGTACGGAGTACTTATCATCTAATTGATGGGATGGAAGGAAGATTCTGGGACGGGGCACCGTCCTCATTTCTCTGGTTTGAGGCAGGGTCCAAACGAGCACTGGTGGTTGGATATGCCAGGACGGCTGCGCATTATTGACCAACGAGGCGAACCCGGTTTCAGCTGTCATCTCTGTTAAGGTGGCGATTGTCACCGCTCGAAACGGCTTCTAAAGGTCAGGCTGCATTTTCCCTACCCAACGGGAGCTCAGGCGATGAGCCCTCGCCCACTCCACGCCGTGCTACTGGACGAATCCCCTTGACTTGCATCAAAGCCGCCCCCCAAATTGGCTAGATCCTTTCCACCACAAACTAGTCTTTGCGGCAGACGAAAATGGTAACGCACAACCCCAGCCGTGCACAGCCATACCGAGTGCATATATACACATAGTTACCCCGATTCTTCCATTACATTCAAAAATTCCACCGAAATGGAATGCTGGGTTTCGACCATGCTGTATTGTGATTGCGAACACTTCAACCCCCAAAGGTACGTCTTCTTTGGAAGGAGATCTTGATTTCTATAATTACTCCCTGAGACGAGCTTTTCATACCTTTATCCTACTGTGGAAAATAGATATGGCCCGAAGATCCAATGGCGCATATGGCGTTTGGACTTTTTTATTTTATCCTGCTGGCTGGAGTCTGGTGACCATTCATTAATCATTCGTTATAGCTTGATTGCATCTACGTCTGCTACATTGCTTTGAAATTTACTGGCCGAGGAAACCCCTTGGACGAGGTACTAGATGGCCGGAAACCGAGGACCTACAATCTGACAAGACCTACGGACATTGACCTGCCTGGAATTGTTTGACATTTCAACTCCCTGGTTAGGGAGCAGACCTATTCTGTTGCATGACCCGTTTTCTTTGCCGGTCGTCTCCACATTTAGATCTTTTTTCTTTATGTTCGCATTTTCAAAATATTCTCGCCCAATTTCCAAGCCGATCGCTTGGAGGACGGTTCTAAGTTTTGATTTGCAGACAAATCATGGGCCTCCCGCCTGAACGAATAGAAATGATGAAGCCCCGAAGGGCCGCCGGAGAACTACCTATCAGCCCACATTATGAGTGTTCCCCAGGAAAGGGTTCTTTGCAAGGGATTGATGACCAGGAAGACAATGGCCTCCGCGAGATCGCTTTCACAAACCCTAGCTGTGAAAGCAGCGTGCTGGTAGGTTATCGAAATGGCCGGTTGGAGAACCGTTCCCAGAATCGCAAGATATCCCAGGAGGACACATTTGCCCGTATGTCAGACCCATTGATGCGACATACAACGAATGAAGGACTTATCAATCAAGCTTTGACCAATAATGCTGCCGTGGTCAATGCAGGGGCGTCTTACCAGCCCCATCTTTTTTTGCCAGGCATCAACCCTTCTTATCCAAGTTGCGCTTCCAGTCCGTATGGAGCAGCTTCCGAGGGCAATACTAGAAGTCCAGGTCAACCGGGCCGGGTACAATGTCCCGGGCCACATAATTCCTACCCACATGAGCCGGATGGAAGTCCAGATATTTCAAGTAAACCTGTGGAAGGCTTTGTGCCATCAGAGCTGCATAATGATCCACAAGGGAAAAATGCCCTCTGCGACAAAGCGTTTGGAACCTTGGGAAACACTCTGATGACAGACGGATCGGACCAGGCGACATTCAATGGCAAACTTAGTGACGGTAACGGTCCGCTGCCTTCTACGACAAGTATGAGACGCGATGAGCCTCCCTACCATAAACAGTAATGACCATGCTAATACTTCTGTTCAATGACCTTAGAGGCAATTCCCATTGCGCTTCCATCATTTTCCCCGCAGGTGGAACGCAATGGGGACCATCTTGCTTCCTCGTTTCCGCATTCTAGCTCTATCTTGAGTTCGTCATTTAAGAGTGGTATCAGCTATACAGCGAGTTCCCGATACAAATCTGGAATTTCTAAAGCCCAGTCACGCACCCTTAAACGGCCAAACTTCTCAGTCTGGGATTCGGCTTCTGGACAGGAGCTAGAGGAGCCACCACCACGACGTCAGCGGACGGAGAAAGAAAAACAGAAGACGGCAAGGATCCGTGAGCTGGGCGGGGCCTGTGCGGATTGCAAGAAGAATCATCGCTCTGTGAGTCCGTTTTTCTGTTCGTTCGTTTGTTATTTTTATATTTAGGTGGCTGATTTTATATCGTTGGTGTGACAGTGTAAGATTGAGCATCTCATACCGGCCGACGGTAAGTATAGTGAGTACATACATCCTACTATCATCGCGCCTTGTTAGCCGAAGACGATATTGATTCCTGGACACAGCGAAAATGCTAGAACCAGATATAAGTTTTCTTCAGGAAGACATGTCACAAAGCCTCGGCACATCCTATGGGACCATGGGAATTCTCGAGTCAGGCCTAGCCAGAACAAGACTTTGTTCCGCTCCAGTGAATGCTCCATGCCTTGTGACAGAAGCGATTTCTGGAACCGGTGAACAATTTATGTATGTCCCCTGCAAACGTATGTGGGCTTATTTAAAACAGCTGCTTATCATTTCTTTGCGCCTTGTCTTTTGGCAAATAGGCAATATAGTTATCAATCTAGACCAGATTCTATGCCGGTGTCCAACATGAATGGGCTGTATGGTGATGTCCAAAGCCTTGATTTCAACGCCCGCGAACTTCAGGATCCACACACTAGCACCGAGCAAAACTTTAGCCTGTCCCAGACTCACGAATATTCCTTCGAGGACCTATTTCATTTTGGAGATATTAATGATATTGATATCCTGCATAATCTCTCTTTTTGATGCTTGCAGTTTTTAGTGCGATGACAGAGTTTCAGCGTTATGATAGATATTAGCCATATCGGACTCTAATATCGAATCGAGCGTGTTTTTCGAGCGCGTTTCGCAGTTGCCATATTCCCATGAGTACTTTGTACGGTTTTTGATATTTCCACCTAGGCCCACGGCCATTTTCTTTTTTTTTTTTTTTTTTTGTGGAAGTAATGTTGTTTTCAGATTTTATGGAGTACGACCGGTTTTGAGGCGAGGGTGGGAGGTCTTGTTGTATCTAATACCTTTTCAACTGTTAATTGCTACATTAGTAATAGTCGACACTGTCTGGGAATACATAGACATACATATGATAGTGTCACCCACTGATTATAAATTCACAATGCAGCAGCGATTTTGAGTGGCCTGACGTTTCGAGAATCCCCTTTATTTCGTGTGGTATCTTCAAAGGGGTATTTCCATTCCATAAATTTCGCCCACCCTATGAAAGATTAGCAAGATAATCTAGGCATCTCCCTTGAACTCGAACACACGGTGGACATACACCAATAGGCACACTTCCGCCCCAAAAACTTCCCCGCAAACGGTACTATCACCATTGTCACCAGGAGCTCTAGTTGCCGCATGCTTTCCCGCCATTCCGCTTCTGCGTCGGATTCGTCTTCATCTTCATCGTCATACATGGATAAATGGTCTGCCAGTGATGAATCTGACGCGGACGAGGACGGAAGGGAGGCTACATCCTCCTCGGAGGAATCGTGGTGGATTTGAGAGGCGAACATATAACTGGAGGAAGACGGGGAGGTGGTCATGTTTATGCGTGGGGAAGAAGAGAAGCTGGACATGATCGTTGTCGATATGGATCTAGGTCTCGGTCCCTGGTTGAGCTAGAGACAGTACTCGGCAGGCGAAGTGAGTGGTGGGTTGGCGTTCGAAAGGGTGTTCTTGGAGGGAGAAGGCATTGACTGGTTTCACAGGGGAGATAACTTTTGGTGGGCGATGGTGATTACAGTAACTATTGCGAGTATATGTATGTACATAAAGCCTTTCTGTTCAGTAAGATCATGGTCTTAAGAATCACTCCATCATCGCCCAGCCCATGACGGACGGCAGGATGCAGCCTGAGGCGACTAACCCGGTCACGTGAAGTATCTGCGGATTAGTCACTGAGTTTTCACGTTCTTGATAAGCGCAGTCATAATGAGCCCTCAACAAAAAGATTCCAACTACCAGCTCACCTGCAGCGATACCATCTGATAATCTCAGTTCCATTCATACCCAGGTCTTAAGCACTAAGGCTCTGCAAATCTCCCTTCTCTTGTCAGGAGAATTTTCAAAAGCTGTGCCCATCATGGCGGACATGGTACGTCATCTGAGGTTCCCCTTGTCTCCCCACGATCCTCGCCACACGAGTCTTGCCCGCGGTGAAAAGTTGTGAGTGTGATCATGACCAATGCTAACGCCAGTCATATAATGCAGGAGGTTCAGATGCCCGAAAAGAAACACAGAAAGTCTGTTGCATTCAGTGAAGGCGCCACAGTCATGGATGCGAATGGCTCTATCACTGAGGCGGGCCATGTGACGAAATCCACCGCTGAGAAGCACACTGCGGGTAAGTTAATTCTATTTCATAGTGTTGTGAAATTGCTTTTCCTGTCTCAAGCCCTAGTAATGTGTTTTTTGTTACAGCAACCCCAGATAAAGAGGTCGACGAAGTGACAGAACTTTTCAAGAGTTTACCAAAAAAGAAGAAGTCTTCCAAAAAGAAGGATGCCGAAGCGGCCGCAGATGGCGAAGATGGTGCTGCTGATGGGGCCTTCGATCCATCGACAATGAAAAAGAAGAAGAAGAGCAGCTCGAAAAAGAAGACCGTCGATGCTGGAGACTTCGAGGCTAAACTCGCCGAAGCTGGTCTTGGTGCCGAGGAAGAGCCTGCTGCGGAAGAAAAACCATCCCCCGAACAAATTGCCAAGGACCTCGAGAGCGGAACCGGTATCTGGGCTCATGAAGCTACCCAGCCCATCCCCTACTCGTATCTCGTTACACGCTTCTTCAGCCTTATCCACAGCCATCATCCAGACTTGTTAGCCAGCGGGTCCAAGTCTTATAAGATTCCGCCACCACAGTGCTTGCGCGAAGGCAATCGGAGGACGATCTTTGCTAACATTGCGGATATCTGCAAGCGAATGAAGAGATCGGAAGATCACGTCACTCAGTTCTTGTTCGCTGAATTGGGTACCAGCGGCTCAGTTGACGGCAACCGACGATTGGTCATCAAGGGTCGTTTCCAGCAGAAACAGATTGAAAACGTTTTGAGACGATATATCGGTATGTGGGCCCTTAACCTTGAGCTTCCCCAATTGTAATATCTCTAACACATGCCGCTTGAACAGTCGAATATGTCACCTGCAAGACCTGCCGCAGCCCCGACACCGAACTCAACAAGGGAGAAAATCGTTTGTACTTCGTTACTTGCAACTCCTGCGGCAGTCGTCGCAGTGTCACTGCCATCAAGACAGGTTTCCGTGGCCAGGTCGGAAGGCGGAAGAGGCAGCCGTAGATGCAATATTGTCTTTTGTTTGCTTTCTACGTTACTCTACGATGTTATCTCCTTGCAAAAGTAACGACCGGATCCATGTCATTTTCACATATTACCCCTGAATGTCGTCGTGGTCGCATAGCTCAATGACTTCATTTTCTGACTGATGGTATTCGTTTCTGGATCACGATTTATGCTTGCTTACATCATTTGCTGCGTGGTTGGCATAGTATTTTAAATCTTTATTCAGCTTTCCTCTCATTCTTAAAAGGATATTTCTAAAAGTGAGTAATCAATATTGCTGAGTTGAACACCGTTCTCCAAGTATTCCAGTGGAAACTGAAGTTTGTCTCCTTTTTAAACCTCGTGCCAGAAATCCCGGGGCATTTTTAGGACAAGGTTAAGTAGGGTGGGGGTTGCCCCTCAATAAGGTCCTATGGTCTAGTGGTTATGACTCCGGATTTTGATATACTCAAGAATTCCGGCATCCTGGGTTCGAATCCCAGTAGGACCTGATGACTTTCTTTCGAAATTGTTTTTCATTTTTGATATCGCTACCCCCTTTTTTTTTTTTTTTGAGTGGGGTAAACGATGGTGGAAAATCGCCGTGTCACACACCGCCCATCCTGATACATTACCTTCAAGCATCCTCGAACCACATCATTATCATCATCTTCATCATTATCATCATCTTCATCATTATCATCATCTTCATCATTATCATCATCTTCATCATTATCATCATCTTCATCATCATCATCATTAAAGGGAGGTATATCACATAAGAATTTAAAGCTCAGCTGGCAACGAATTGATATCATAACAGTACGGTATTAATCAGCGGATAATCAGAAACGTGTCAAAGGTACTCGATGCGGAGTAAATGAAATATCTTCTTAAGCCCCACTCACACCTCCATTAGCCAAAACCCAATGCGCAAATGCTTGCGCATTTCTCGTCTGCATGTAAATAGTTCCCGGTCCGGTGAACTTGCACACCAACCCTTCGCCGGAGGCTAAACCGGACATGATTCCTCCGGAGGCAACACGCTCCATCACGTAGTTGCAGGTCCATGCGACAAGATGGCCGTTATCAACGATATATTTCTCGCCAGCGACAAGCTGTTAAAAGTCAGTCAGTGCCCATCGCAAAAATACCAAAGGGCCCCAGACATACATCTTTCTTGATAATCGCGCCAAAGCTTTGGATGAAAAGGATACCGGTACCGCTGACTGTATAGATATACAGGCCTTCGCCGGAAAAAAAAGCCTTGCCTAGTCCCTGGCGCTTATAGTCTTTGACGATGCCTTGTGTGCAAGCCAAAAAGGCGTCTTTACCAACAAACCATTGCTCCTGCCCGTTGAGACGGAGAAGGGAAATGTCACCCAGTGCAGAAGGTGCCAGGAGGAGTTCACCCGGGCCAGTGTATGTTGAGGACGACATCTCGCCACCAGCCAGCATCTTCTTCACAGAGAATTTTACTGAGCCTTTGAGGGTCATTGTGGGTGACATGGCAATCATAGCCCCTGAACAATCGTCTTGTCAGCATACAGCTTAAAAGATGTATATCACAAAATCTACACGGCAATGGATACCACCGAAAAGGACGTACCGGGCTTGGCAGTCAATGGACATCCCATTGCAAGCTGAAGAGTCAAAATCGAATTGGAATCACGATGACTGATGCGATAGCTGCCTCCATTGAACGTGCCAACATCATCTGCAGCTGTGGATTGGGCTCCTACAAACTGGCCAGCTGGTGGCGCACCACCAGGCATCTGTTCCATCTTTGGCGGAGGTGTAGGTTGTGGCATTTGAGGGGGTGTTTGTGTCATCGGAGGAGGTGAGTTCGCGTGTGGTGGTGGAGAGCCATGGCCACCTGTTGGGGGTGGCGCGAACTGAGGAGCTCCTTGTGCCCCTGGGGGAGGAGGATAGTTGTAGCTCTGCTGTTGTGGTGGAGGGAATGCACTTTGCTGGGGAGGAGGAGGATAGGCTACAGCACAGCAGTCAATGGAGATATTTCGGCTACAAGTGAGAGCCCTCATCAACACTCTTCTATGAACACGGGTTCAAAGTACCTCCTCCTTGTTGCATTGGTGCTAAATAGCATAGCTTGTATTAGTGAATTGCAGGACACAGAAGCCAGCAGAGAGGCTTACGCGGATAGAATCCTAGTTGCGGTGGGGGTTGTTGAGATTGCTGGCCTTGCTGGAATGACATGGCGAGTAGTACAGCTGGTGAACAAACTTCACAATCTTGCAACAACCCAAACAAACAATCAAGTCCTAAGTCGGGTGCCTTTTGTGACAAGAATAAGGCAGAGATGAAAAAAAAAAAAAAAAAAGAAGTGCAGAAAACAGGCGAGAAAAAGAAGCCCAACACGAGGGGAGGGGCAACTGAGGCTTAAATGGTGGTGATCTTCGCCCGTGCTCCAAGCTCCCCCAATCCGGGTTGTGTTGGGCCACTAAACATTAGTTTTTCGATACGAGCATAAGCGCGTTGAGAATCCTCTTGTTTTGCCCATGAAGCTGTGTTCCCAAGCCGGTAGCCAAACGATCATCTCTCATTGCAAACGCGGCCTCGGCTCTGGTGGACGACCCGTCGAAACTCAAACAAACACCATCGACACTGCCATGGACTCGATGAGTCGACGATGGACACACGTCTTTCCATGATATTTTGAATCCGAACAAGAGACGAATCATCCGGCTTATTGGCGCTTAGGCTCAATCATTTAACCGCTGTATCTTCAAAGCAGAATGGAGAAGAATTCTAAACTTGACCAATCAAAATCAATTTCACTGCAGATGCCTCGCGCCTGATTCTCGGCGGCCGCATCAGCTCACATCACAACAACGCGAAGAGCACCCTCCAGCAATCAGGGGCACCTCAGAGTTCATGCGAGAGAGTTATTACCAATCCTTCACATCCAACTCTCTCACCCAAGGCTTATATCTCATACATATTGTTTAATCAAGAAGTAACCGTCTTTCAGGCGGCCATCAAGTGGCGCAAATATCCTTCTGTCATGCCCGAGAAAATTCATTGTGATTCTTGGCTTTTCCTCGGAACACAAATGCATCATAAACATTCAGTAGGCTCAGATTGGGCGAGCTTGAGCTTCCTGACCGTCTCGCTAGTATTCAGGATATGGTGGATACTTGGAGCACTGACCTGAGGGAACTATCCAGCAATGCTTCCAACTATGTTTTACGCCACTTCTGGCCTCGGGGCATTGCGCGTATCTCTCCCTAAGTTCTGCATTTCCCTTCACGTTGTTGAATGAAGACATGGATCTGGAGATCCTTGTGGACACGTGAGAATCCACGGTCCGGAATTGGTGATGAACTCGCGAACAGGCGGCGACAAACTACCGAAGATTTACATAAGTAGTTAGTTGGCTCGTCCACATCCGAAACGGAATAAATAAGTCCGTAGAACAACCTCATGGATGTACGGCCCCGAGTGATATTGGAAGCTGGCCTCCATCAGAACAGCACCATTGACGCCCAAAGTGTACTCGGGGTTGAGTGTCCTGTGCCTGTTTGTCCCACCGGCCGCTGCAAAGATTTCAATACGTGAAGGGAACATGGATGTGTGGAGAACTATATTCGCGCATTTCAGCCCTCGCCAACGTGGACAGCTGCATGTTCTCAAAAGCACTAGGGCGGCAGCTGTTAGCATGTCCATCTTGCCTTTTAAGAGAGCTAACCCTCACATCTGGATCGATGCAATTTCCTAGGTTCTAACTTTTTAACGTCTCGATCCTTGACTGCTATATCAACTGCCTATTTGCTCTGGCACACTCTAATATATTCTTGTTTGTGCCTATAATCACCCAAGATGGCTCTCGCAGCCTTTCCACATATTGCAAAGCAAGTCTCCCTCTCTGATAACACAACGTATGCGTATGTATCAGTCAAGCCGGCGGCTCGTGTGAAGCCCACATTTTTACCCTCCACGGCCTCCCTAGGTCTAGCTGGGACCGGCGGCACATGATCGTTCGCCTCAGGAATACTGGGTATGGCGTTATCGTGCCGGACCTGCTTGGATATGGGGATACAGACAAGCCTGTGGAGCTTAACAGTTATGCGATGACAAAAATGACACAGCATATAGTGGAGATTCTTGATATCGAGGACGTGGGAAAATGCATTGGTGTAGCTCATGACTGGTATGCACATCCGAGAATTATACTCTTTCTGTGGGTGATTGGTTAATGTACATTCATGTTTTGATTTCTAGGGTTCGGCAATGTTATCTATGTTAGCCATCTATCACCCTGATCGGCTATTGGGTGTGGTCACAGTGACTGTTAGTTTATACACCACCCGGTACCTTTAATGTAGGTGAGTGACATTCATTAATTGTTGACATGTTTCCAGTAACAACTGTTAACCACTAGTTAATAGATGAGTTCAACGACATGACAAAAAAATTGCTTGGATACCCAGCAGTTTAGTATATGAACTGGTTCAACACTGAGGAGGCCGTGTAGTTATGTGATCAAAATGTAATGGGATCACGGCCCCGCATTGTTTACATTCTCAAAACGTCTGGAAGCCCCGATCGGCACTTTTAGCCTACCAAATCAGAGCTCTGGAAGACTGATCTCTGTCCACCAGGGGCTGCGAGGGCATGGCTAAAGGCCGGTAAAACTACTTCATTGCCACCCTACATCACGGTCCCTGAATATCTTATTCGGCAAAATATCTTTTCTGACGGCGGATACCGTGCACCTCTTAACTGGTAAGTTATTTCCATCAGAGTACGAGTCTTCGGCCAACCGATGCATACAGGTATAAAGTATCCATGCGTGGTGTAAATGCCGCTGATGATGCACTTATCTCCGAAGAGAACAAATACCTGACTCTCCCAAATCTGTTCATTCAATCAACAAAGGATTTTGCTTGGGGCTCCGAAACGCAAGTCCAGAAAATCAAGCGATGGGCACGAAACCCGCGAATTGAGAATTTAGAATGTGGACATTGGCCTCAACTAGAGAAACCAGACGAATTGTTTACACTCATCGGACGGTGTGCAAGAGATATTGTACCAAAGGATCTGCCTGGATGCAAAATCTGAGCTTTTTTGCGACGGGTTACACGAGTCTCCGTTTTGGGCACCAGCGCCCCGCCCAGGCTGTATTGGCGCATATCGTTGGCATTGACCGGGCGACCTTCATCATGTCCCGCCTCCCGATAGCTTTCAGCGACAGGACCGCTGCAATATTTTATGTTGAATAGACGTATTGCCATGCATATACTCCCTGCGAAGGATAGTTTAAAGCACTTTGCTAGAAGATGCAGCATGGTAAACTACTTGAAGTTACCACTTCCCTAGATAGCCTTAAGAATAGTCTATTAGAACTATAGCCTCTTGGGTATATGCTCTGTACATGCATGATTTAAAGTGTCAGGTGATGGCCGGGTGATTCTCGTTGATAGAGCAATTTAGGTTAGAATGAACTTTGCGAAACAGAGTAAGAGAAATCAGACAAAAATGACCATCACCACAAGGTTGGACGAATTATGCCAAATCCCACGCCACTCAGAAGAGCCGATGATGCTTCAACTCGTTGCGCTCAAACTCAACATGACAGCATGACCTTCGAATGCAGTTGGTTCAGCGCCAATGTTGAGTAACCCTAACTGAAACTTGATTGGTTATCCAGCTGCCCTTTCTGGAAACCAGCCCTCGATGATCAGACCGACAGTGCGACGATGTCATTAATGTGTGTAGGTATGCAGAAACCCGACCTTGACATTGTTCTGGGAGAATAACAACTACTCCGCGACCATAGCCCGCACCTATCCTTGTGTCTCGGTTGACCAGAATGTCGATGGCAGCCGGTGGTCCTGCTCTGGACCTCGCGATGCAATCGTTCCTCGCTTTACCGGCGGCCATTGCGGCAATCTACAATGCTGTTGGCGACAGGAGGATTGCCAGGTCGGATTTTGGGTTCTCGATTGTCGACTGGATGAGCTATATGGTCTCAATCGAGCCGTATATCCGTCGAGGACTTGGATGCCAAGACATAGAGCTCCAAGCGCGAAGGATATTGGACCTTTGCGCTTGGCTGGGCCGCTGGTTATATTCCATCGGGTTCCGACAGTCGCGGGCACTTGCTAAGAGATATACCCTCCGAGGCCTGCGATTCCCCTACCTTTGGCTGAGCAAGAAGTACCAACATTTTGATACCAAGCTTAAACTGATAAAATCGGAGGGAGAACAGCTGAAGCGGAGCCTGGATGCTTGTCCTGTAAGAGCAATCTGCTCGTGGCCCCTTGTTTCTGTGATAAAGGTGCTGATATCTGACGTTAGGCTGGCCAGACGCATGCGTCCCTTATTCAATCTCAAAGCGAAGATCAGTCTTTAACACCCGACGCCCCTGCCCCTTCGGCATCGAGTAAGGAATTGCTGACACTTTATCCATATTTAAAACGACAACTCATGTTATATTTAGGGATACGGATGATCAATGAATCTGCGAATAATTTAAACTCCATATCCATTCGTCTACTCAAAACTTAACAAGGGCCTTAACATTGGAGAGATATTATTTTCAAAACCCACCGAAATATTGGTCGCGCTTGCTAGGGCCGGGACCGGTGCCATGGTATATCTATCTATCAAAACGACCTGCGCGACGGAAACTTGAACAAAGCGGCTAGGGCGCGGGCAACGTTAGGCAAAACCAGAAAGCAAACATGACCCAGAAACCCTACCGTTCCCAGCATCGACGAGACGGCGGGGATTATCACTCACGTTGTCCGGCAAAGGAGATAATCATGCGTGTGGGAGCCAGGTTCCCAAGAGTCACGCACGCTCGTGAGAATCGAGGCGGTCACTGAAAAGGCGCCCTTGGCGGGCGTCCGGCATTTCGAGATCCCCGAAATACTTCAGATCCCGGGGCTATGCATTTGAGGTAAGGGCATCTCTCAAATTTGGCCCGGTGCTCATCACCCTTCATCAACAAATAATGCGATCCACCCAAATATATCCTTCAAATACCAGCAAACCTCAACAACAGAAACCGAATGCAAAAGTTTTGCCATGTTTGCATATCTTTATGTAATACGGCTTGGCACACATTATTTTAAATTTATGCATTTCAGCTTTGCTGCATAAACGTATCTCATGTGATTTATGTCACAAATGCGCCACGCGACAGTTTTGCTTTTCCGCGGCGAAGTGGAGGTAGCAAACGACAGCCAGGGTCCGTCATCGGCCGGGGCTGAATTCCTCACATTTCACATTAGTTCCTTGTTCTGCACACCGGCTCCCTTTCGTAGAACATTGGGCAGCAAAGTATGGAGTACATAGCCATCTTACAACAATTGGGATCTCGGTATGCGTATCTTCACATCGAGTGGGCGGGAGTTATACTTTAACTGCACAAGGTCATCTAGGTAGATATAGGAAACAATAATACACATAATGCATATGTAGTAATCAAACTCTCCTCTATGATCTCACATACAAGGTAAGAGACACGATTAAAGGGAAGAACGGATGAAAGGATGTTAGTTTAAAGGTAGCTTCTTCGAAAAAGAAAAAGAAAAAAATAAGAAAAATAAAAATAAAAATTCAAGAGTGAAGAAAAAATTCCAAATCGATCAGTGAAGGGAAAGGAAGGATAGAGAATGTGACTGAACGCCGGGTTACACCGTGAAGGCTTCGCAGGAAGCCAACGTAATAAACCATCGGCAGATCATTAAAGGGCTCAAGAAATCTAACTTAGGACAGCGGAGATCCGGCCAAAATATTTATGAGGAGTGATTAACCAATTCAGCGAGATGCTGGAGCGACAACTTGTCCAGGGGGGCGTGTGTGGCATAGCCATCACCGCTAAACGAGGAATATCGATGCAACCCCATCCACTTCGCATGATTCATTGGAATCCTTGTTCCAGATTTTTAATAACAGTAAGCAAGATATATTCAACCCGTAAACCTCAAAAGGCTTTGGGGGGGGAGAAAAAAAAAAAAGTCTTCCTATGTCAGCCATGTTTCGTAACATGGGAATTTGATTTCCGGTCCGTTGTTTTCAAAAACCACCCGATAAATGTATTTCGATACCGGTCACACCGTAAACGCCACTCGTATGACAAAAGGCACAGAAAAGCAAATTGCCATCCCATTAACCAGACGACCCGTATGGAAACCAAAAGTATGGAATAGAGCAAATAGAAAAGTCGAGGGGCAAATATACGACTAGAAAATACCGTTGACGATGTTGGAGCCGATGGTGGCACCCGCGCCAAAGATAGCTAGCATGGAGTAAGATAAACTGATGCCTTATTCCAAAAAAAGGGTTGCTCGATGGGAGAAACGTACCAGCATTGCCCATCTTCTTGCCAAACTTCTTTCCATTTTCTTCGAATTTGCTTGGTTTCCTTCCTGCCTGGCTGCTTGAGCCGGAGTTTGCAACTTCGAGTGGCATGTTTCCGTAGTTTGTCGGTTGTGGAGGGGTGGCTGCCGGTTTCTCATCGATAATGGTAACGTATGTTCTTGGGAAAATACCCTCCATACTCGTTCGCTCGTTCCTACCACGCCACCCTGAACGAGAGTGTTAGCACATGAGAATCGGCGGGGTTTATCTATAGATTTGCTGCAACGTACAGTCGTTGTTCATGTGTTCAAGAACTTGAATCCGGTCGTTGGCTTGTAAGGCCAAATCACCTGCGTCGGTTGGTGTGTATGCGTAGAGTGCCGAAGCCATGCACAGAACGGGCGGGGCTGATGCGTAAGATGGTGGAGGTACTACATCCGAGTAAGGATCTTGTTCCGAGCTCTTTTCATTCAATGCCAGTTTATCCAGCTGACCTGAGGGAGGCGTGAAGCCGGTATCCGCCGTCGACTGCGGCACGGGAGCGTGTAGCTGTGTTTGGCTTGGGAGTTGTGAAAGAATTGAGGAAAGTTGGCCAGGTGTGATGACGGATGAGTCGCAGAGGAATTCCAGTTCCTATGGAGGGTTTGGGATTAGCAAAGACGGGCTTACCATGATCGAAACATTGTCGTAGCATATTCCCACGTACTGTTTTGATGGTCCGTAAAGACCGGTTGGTTATGGCGGTTGAGAGATCGTTTGGAGCCATGATGGCTGGACGAGGATATAGACGCCGACGGCAATCTTACAGTAATGGTTGACGGCTGCGTTTCGGATCGAACCGGCGAAAGGTAAGAGGTGGGATATAATAACAAGGTGAGGAGAACAGCGTAAAGGAAGAGAGAGGTGAAAGGGAGATGAAATGGATGGAAAAAAAAAAAAAAAAAAATGAATGGAAGCAGTGATTTGATACTGGTGCTGAGGGTGTGATGATTGATGGCTGTGAACAAGGCTCGGCTCACGTGGGGGCGGAGGTTCCTGGCGCCGCGTTTTCCTTTCTCAATTGCACGCGCCCATTCATTCCACTGAGCGGAGGAATATAATTACAAGGCGAGGAGCAAAATAACTACGGAGTACGGAGAAAATCGATGAAGTTTTCGAAGAGTGTCGCACGGAGCAAGCCAATTTGTGAGCAGAAGGCCCATCACTAGAAACTAGTCTCAAAATTATGGAGATCCGGATGCAAGCGGACTTGGAGTAAAGGGAAAACTGTGTCATGATCATCCAATTCGGCGTTGAGAAACCCCAGCCAACTCGGCGGCTCGCAGGTGGCAGCTCCTTGTCACTCGCCCCGTGCTTATGAATGTGGAATCCCCGTCCATATCTGATTGGACCTCGAGAGCTACTCGAAGCGACAGCGTCCGGTCTTCGGTGTTTGTATTTCTTTTTTTAGCCTTCAAGTAACAGCGGAAGCCCTCGCCCACGAGACGTATTTTTCTTAAAAGACCATTCCAGCATAGTGTGCCCTGGAGCTTCGTTTTTATCGCACACAAATACGGAATGCAGCCGTCATTCTCAGCACAGCAAAGAGGACTGAAGAAACCGTTACTACTTTTGTATTTTCCTTGATTTCCTGTCGAGATTGAACACCGTCATGGCATTGTTAGTGGCGGAGCCGAGACCTCAAGATCAGCCCTATCCATGGGCGCCAGAGTGGATTGTGCCATCAACCAACCTCTTGGATGCTGACTGGCGACAGGCTGCAATGATTGTCGCCAACAGGCCGAACAAAGCCGTCACAGCTCTACTGGACTTTGCCCAATTTTCTTCAGCCGTGAGCAACCAAAATGGGAAAACCTCCACCCGTTGGACGAGCGTCTCGCTGTATCGTCGGAAAATTACATTGTGATGATTGAAACGAACCATCGCGATAAAAAGGTAAAATAAATTTTTAACAATATGGACTTCTCTTATCAATCCGCTCTCAGATTTCAGCCACCCAGGCCTCGTACATGGAAAATGGCTGTCTAGGAATTCAAGGGTTCGAACCTTTGGGACGGCTTTCGCCTAATTGCTACTTTCTGCACAGAGTATATTCAAATAAATAAAAGAGCGAAGGCCTCTCGCCAAAAGCCATATGGAAAGAGACCATGATGGGAAATGTTGAGATTCCATTTCGCTACGCTCAACACCTGTTCCGTTTATGCCGTATAACTGTTCGGCAGGGCGGTGATTGCTACCAAATATTCAAGAGGTAGTTATCAAGAATTGTTTTCTGGGCGTTTTCGGCCAGCTCACCAATTTTAAGGGGCGGTCCGAGAACACTTATGGTGTCGACCGCGTCTATACTTTCCTCCAGAAGTTTCGTTAACGTGAGGGAGTTTATATTGACGAAGATATCGTCGTATACTTCGATTCCGCCAAGATACTCCAATCCTGAAACTCCATCTAAAGGAGGCCTTACCTGAGAATTCCGGAGCATGTCACAATTCACTGCTCTGTATTTCTGCAGGGCAGTTGACCAATATACTATCTCCTCATCGATAAGCTGTGGGAAACGATTTTGATGGGGTTCAGGTAGCGGACACCGAGCCTATCCAAAATATACCGTTTGGGACTCGCGCATCTTCATGAGATATCAGGTCCATGCTATAATGAGGCAACTGATATCTTGATGAGCGCACATATCGAGGAGCTAAAGTCAGACAGGCATATAGTTTAGTTATAGTAGAAGGAAAATGCCAATATGCGATAGCTAGGGGCTACTAAAGATATAACCATCTGCTTATTAAAAGCAATATACGGAGTGCTTTCGATTCCGGTATTCTTTGTGGATAGCGGAGAAACGGAAATACCTTAGTTGGGCTCCGGCTCTCTATGGAGTAAGCTAGGCTTAATTCCCAAGAGAGAATGCTCCGTAGCTGTTGTGGCCGTGGGAGCTTTTCAATTCATTCACACAAGTTTCCTTGAAAAGAGCTGTTTGGATCTCCCCGCTCCATGCAGCTACTGGCGATTTCCCCAGCTTTTGGCCCTCAGCTGTTGCTGCATGGCGTCCTTCCCCCGTATTCTCCTCCCATGGGTTCTTCGTCCCCTGAATGACAAATGAACCCTGAATTACATAATCCACGTGGCGGTGAGCCCGATTCGGATAAATTAATTTAGAGTTTTACAGCCGCACCATACCAGATTAGGACTAGCGGCTAGCTTTCTCTCGAATCTTCCTTTTGCCGCTCCGTCATCCCAACCAACAGCAGTATAAGATTGACGACGACTCATCTCTCACATCATCCCATACTCCAACTTTCTCTCCAGCCAGTTTCTTCCTTGCTGCATCGGCATAGCCCTTCTTGTGTGGGATACCTTTTTTTATCTGGCCGTTCACTTATCCTTGAGCATTTCATCTACCAAAGTCTCAGTTGTTTCTGGAATCGAGCAAGCGGTTCAACGCAACTGGCTCCCTAAACTTCAACACTCTTTCCTCGCTTCTTAATCCGAACAAGCGCAAATTCGCACACCTGTCAATATGTCTGACTGGGACTCCGTCACCGTTATCGGCAGCAAGCACCGTGGCGGCGGTGCTCCTCGCGAAACCGTTGTCAAGGGCCGCTCAGCCCTCAACGCCGCCGCCAGAGCCGGAGCGATCATCGGCACGGAAAAGAAGTACTCCACGGGTAATGCTGTAAGTTGAATTTTCTCCCTCCCCCTCCCCAGCGTCACCCAATAATAGGGAGGGGTTAAAAGCGGCTAGAGACATCGAGCTAACGTCACCTTTCCCGGCAGTCCTCGCGCCCCGCCGTCGAAGGCCAGCATCTCACCAAAGTCGACCGCTCCGACGACATCGTCAAGCCCAAGACCGTTGGTCTTGAGGTCGGCGATGCCATCAAACGCCGCCGTAACGAGGAGAAGTACAGGATGTCCCAGAAGGAGCTCGCCACCAAGTGCAACACGACCGTCAGCGTGGTGCAGGACTTTGAGCGCGGCACCGCAGCTCCAGATCAGAAGGTCCTTTCGGCCATGGAGAGAGTGCTCAATGTCAAATTGCGGGGGTCGGATATCGGGAAAGAAAAATTTCCGGCGAAGAAGAAGTAGATAAATTTTTCTTGTTTAATTGCTCTCCTCACTGGCCCTTCCTCCCATTGTTTTCGATTTTGGGGTTGGGTTCTTTGGGAGGAGTGATTGAACTTTTGGAATTGTGTAACTTCTTCTTCGCCGGGAAATAGTTTCCCTTTGTATCTCGGGTTTCTTGTCCTGTATCCGACTTTGACGATTTTTGCATGGTCCAACTATTTTTTTTTCAGCGATTACTGTTTACCTGCTTTTGACAGATTTTCGCTCACTAGATTTGTGGACTTTTTTTTTTTTCTTATGCCAAACGAATCACGACTGTTTAGACTGGCTGCGTGCTTTCTTTTTTGTTTGAACTTGTTGCATTTTGAGGTTCGACCCGGCGATTCAAAAAAAAAAAAAAAAAGCCAAAACACAAACTAAAGAAGCAAAAAATAGCCGAAGTAGCCAATATTGAAAAGAAGCCTTGCAGGCTGTTTTTTGTCCAAACTTGAGAGCCAGACATCTTGGGATACTTTCTACCGTAGCTAATACTTTTTCTTATTTTTTTTTCCCCAAAGGAGTCAAGTCAATTAATAGACGGGAAGTAATTATCTGATCGATGTCAATTCCATGAGTTACATGTTGAAAATTTCTCTGTAATTTGCTCGCATCAACTCTGCCAAAGATACAATGGACACAGGAAGAGCTAGCCAAATCTGGTTACATACACAGGTTCAAATCATGAGAACATATTAATCGTAAAAGAGCAGATCCGGAAAGGGTGCCCGCCTCCCTATCCGTTGTAGTTCTTTTTCTAAACGTCGAACAAGACTAGAAGCCGATCTATTGGGGGGTTTGTCTAGTTTCTTTTGCGCGATTCAATGCGGGGGAATTGGGGAGGGAGACTAGCGGTTTCCAACCAATTGTACGGAGTATGGAGCACTCCGTGTGATAGCCGAAATCAAGCGCTGACGGGAAAGGGCCCAGAAGATGGGATCTGGCCCATAAATGGTATTAGGCTGGGGAGGAGAGATGGATATTCATTCAAACACAGCCTTTTGCCTTTTTTTTTTTTTTTTTTTTTTTTCTTTTTTCTTTTTGCGTTTGATTTTTTTGATCCAGAAGGCTCAGTGGTGGGCGTTTTTTACACTCATTTAGAGCTTGGCGTTGGCCAGATTGCTGCGGAGGCGTCTCTCAACGGCATCCATATACTCTCGGGTGGTAACCCAAGCATCTCTCTCCTTCTTGCCGCAGGACAGAGCCAGATCCTTGGTCATGATGCCCTCCTCGTCGACGACCTCGATACAGGCACGCTCGAGTTGTTCAGCGAAGGTGACAACGTCAGGAGTCTCGTCGAGTTGACCGCGGCGGATCAAGCCACGAGTCCATGCGAAGATGGACGCGATGGGGTTCGTGGAAGTCTCACGACCCTTCTGGTGCTCACGGTAGTGGCGAGTGACTGTGCCATGGGCAGCTTCGGACTCGAAGGCAGAGCCGTCTGGGGTGGTGAGAGTGGATGTCATTAAGCCAAGGGAGCCGAAGCCTTGAGCAACGATGTCGGATTGAACATCACCATCATAGTCTAAAAGATCGGGTCAGCGTGGGTGGGCCAAGGAATGTTTGAGGCATCGAACGTACTCTTCATGGCGATAACGCAACCTCCGTCGCCCTTGATCATCTGGGCAACCATGTCGTCAATCAGGCGGTGCTCATACCAGATACCCTTGGCCTCGAAGGCTTTCTTGTATTCGGCCTCGTACACTTCCTCAAAGATATCCTTGAATCGACCATCATATTTCTTCAAGATGGTGTTCTTGGTGCTCATATACATGGGCAGACCCTTCAGAAGGGCCAGCTTGAAGCTAGCGTGAGCGAATCCTCGGATGGAGTCGTCGGTGTTGTACTGGACCTGGGCGATACCGGCTCCTTGGAAGTCATATACGGTAATGCGCTCTGGTTCGCCGTTTGTGGGAGTGTAGACAAGCTCCAACTTGCCGGGTCCGGGGACAAGACGATCAGTGGCACGATATTGGTCACCGAAGGCATGTCTTCCGATGATGATTGGCTTCTTCCAGCCAGGAACAAGTCTTGGAATGCGGGGAATGACGATGGGCTCACGGAAAACGGTTCCACCTCTGCCCGGTATGAGTATTCTGGGCCCCATTCAGATTGCATGTGCAGGACAAAAAGAAACACTTACAGGATATTTCTGATGGTTCCGTTGGGAGAAAGCCACACTATGCGGGGTCAGCACTTCATCCTGCGCCTCCTCATTCGGCAAATAACCAGAGACAGGACATACTCTTCTTCAACTTGAATTCCTCAACACGCGCCTCATCAGGGGTGATGGTGGCACACTTGACACCGACGCCATATTTCTTGATAGCCTCAGCGGCATCTACCGTGACCTTGTCATCGGTTTGGTCGCGATACTCCAAGCCCTGTTTTCCGGTATAGTCCGTCAGCGACGCATCCTCCCGAAGAGAAAGAAGGTCTAGAATTGACAACTCACCAAGTCGTAGTACTTCAGGTCAACGTCAAGGTATCTAGCGTCTCAATTAGTATTTTGATCTTCACTGCATCTGCAGCACAGTCCTGCAGCGTGAGGTTTGAACTAACGGATAGATGAACTGATTCAGGGTTAGCCAACCGGGTCTGGGGAATTCCAACCAAAACGGGTATAGAATAGGATATTTAAGATTCGCTTACTTTGTCCTTGATATCCTGCCAGATAATTCTGGTCATCTGATGATCCGCATGACGTTAGTTCCTTCTTTCCATCTTATATAAAAACCGGTCCGCAATTCCGCCTCCCAAAGGCAAGGGAAAAAAGAAAAAAGAGAGAGAGAGAACAAGCGATCGATGCGTTCACGCCCAGTTTCCCTCCCCGAGGATAGAGGATGCAGCCAGAAAACCAAAAAGACGCGGGTATCCAAAACGCACCTCATCACCATCCAACTCCACCACGGGGTTCTTGACCTTGATCTTCTTCCGTCCGGTCGACATGTTGCGCTTCTGTGTATGGGACAATGAGGGGGATGATGCAGCAGTCCAGCTAACTGCTCTCAGGGGGGCAAAGGAGGATTGGAAACGAGTGGTTGCGGCGGAGGTGTTGTGGATAGAGGAAGTAGAAGGAAGACAAGAGCGCGCAGTGGAAGAATTCAAAGGCAAAGGAGGGGCAGGACGGATAGAAAACGTTGAGAGCAGTCGGGGAGCGGGCTGTGAATTATTGCGAGCGAGGCGGGTCAGGGAGAGTCGGGATGGGACGGAACTCGCCCGAAGAGCAGGCATGGTCTTGGAATGCCGGGAAATTGGGCTGGTTTGATGAAAGGCGAAGGGGAGCCAAACGGGGGCGGGGGGGATAAGTAATTACGCCAGGGGGAGGAGTACGCTGAGCGCGATGAAGCTGCCTGTGTCGGGCGTGTCCGGTGGGTTCTGCCTTTCGTCTTCTCTGTCTTTTTTCGCGTTGGCGCTTGGTGCCTTGCTTGGGCTCCTTTGTTAGGCTGGAAATTTTCTCTCTCTCTCTCTCTGGGTAATATGGGGCGGCGAAGAGATTTCCGATCAGTGGAACTTTAACCTAATCAGGATATATAAGCAAAAAGTGTATTGGTGGGCGGAACCTGTGCAGGGCGGCAAAGCTTGGTTATAGTAACCTCGCTGTCCTAGACAAAAATTCCTCGGGAAATTATGTGTGTATGTACAAACTTTCACACGGCTGCGATGTCCCCTTCGACGTCCCAGGGTGCAAAAGCTACAGGCGGCGTGGGATGGGAATCCAGCAGAAACAAACGGGCGCGAGGAGGCAAGAGAGAGAGAAGAGGGCACTTTTAATCCGATGACCGTCCTCCGTCTAACCAGCAACTAGCACATTCAAAATAAAAAGCAGGTCATGCTCCCAACCACCGCCGCACCCATGTCCCGTCCAACTCCAGCGTACAGGCTTCCGGGGACTCGTCGCGCTCTTGGGGCGCCATGGCCGCTGCTCTGTGCGACTCCAGCAGGCCGTCCTCGCGCTGCAAAGGGCGCTAGCGAGTTGGCGGGCTCAGAGGCCCGGTGGGGCTTTTCCGCTCAAAGTATTTTCCTCGGCGGGGTCCTCGGCTTGCTCGCTTATGTCATCTTCCGTTGCTCCAGGGCCCAGCACCGATACCCAGTCCCGCCTCCATAATTGCCGGGCGGGCGTTGTACATACGGTACTCGAGCCTCTCGTCTGACCGGGGGAGGGGGGCGAGCGCCAGGAATACGACTGCTGGTCGACGATCAGCGAGACGCTGCTTGGACCGGCTGCCCTCAGACGAAGTCGCAAATCCCTGGCTTGCCGGGGGGCCGATCAGAGTGAAACCACCTCCGGCAGTCCTGCAGACGGAGCCTAACTCTCCATCCGCAAATCCTACGTACATACATGACCAGTGCCTGAGGACCTTCCATCCATTTCTTTCACCACTCCGGAGGAACACTAATCCGATCAGCTTTGCGCGGTTTCAATTTTTCCCCTCTTTGTGCCCGGCTTCTCTTGCCTTTAAGCTTTCAGGGCTGATAAGTGGATCATACAGTATGCGCTTGCATCATTCTTGGGGCTCTTATCGGCCACTGGATTACGTGATGTCGACGTCAAATATAAATACATCAACAGCAATCGCAAACAGCTATCGCAGCAGACTTGGGGCATTCCTAACCTCTCATGCAGCGGAGTTAACGTTCCGCGAGTTGTCACAACGCCTCCCACGTCACATCGCCAGGCGCAGCGCTAAGCATTAATGCGGCAGGTCACGACATTGGACGCTTCTTGGCTTGTCTCGGACGAGTCGCGCCAAAAGATAACCAGAAGTTCGGATATCGCGCCCGTTTAAAAGTAACTTTTGCGCAGGCAGGTTTGGCCAATGAGAAATGCTGAAAACGATTTACGCTGAGCGTCTTTCCATCTCAGGAACCACCAAAAAAAAAAAAAAATAAAATAACAGAAATCAACTCCTCTCGTGCTCGGTCTCGTTTCCCAATTCTTTGGGCTGACATGGATGGATGGGTAGGACGGGTGGAAAGCTGCTACGGAATAACTATTCACCGGTTCATCCGCCGGCTATTTGGGGCCGACCGAGCCTCGCCTGCAGTATCGAAAACCTTATCTTATCGGCGGCTTCGGCGTGCCACCCGTACCGTGGCATTCGAGGTAGCTGCAGGCACCTCGGGGGGGTATGTACCTCTCTAGTAGGTAGGTAGGTACCTGTCCCGGAACCGGAATATCCGACAGCCGACCGCGGAATCCAATTCCGTTCTCCTCCTCCTCCTTCTCCTCCTTATGGATGACCTACGTGCCTGGTTACCCCATACGTGCAAGTCCGACGGAAAGCAAAAGAAAAAAAAAAAAAAGAAAAAGCCCGCCGCCGATGGTCCTCTCCTCGGGACTCTTTCCTCAAATCTCTCTCTCTCCCACCGCCCAGCCTCTAGGGGGGACCGCAACATGACCCTGTCTCGAGGTAAATTTACCCCTCTCTCTCCTTGCCGAATTTGCCTCGTTTAGCCGTCAAGGCGAGCGGGGTGGCTTGCTCGAACTGGTCAAAAGGGAGATGGGATACGGAGTTATCCATCATCCGCAAGACTGCTGTTCCTTGCAGCATCGCTGATAAACTCTGTGATATTTTCGTCTCAGAACCCGCCGATGTAACCGTGACAAAAAAAGACGTGAGGTCAACCGCTTCCCCCTGGACTCCGAAACTGGCCAATAACCAGTTACTTCGCTGCATCCTCGGCCTCGAGAGCATGTCGCTCTGGGGGTCTGGAGCGGTTGCTGACAATATGTTGCTTTTACATATCCCGGCTCAACCTTGAAATCAGGATTTCAACACGCAGCTTCTGAACAAATGCTCTTGGAATTTTAAAGGATCTATCAGGTCGAACATCTATCTGCTAGCTATCTGCATATATGTATGGATATTACATTCCATATATGCATTGCTGTTGAAATCTTATTGTTGAAAATACCCAGAGGTGCGCGATATGCCGCCCATATAAATCACGCCACACTTTTTTGCCCATCTATACTGCCACGTCCATCAGGCTCTATCAACCCGAAAATGGGACCTAGAAAAAAAATGACAATAAAAAACTGAAACGCCGAAGGCTTATATCAAAGGAAGAATGAGCGCTGTTGAAGGGAGAAAGGAAGATGTCACCTTGTTTCCTTTTTTTTGTTCTTTTGGGAAAATTTCGGATGCAGGGAAAGGTAAAAATACAGGGGAAAGAGGGAAGGGCTATGAAGAGTCGAGCAGAAACGGGGTTTAGAAAAGTCCGTCAATTTCGCCGGTTTCGGCATCAACGTCGACATTGAGATAGCCTGGGGCGGTGGGAAGACCAGGGATGGTCTGGATATCGGCCGCCAAAGCATACCTGGAAGGAGTGCGTTAGCGGATTGATAAGATGGAAATTTTGGGGAGATGTGAAATACTCACAAGTATCCAGCCCCCACTGCCAATCGCACATCTCTGATTGGCACTGTAAATCCAGTTGGGGCACCCTTGAGGCTAGGATCGTGACTCAATGAATACTGTGTCTTTGCGATGCAGATGGGCAGATTGCCAAACCCTTGTTTTGTGTATGTGTCCACCTTCTTCTGGGCGAGTTCGCTGAACTCAACCTTGTCCGCACCGTACATGAGCTGGCCGATCTTTTCGATCCGCTCTTGGATCGTGCCTTCGAGGCTGTAGAGAAGTTTGAAGTCCTTGGGTTTGGAGCTGGCCATGATGACACCCTTTGCGAGCTCAACGGCTCCCGCACCGCCTTCGGCCCAGTGGTTAGCTGGAATTGCGTCTTCGGCTCCGGCAGCGATGGCTTCCTCGCGGATAACAGCCATCTCAGCCTCCGTATCGGTCTCGAATTTGTTGATGGCGACCACAACGGGGATGCCATATTGTTTTGCGTTCTCAATATGTTTCTTCAGGTTGATGCAACCTCGTCGGAGAAGCTCGATGTCCTCATTTCTGTAGGCTTCTGGAAGTGGTGCACCAGGAGTGATGTCGGGTCCACCGCCGTGAACCTTGAGAGCGCGCACAGTAGCCACGATAACGACGGTATCTGGGACAAGGCCGGAAGAGCGGCATTTGATGTTGAAGAAACGCTCGCCACCCATGGTGAAGTCGAATCCAGCTTCAGTGACAACAAAGCCAGTCTTAGCTTCATGGTCTTCATCAGGCTCGGTACCCGCCAATTTGAGCGCGAGCTTGTCCGCTACAACGGAATTAGCCCCGATACTGATGTTGGCGAATGGACCGGCGTGGACAAAGACCGGTGTGCCCTCCAGACTTTGCATGAGGTTTGGTTTGATTGCATCCTTCATCAGGGCTGTCAATGCGCCTCCAACTCCAATGTCATCACAAGTAACAGGATCTCCATTCTTGGAGGTCGCAACCACCATTCTCCCAAGACGCTCTCGCATATCGCCAAGGTCGTTGCTAAGGGCTAAAATGGCCATGCATTCACTTGCAACTGAGATGTCAAATCCAGTTTGTCTTGTATGGCCCTTTTCAGTTGCTGCTTGGCCAACAGTGATGGTTCGGAGATGTCGATCGTTGACATCCAACACGCGGCGCCATGTAATCGTATCAGGATCAATGTCCAGGCGAGCAAACCGGTGAACCTCCTCTCCCGTTAATTCGTTAGGATCAGTCTTGTCAATACCCAGCTTCTTCAGTCTTCGGAACATGATAGGCTGGAATTCTCTCTTTCCTTTCTTGGTCGGGACCAAGCGTCTGTAGAGAGCAGCATCGCTCTGCGTAGACTCATGAAACATTCTGGTTTCGAGAGCGGCAGCAAGAAGGTTATTGGCTGCTGTGATAGCGTGAATATCGCCAGTCAAATGGAGGTTGAACTCATCCATGGGAATAACTTGACTGTAGCCACCACCCGCGGCACCACCCTTGATACCGAAAGTCGGACCTTGACTCGGTTGCCGGACATTTGCAAAAACAATTCTATTGAGATGGGCACCCAAAGCTTGAGTAAGTCCCATTGTGGTGGTCGATTTGCCTTCTCCCAGAGGAGTTGGAGTAATGCCACAAACGAGGACATATCGTCCATTACGGCGATGGGATAGTCTCGATAAGACGTCTAGGCTTACCTTTGCCTTTGTATGGCCATATGGCTCAAGTTCATGGGGAGCAATTCCAATCTCGGCAGCCACTTGAGAAATTGCTTTTGGACGTTGTGCACGAGAGATGGCAATATCAGACGGAACTGGGTTCTGGAGTTTGATGGGCAAAGGAGAAATCCGTCTATCCTTGAGCCTCTCAAAAGACGCGTTGGCTGAATTCACCACATTTTGAAGAAGCATCGCGACTGTCATCGGCCCGACGCCCCCAGGTACTGGAGTGATCTGAGAAGCCACCTCTACGGCGGATCCGAACTCAACGTCGCCCACAAGGCGCTGACCTGATTTTTTAGATGCGTCGGGAACGAAGTTCGTTCCAACATCGATAACGACGGCACCGGGCTTAAGCCACTCTCCTTTAACGAACTCTGCCTTTCCGATGGCTGCGACTAGGATATCGGCTTCTTTGATGACTTCAGGGAGATTCTTCGTTTTCGAGTGGCAGACAGTCACGGTGGCATCAGCGTTCTTTAGCAGATAACTAACGGGGCTGCCGACGATATCACTCCGCCCAAGGACAACGGCATTCTTCCCAGCCGGATTTACGCCGCTTGAGCGTAGAAGTTCCATGATCCCTTGCGGTGTGCAAGGGACAAAGAGTGGCTTGCCTCCCCGCTTTGCCAATTCTCCAATGTTGATCGCGCCAAAGCCATCCACGTCTTTCTCATTCGAGACTGCTGACGTGACTGTATGTTCAGAAAGATGATTGGGGAGGGGTAATTGCACCAAAATTCCGTGTACCGAAGGGTCGTTGTTTGCGTTGGTAATTTCCTGGATCAGCTCTGTTTCGGTAATTTCTTCTGGGAATTTGGCAAGTCTGCAAAGAATATTCGCCTAAACTCACAAAAACCTTTTGTTAGTTCTGACCATATTCATTTTGCATCTTGGGTGTATTGGCCTTCTTACCTCCTCCGCAGCCTTGAGCTTCATGCGGACATAGGTACCTACGGGATGTTAGCATGCAATCGATCCTAGAATGTTTTGAACATACTTGAATCCGATCTGTCACCGACTACAATCATTTAAGTATTAGCTTCGACAATCATTCCACAGGATATCCGGGAGAAGGGGTAAACTTACCCTGGAAAATCACCAGGCTCGGGTTGAATCTTGGATTCGACTCCTGTGTCTTCCGAATTTCGGCATTGAGCCTCTCACGAATACCTTTCGCTATCGCCGTGCCGTCAATCTTCGTGCCGGCCATGTTCACTGAGCTTGAAGCAAAGAAGCGCTGCGCGCAAAGCGGGGTGCTATAGAGGGGCGGAGTTAGGGAAAGTTGAGGCCGTGAGTAAGTACCCAAACTCTCGGAGAATGTCGAAGAGGAATTTAGTCCGAGAGAACGTTCGTTTGCTGGATTTGTTGTGGCAATAGAATTTCGAGAACCGTTTGCTCGTAGGTTGTAGCAGGTGATCGTTCGATGGTGGGCAAGGGGATACTCATGGCGGGGTAGAAATGGAAGTCGGCGTTTTATTAGCAGAGAGCTGGGCCGCCTGTGCATGACCCTCGGGATCTTCTCTGGTGCTGACCGCGATAGGCTCTGCACTCCCGCCTTGTACATACGGGTTTGCAAATTGACCATCCGCGCACCACGGCTCTAAGGGACAATATGTCTTAGTTTTATCGCCTTGGAAAACTGGTAAATTCAAAATAAAAATTGACTTTCAAAAACCAGCAAATTTTTTTACCTGCCCACAGCTCTTCAATTCCAAACTTAATTTGACTCGTTTTTCGCGCTGAGGCCCTGGTTAAGTAATCGAACTGGCATCTCGCTCACGTGACCCACATAGATTACACAAAATCCCCCCTTTGATAGCTTGGTGGGACACGCATGTAGAGTCCTCCATCAGGTTATAGCTCTTTGTGCTAAGAAGCGGGTGTATGGGATTGATTTTACAGCCTAATTAGTTATTTAAGGCTTATAATTAACATCTTTAGTAGCTATCTTTATGGATAGTGAGATTTTTAAGTACTTAAAAACGCACATCTGTTAAGAAAGATATCTATACGGAGTACATGCAATCTCTGCAGGTTTCTGACACACAGCTGGATAGTGAGTCAATCTTTGCATCTTCTCAGCATACAGCTAGATAGCAAGTTGAATCTCTGCAAATTATATATATTTAGCAAGCAGATCAAGCATCTGACAATGCCAAAATTATAATAAGCTGTACAGATAATAAGACGAAGGACTACTCGGAGATTCTCTCTATACTTCGGATTAATCTGAGATAATTAAATAGACCAGAGAAACCCCATCAAAACAAGAAGAAGTCTAGAGAAGAGAATGAATTCCAAATATTACATAGAATGATATAAAATATAAATAAAAAAAATATTAGAAGACAGTACTCCGTACAGAAGCTAGCACCAAAACCTCCAAGACCTCCAAGACCTCTAACACCAAGACCTCTAACACCAAGACCTCTAACACCAAGACCTCTAACACCAAGACCTCATCTCTAGGACCATCATCACGCACATCCTATCCCTTATCAGCACGTACTTTAACTCCATCAAATGGCCACATCATTTTTATATCTTCGCGGTTCCTCTCACTCTCCATAGCTCGCATAATCTCCTCTTAAACACACTGATGAGACTTCTTTACCTCTTCCCAGCGATCTTCAGGGACCTAACCATCCTGCTCAACTGCCAAAGTTTCAACGAGATCCTGCTTAAAAGCTAATATCTTGTCATAGAGGTCCAGTTGTTCCTGATAAAAGTGTATTACCTCTGAACTTGGGACTGGGAGAGGACATTCCCCTTTAAAACCAAGCTCTTGCCAACTGTCTTTCAGCTGCATCAGTTGATGTATGAATGGCACAAAACCATCCCGTTGCAGCGAGCCACGGTGCGAGAAGTCTTAAACCTGCTTCAAAAGCCTGACTGCAGTGATTGGCCTCAGAGACGTTTTAATGCTGCGAAACCTGTGAGACGCTCGGCTGGGCAGATATGCAATAACGGTGCGCTCGGGATCCCCAGTTGCTAGCCCGGATGCATATCGGCTAGCCGTACTCCGTACCTGGGATCGGCTTGTAACCGGACGTAAGAGAATGTCGGTCCGTAGGAATAGTTAATGGCGACCAAATTTCTGCGAGCCACAGGCTGAGACGTTTTGTCCTCCCCAAAAACACGTCGGACAGAAACGTCTTCGTCTAGTACGACATGTACAGCAGTCACACTCATTCGTGCCGAATATCCATCCTCCAGTACCTACTCTGTACCTATGCTAGTGTCTATCAACCCCTAGGCTCCCCCTTACAGGGTTGGTCCCCGCTGCCCGCCGTAGCAGGTGGCCCCTCGGATCAATATAACTCCGTGATCCGGGAATTTCACGTGACTTTAACTTCGCGATGGGCAGGCGAAATCTTGGCATCAAAATCGAACTCTGTGTGTGTGTGTGGTTGCTCCACAGACAGCGTTGGTCGATATCGACTCGGATTGACAATCCCACAGCACCGCGAAGATAGCAAACCGAGCAAGCTGAAAACGAGTCCCGTTCACCCGCAGTTCCGTTTTTACACCGAACAATTTATAGACAGCGACAATGAGACCGATCCTCCTCCAGGGCCATGTGAGTGACGGCCTACCTCCCCTTGATTTTTATATGGGCCTCGCAAGACTGATATCTGCGTAGGAACGGTCCCTCAACCAGATAAGATTTAACCATGACGGCGATCTCCTTTTCTCTGTTGCGAAAGACAAGATCCTATGCGCGTGGTACTCGGCGAACGGTGAGAGACTAGGAACTTATCACGGACATCAAGGTGCGCTCTGGACCGTCGACGTCAGCCCCGGCACGGTTCTTCTGGCAACAGGTGCTGCAGACAATACGGTTCGCCTATGGAATGCAAAGTCTGGCGAGTGTGTGAAGGTGTGGGATTTTCCAACTGCGGTGAAGAGGGTCGAGTTCAGCCCCGATGGGTCGAGATTACTCGCGGTCACGGAGAAGCGTATGGGTTACTTGGGCACAATCGTTGTGTTTGATGTGCGGTACGGAGACGGAGAGGGTAATAATCTGGACGACCAGACCGACGAACCTAGCTTGAAGATTACTTGTGAACAGAGCAAAGCTACCGTCGCGGGATGGAGTTTCTTGGGAAAATACATTATCGCGGGTCATGAGGATGGCAGTGTAAGCCAGTATGACTCAAAGGTGAGAAATCCATCGCATGTTGACTTTATGTTTTGCATACAGGGCGTTTACTGACTCGAAGCAGACCGGCGAACAACTCCAAAATGTTCAAGCGCACGAATTTGACTATCAAATCAACGACCTGCAATTCTCTGCCGATAGAACTTATTTCATTACCGCCTCAAAAGACAAATCCGCCAAAGTACGTTAAAAATCCCTATAGCCCTGCTACCTTTATCGTTATGGAAATTCCTTTGCTGATAAGTGCCAGATCATCTCCTGCCGAGACCTCCAAGTCATGAAAACTTTTGTCGCTGATACTCCCCTCAACACCGCCGCCATAACCCCAAAAAAAGACTTTGTCATTCTCGGTGGTGGTCAAGCCGCCATGGATGTCACAACCACATCAGCCAGGCAAGGAAAATTCGAGGCCCGATTCTACCACAAGATTTTCGAGGACGAGATTGGCCGCGTGCGAGGTCACTTCGGTCCCCTCAACACGATTGCTGTGCATCCAGCCGGCACTGGCTATGCATCTGGCGGAGAAGACGGATATGTCCGTGTACATCATTTTGATAAGCCATACTTTGACTTTATGTATGAGGTGGAGAGGGAGAAGGCAAGAAGATAAGCGATGAAGTTGAGGTTACGACCTATTCCTCCGAGTCATTTCTACCTTTTTTCCTTTTTATCCCCTCCCCCTCTTCCCCCTTTTGTTGCTTTTATTCGCGTCATGAATTTACGGCTTGCAATTGCGAGATGAAAATTGGGTTGCGTTCCGAGGATATGTGAGTTACAATATTTATGTGCGGTTTCTTGCTGGTAATGCTACAAAATAATAGAATTCCTTTCTATTCTTGTGCTGCGAGAACTGCTATTCTTAACGTTAAGACAACGCTAGCAAGCTTTTATTACCGACAATCCAAAATAAACTGAATCGAGTATTATGAAAGTCTGTCTGGGTTCAATAGTCGTGCGCGTTTGGAACTGCTGGCCGTTTCCAGCCACAAAGCTAAGAAGTACTGGAATAGCTTTTCCTTGGGTGCTCCGACCAGAGGGTACTGATGTGTCGGAAATTTCGACTGGCGCTTATGTCTGGCTGGGGACGGAGAAGGCTCATCAAAATCATATCCCAAAACTTGAAACCCTACGAGTATCCGCTGAGACGAATCGGGAAGGTTATTGGCGGAGAGGAATATCCACTAGTTAGTATAGACATGAACCACATTATAGGTAGAGAGCATTAACAGCCATGACCAACGGTTTTCCACGGTGTTTTCCAAAAGAAGCCGTGATCGACGAGATGTCACAGTGACACCGGCCTCGGACGATTTGAGAACCGATTTCGTGCACTCAGTGGACATTCGGGCGGCCAGCATCTGCACAGATCATGAAAATATGCCTACCAGGCCTCGACTCACCCAGGAAACGTCGAGCACTTTGACAGAGCGAAATGTCAGTGCGACGCTCCGTAGATGTGAAGATTCCTGCAGGGCCAGATTTCCAAAGAGTGTCTGGCTTTTCCAAAAATACCAAACCAAATTGGCTTTGCCCCCGCCACGGCCATGTGGCATGCGGAGCTAAATAGGCCGGGGAGTTGTTAAAGGTAACACCCATGTGGTTATCACCGCCCCTGTCACTTATGTGGACGCCCAGGGGCTGGGTCTTGGGTAGTTAAATAGGACGCGGTCATGTCCCAAAGGACGGACCTGTCGTCGTCGTTTGAAGGCAGGCAAGAAGAAAAAAGCCACGAAACGTCCGGTATTCATGATTCGACTATCTTGAATGAACGGCGCGTGCATGAGCCTTATGTACCCCGGGCAGAGCCTAAAACCTTAGCTTCAGAATTTCTTTCTTGTCCTTGAGCTGCTTGGGGCGAACAAAGGAGCCCGGACGAAGCGCATGCCAGTGTCATCAAGGTTGGGGAGAACATGCGAAAGAGTCTTTGTAAAATGCTGGACGGAGAGAGGTCCGTAGCCATTGACATTGATGGATCAGCCAGAGCAAAGGTTGTTGTGCAGAGGTCAACCATGGTACATTCACGCCCGAATTTCAAGGTTAGACTCCCGTGCGATGGCCCGTATTCCATGAAGCTAAGGCCGGGGGGGGGCGACAAGCAAGAAGCTTCTCGGCTGCTCTGTGCGTGGCGAGCGACGGAGGGGAGATGTGGGCGCAGCGTCCAGGAACCTAGACAACCCGCAGGTAGAAGGGCAGGAGGGCAGACACAGAGGGCGAGGTCTGCATTTTCTCCGGCTCGCAGGACGAGCCATTGGCCTGGGAAAATCACTATAATTGCTTTTTGGGCAGAGGAACGCGGCCGCCGGCTGTCATTGGGCGGGTGGGCGACATCGCAGCCCCTGAACGGCCTAGTCTGCTCGCCTTTCCCTGCCAAGTCAAGATCCTTCAGCGACGTGTTTCCTCTGAAACGGCTTCAACTCCTTTTTTCTCTCTTTTTCCTTTTCCTTGTCCTCCCTGATTATCATTTCAATTCGATTATCCCGCCGGTTTAAGACCTGCACGACCAGGGCCGCGTTTCTTTTCGTCCTCTTCACATTCATTTGTCAGTTTCTTCCTTTGCCCGTCGCTCTTTTTTCCTTTTTGTCTTTTTTTCCGCTCGTACTTCTTTTCTCCCCGTATGCATCTCCTGCCTGCATGTTGAAACAGCACTAGGCAGGGCAGCCGACTTTGGGCGACACATTGACTCGGTTGGTCCTGATATCTGCCTTTAAAATGTTCCCTTCGTTCAGTAAATAACTCTAACAAGCCTTGTCCATGCACAGATCATACAGCCTCCCGCTGATTGGAACCGTCGCCCCGATACACGCACCCCCCCTTTAATTCCCGACCGACGGTCTCTGAGGTCGCGACAGTTTTTTTTTTTTTTTTTCTTTCCCCTCACGCATAGGTGCCTGTCCAAAGCTTTGGCCTTTGACCGCCCGTCTCCTCGAAGACTACTCCTTCTTGGTACCCCACTTGGACATCGTCGAGCCGTCGGTTTGATTAAAAGGACGTCAGCGTTTGAGAATCACAGCGAGCCCGAGCTATTCACGGGTCGAGCCACATTCGCTACGCCTTATCTCCGCGAAACGTGACAAGGTCCGACGTCCCATCACAGGAGAGGTCTAACCCTTTTACCCAGAACAATGTCTTTCTTTGCGCGAGTTTTCCGAAAGGATGGAGGTAGCAAGAAAAAGCAGAATGGAGCCAGCGTTGCTGGGCCGGCGAAGCCCCAATGGACGGACGCATGGCTTCGCACAGAAGTCAATCCTGAGGAAGTACAGGAGCTATTGCGAGGATGTACACAGGAATTGAAGGCCAGAGGTAAGGGTTATATATTCAGCTTGCATCTTGCATGTGTTCTGACGAATGGTGCTCACTGCTTTCTACTGGAATAGCTCTTGACACTCCATTTTTACTGCTCCCATTTCGCCCGACGTCAGATCCTAGCGCTGCTCGTACATTCGTCCGTAATTATTTTAACCCACCACCCGAAAGAGCCGCGTTATTACGAGGTGACAATCTCATGCAAGAGTTACGTTTAACGGAGCCAATGGTGCGTTAATTTTGAAATGAATATACCGTATCGTCGCGTTGGAATCAGAAATGGCTGAGCATCATTCCCTAGGTCCTTTGCAGTGTTATGAAATGGTGCTGGAGTAGACTTCCTGGAGGTATAGTAACGTGGGAAGCTTATGAACTCTTTAAAGTTGGTGAACAAGGTATAGGCTTCCAGAACTCAAATCTCCTCCTCGCCATCGACCAATGGATTGACGTCTCGTAGATTCACAACTCGCCCGTGATGCATTCTCGACATTTATTCCGATCAGCGTGGACTCGGACGCTAGAACTAAAATTATTTTCGATTTCTTTGACCTTCTAGCCGCTATTGCAGCTCATGGGAAGAAGAACGGTTTAGGCGGTCGAAAACTTTCGAGATACGCTGGCTGGTGGGCTTTCGAGCACACCGACGCAGGAAAAGGATTTGAAGCAAGCTATAAAACATGGACAAAGTAAGATTCCTTGTTCATTCGGCTCTCTGTGCTGGCGGTGTTGACAAGTTTATTTTATAGTGCTGCCGATGCGACTAGTCACTTATTTTTCGCCTATCTGCGCTCTCTCTCCCCTGATTCAATCCGTGGCACAAATGGCATCGCTACTCTCCCATTATCCCTCCAAACGTTGGTTCAAGGGACAGAGTACCCTCCAGAATCACCGTCCTTGCTCCAAACTCAGACGACAAAGGTTGTTATGATCGTCGATACAGTTTCCCCTACTCCCTTTGCCTTACTACGGCGGGCAAAGAATTTTGAATACCGCGATAGCGACACCGTCTTGAAGAGCTTTGCAGGCTTCGAAGATCCAGCTCACGCATTAAGCGATGAATGTCGCCGCGTCTTACGATGCATTTCAACCACAAACCAATCGGAGGTGTCAACGACCAAAGCATCCACAAGCTTGCGGGATGCTTCATGGTCGCGTTTCGAAGACATTGGATTTGGAGGCTCTATCGAGGAATCAGAAGATGAAGAGCTCCCATCCTTTGGAAAGCCACCGCAAGTTGGTTTAAGGTCAGCTCCGGCTTCGCGTACCGCTGACCTAGGTCGTCCAACTACGCCCTCGTGGGCTGATTTCTTGTCAACTGGATTTACGGACGAACAGCAAAATAGAAGCCGCGCTCCTCTTCTCTTGCCGCCAGATAAGGTTCTTCCACCAATCCAAACTGTGCGTGGACAAAGTTCCCAATCCCACAAGCGCTCATTTGACCAGGAATCAACACTTGACCCAGGTGAGCTGGCAAGCATTTCTATCCTAGATCTTGATGATTCATTCTGGTGGGTTTGGATCAGCAGTTTGGCTGGTGAAGAGCCTGCCTCACGCAAAGCAGTCTTCGGACGTTGTGCTCTACTTGAGACCATCATCGCTGGTGGCAAGTGGCTTATCTTGGAGGAACAGGTGAAAGGAGCAGCACCAGAACCTGATGCTGGCGCCTATATTGTTGAGAAAAAGAGCTTTTTCGGTTTCAGGACAAGAAAAGGGCGGTTGGCTCGGCGCCGATCTGCCGCAAAAAAGAACGCCGAGCCATATAAATCTACTAACAACACCGCACCAATGAGCAGGACAAGCATTGGACCGGATCAACATGCCAGAATCCAGGCAGCAGCTGCCGCACTTCAGAGAAAACATAGAGAGCAAGAAGAGGAACAGGCTAGAGCCACCAAATCAATGCAGGCCGACTCTTACTCGGCTCGGACCAACTCTGTACTAACTCTGCAGCCGTCCATCATGAATGAGGCTTCCCATGCGATGAAATGGGCTAGCAACTATGATAAAAGTGCCGTCCGGGCAGCTTACCTTGGCAATACTCGTGCTGGCACTGGTATCCCTGCTGAGAATTTGGATATTGGCTGGAATGGAAAATCTCCCACTAATTCCACCTTTACTACGGATCAGGAGCCAAAAGTCCCACCGAAGGACGGGACCCGTGCAGTCCCTGAGCCTGTATCGGCTGCCCCGCCTCCTCCACCTTCTAAGGAGGTGCAACCGGAGAGGTCAAAGGCAACGCAAGTAGCTGAACCTGCCCCTCCAAAACAAGAAACTGGTGAGCGCACATTTCCCATACCCTGGCCAGGCATCGCCAGATCGTCCGGTGAATCCACACGTGAACATGGAAAACTGAAGAAGAGACCAGGAACCTCAGGACTCAAGGCGCTCTTTTCGAAGAAGAAGTCGGAGACAGCCAGCAGGTCTTCCGTAGACAGCACGTCTGCAGCTGCTGCCTCTGAAGGTCGGCCTTCGCGATCCGGAACGTTGACTCCCAAGGGGATAGCTGCTCGTCGGCTGTCGATGTATGGCCAAAAGCAGTCATCCGAGGAGCCATCTACCCCTGTGACCCCCAATTCGCCAACTCCCCCGATTGTGGATAGAAAGCCAACACCGGTTGCTCCACCAGCGCCCGTGTCAGACCCCACCCCAGAGACATATGATGGTCCCTCGAAATCCCGCCGGGAAGCTGAGTTTAACAATCTTTCCCGCGTAAACACTGCTGAGCAGGCGGAAGCGGACCATCACTTTTCCAATTTTGACCACCAGAGTCCGATAGTTGACCAGCCTGCTTTCCTGCCTGTGGATACACCTACCGCCGAGTCTTTCTCCGAGAAGTCCCCAACTCCTCCGCAAAGTGAAAAGCCGGTTGAACCCAGCCCAGTGAATGGACGTACAGCTCCTTCTAGCCCTGTGTCCAGCGAACAACCAATGCCACTCCAGGATCGCTGGGCACAAATTCGGAAGAATGCTGTTGAGAGAGCAGGAGTGGTTGAAGATCCCACCCCGAAAAAGACTGCGCCGGAAAACCCTACTACCGATGACCCAACACAGCAATGTCAGTAATGTCTTATAGATTTCTCATCCAGGCTCCCACTAACGTTCACTTCTTTTAGCTATTGAATTGCGAGCGGCACGTATTCGTGCCCGTGTTGCTGAACTAACAAAAAATATGGAAGCCTCGAGATAGTTACCTGGATTGATTGGAGGTCCTACCTGGCCTCGTTCTCGATGTATTGATTAATAGCCATCTCAATATTCTTCCACTTTTTATCATTTATTGTCTGTTCGCCTTTTATTTTCTCTTTTTCTTTTTCTTTTATTTCCTGTACCTGACTGATCTCGGATCGTTGGATCGATACCCATTTTTCTGACATACCCATTAATTGATTTGAATTTACGCACATTTGCGATTTTAGCACATGCTGGGTGTTTTTCTGTGTCTTACTAGTACGATTTTAGTGAATCTCCTGCTTTCTGTACTGATGTACCTTTTCGAGTTGCTCTGAGTTGATTCTCATGAGATGGCAGTTCGTGTAAGACTACATCTAGGATTCTCAAGTTTTCTCCCCCTTCCTTGAGGGTGACCGACTGATTTATACATGGGTCTTGGACTAGATATGTCCTCTTTTCCTCCCGAGCTTCAATTCCGAGCCGTGTGCTAACTGTGCCATCTCCTTGTCATATGCTTTTTTGGCTGGTCTCTCAATCGTTAAATGTCTCGATAGTCACAAACAATTGAAATATTTCCTTGAGATGCATCTGTGCCTTTTCTTTTGATTATGTACAAATGGCACGTTTGATTGGGCATCGTTGCCCTTTTTCCTAGTCCTTCCTGTATGCATTTACCGGGAATTCATTCATGGGATAAGTGCTGACATGGTCCCAGCTGTGACAGTGCCTACCTACGGTTCCTCCCTAACCTCCCCCTTATTAACCTCCAAAACACCCGGCCTAGCGCCCCTCTGGAACCCTCTTTCCTAGCCCTTAATTCTTGTCCTTAATTAATTCCCTCAACGCCACCCAAAGTCTCCCCTGCAATCTGCCTTACAAATCTCCCTAGGATCCCCTTTGTGATTCACCTTACCACCCTTCCTTGGAACGCCTTGTGTTGTCTTGATGATTACACTCAGACTCCCCTTGTAATCGCTCTTCAGTTCCAACCACGGCTCTCAGAGAACCTTATTCAACGTTCTTCAAGCATTTATCAGCCACATCGGCTGTGGAACGATGGATGTGGGCCAAATATTCAGTATCATATCATTTTACGGAGTACGGTCAGTAATTTTTGCTCTTAGCGACCAAACCATGTATTCAATTTATCCAGAGCTAGCAAAAAAATAAAATTAATAAAATATGAAGATTTTAAAACATCCAAAAGCCCATGAGACTTGCAACTCGCAATGCCAATGGGATATTTCCACTTTGTCTCATAATCGCATATTGTAACCGCCTAGGGACTTAAGCCCTCGTGCGTCCCTGCAACTTATTATCTCCAGCCAAAGATCTTGTACTTCAGCTTATCCGCTAACCCCGTACAATCATCATGATCAATCTGAACGTCCATATCCTTCCTCTCCTGCACCCTTGGCAAATCAGGCTGGAGAGTTTCCTTCTTCCGATCCAACCCGTGCGAGATGTTTCCCAGACCACCACGCTATATATACAAGGCCGTTAATGTGTCACCCAAATAAATGGAAACAAAGCGAAGGTGAAGGTCGGTTTTGGAGAGAGAGAGGGGGGAGGGAAGGGCTGCTACAAGAAGCACTTACACCAACATGATAATCACCCTCCATACTTGGTCGTATCGCCAACGGCGGAATGATGTCCACGTCGCGCGGTGTTTGAGAGGTTGGTTTTACACCGCGCGGGCCAATATTGCCGGCTCCTCCACGCTGTTTGTAAGAGAGGGAGTATTTTGTCATTAAAACGGGAAACTGGGGGGACGAGTTGGAAATGAGGGGATCCTACGCCAACGGAGTAAGCACCGTCTCCTTGATCGCCCTCCTCGCCTTGACGGGTTATGGCGCCGTCGGCGTAGCTGTTAGGTTTTATCAAGATCAGTAAGTTAACGCAGCCATGTTGTGGTATGATACGTACACGGTGCTGTCGGGGTGTATATTCCCTTGTCCTAGAGAAGCACAAGGGGGCCAGGTCAGTTTCAGGTTGTTGTGCCCGGAGAGATCATAGTTAGCTTCACCCATGGTTTTGAGATGAATAGAACTGAAGGACACAGGGGATTGATACCGCCACGGCCATGAGACACGACAGGTACCAGTGTATAATCTGGGTTCTCGGTTGTAGGCTTGTTCGTTTTACCCATCGCTATTTTTGGGACTTAGCGGGATGGGATGGGTACAGGATATAGACTTAGATAATGTAGTTTTGCTTGATTCGAATGAAGAGTCTTGGGTATGACGAATAAATATCAATTGCAGGAAGAACTGTTCCCTTCAGCTCTTCTCAAACAAGATCTTTATATCCGGGGACTAATCTTCAGTCTTTGCTGTGTTCCAGTTAGAATTTCAACAAATATATGATGAAATCTCGCAGATGCAAAAAACAGTCCTCTATCACTGCAGTCTGAGAGGCTCCGGTCAGGCCCGATAATGCTTTAGGGGCAGAGGGAGCTTTCCGGGCCAATGAGCGTTTGCCAAGAGAATGGAGATAAGATAAAGTCGCCTTCCCGGCCAATCGGAGACGACGATCAAGCGGTATCCCACCCCGTATCTTACCGATAAGATAATCCAACAAGAGACACGAAAACCACATGGAATGCAGATACCAATTGCAAAGTGTATGAGAGGGGTTGGCTATATCTACAAGACCTTTTCGAATAACATACAAAACGACGATAGATAAAAGTAAGAAACATAATAGGATTGCTAGTTGTAGCTCTAAGCTTCTGTGGAATGCTTTTTCGTCTCCTTCGGGCCGCCAGTGGTTGGGAGACCCATAAAGATCTTGAATGAATCGTAGCTGTTGCGGTCTGTCAGCATGTTCTTGAAACACAGAGGAGGGGGCTGCAGAAAGAAACGCATACATCATCCATTGGAGACCAGTCTGTAGAACAATAGTTAGATTTACTTCGGAAATAGAGCTCGGGGCAGGCTTTACTCACCAATGTGCCAATCATGACAATTCTGACAGGAAGACCGTTCCACAACCCTTTGAATCCGATATCCTTGTAGATTCGACTCATCGCTGTACCGAAGGCTTCCCCGGGCAATCGATTGGCATTGAGCTTGCTGACCATGACATCGGCAGGGTGAGACACAGCAGCGCAGAGAATACCAGCGAGATAACCACCAGTAAACGCAACAGCAGTTTGTGCCCCCTTATTGTAGTCAGACTTCTGGCCTGGAAGTCGATTATAGATCATTTCCACGATTCGTTCGAAGGAGGCGAACTTCATCATTGTATAGGGAATTTGACGACCCCAAAGTGGGTACAGGCCCTTGTACAGGCTAGCTCGAGGGAACCTCATTAGAGACACAATAATTTTCTACGTTAGAGCAATGGTTCATCTTACCCTGCTACACCTTCCTTGCCAACGACGTGGGAGATTCCGCCAAATGTGGTCTTGGCAAATGGTGGGATTGTCGTTTGCATTCGCACTTTGACAGCCTCGAACGGACAGAGTGCGACGTCCGCGATAAGTTCTGCCGATGCGCTAGCAGCTAAATAAACAGATGTTCTCCATCGGATAGCGGCGTCCTCCCCAAGGAGATCAGAGTAGAATTTCTTGAAAAATTCATAGCCGCCGTACTTGAACGCTCCTTGCGCCTGTTTGAGAGATGGATAAGAATGTTGCCAAACCCCGTGGGCTTTCGGCTATGGGAGAGCATAACGTACGGAATATCCATTCAAGGTTGGACCCCAACCAGTGAATATACCGCGAATCCCTTCAGCGCGGCCAATTTTTCTCCACGCATCGAAGTTACCCTTATACATGGTAGGGTCCACCTGAAGGCGGCATTTTGCCAGATCCAACGGAGTCACAGCAGTATGCGTCAAGCCCTGAAATATTATATAGCCCAATATAAGTTCGATAGAACATGCATAATTTGAAAATAAGAACGCGGCAGGAAAAAAAAAAAAAATTGGTCAGGCTAAAATTTGGCCTTGGTTTATACTCACGCAAGCGAGTAATCCTCCAAAGGTACAGGCCGCATAATACTTTGGGGAATGCAGCTCGATCTTGCCAGTCTTAGCTTGCGCCTTCTGGCTAGCTTTATCAAATTCCTGGGCTGCAGCGTGTCCCACAGCTTCAGCCTTGTGTTTGACATCGTCCACAGCACTCCATGCTGGAAAGAGACGCCTCTTAGGAACAGACGCCGGCTGGACCTCTGCCGGCTTCTTTTCCTGTTTGAGTCCGTATCTCGACGCAAAAGCGCTGGCGAGAGTGTCTCGCGAAGGGAAGACTGAAGGCATTTTGTACGTAATGTGCGTCAAGCGCCCAGACTAGGTGTAAATTGATCTAAAAACAGTTAATAAGCTGAGATCCCCAGGAACTGATCATATTGGTGTAAGTGCGGAGTCGTGGTATTGCAAAAGTCCAGGATCATGTGAGGAAAGTGGTAAGCATAATCTCACTAGGTATGATACTGGCAATTAAAGCCTTGATATCGCCCTCTCAGTCAAGCAAGATTGCAATGAACTCCTGTGGAGTTGGGTTTGTTATGATGACGTCCACGGCCTACCGGGTAACCGGAAAGACAATGGGCGTTAGGGTAATCTAATATCCGAGAGTAAAGCTCTAGGCGTGGGGCCAATGAACAAGACACTCGCCAACACAGCCAGTTCAGCAAGAGACCTGCTGGTTCAAGAAATAATATTGCTGCGGCCTAAATGTCAGCAACGGGGACAAAGGCTGATGTAGATGAGGTTAGGCGGAGTTCGGGAGTTGCTTCTGAATTTCGGGAAAGGTTGGAAGGGGCGCTAGGCCACATAGGGAACGCCGTCCTCATCCGCAATTCTTGGCATCATTGTTTATGTAATGGTGGTGCTCGTCCACGGAATAGCGACGGTGACGCTGCGTGTTGACTCGAGATGCTGGCATTCTATGTCGTCTTGCTCTAAGGACATTGAGACTGTTGCTTCTTGCACACTTCACGCCCGGTCCTGGTCTCTATTACGCTTCCTGGGACTTCATTTGTGAACTCCCTGCTTGTTAAACACCCCGCCAACCTTAGGAGGGGCATGTTATTCTCTCAATAGCAAACACGATCAGTTGTTCTTGGAATAATAGAAACGAGCAATGACTTCCTACATATCCGCAAGCGAAGCATACAAACGCGAAAGGTCTCCCACCAATTGGGTGCCTTCATCCTCAGCTTCACAACCCCAGTCTTCATGGTCAGATAAATACCGCGGAGTAAGATCCTCCCCACCCACCGTCTCCCCTTACTCCTTAGCCCAGCAAGAAGTAAAGCCGCAGAAGAAAGGAAAAAAAAAGTATTAACGAGCCACTCCATAGGCGACAGTAGAAGATCTCGACCCTCCACCCGCCCTCTCCACCTCACCTCACGACTCTATCTCCTCCGCCCTCCTTGCCGCCTACGAACGCGACTACACTCACCTCACTGTAATCTCCTCCACGTCCCGCTCTCTCCTTGGCTACCTCAGCATCCCGCGGTTAAAATCCTTACTTAAAGATGGCACCGTCACCGAATCCGATCCCGTAGAGAAAGCCATGCACAGATTCAGAAGGAAAGGGCATGTTTACAAGGTTATCACGATGGACACGCCGTTAGAGGAATTGGAGAGATTTTTTGAAGGAGACATGGGTGGTGGAGAGAAGAGAGAAAAGCAGGACTTTGCCGTGGTGACGGATGCGAGCAGGAAATTCGTGCTTGGGGTTGCAACGAAGGAAGACCTAGAGCAGTTCGTTAAGAGGAGACCGGCTTGATTTTGATAACGGGCTTCCGAGCCTATACTTCATGGATTCGTTTGGGAACCGCCGGTCGGCGGATGATGATAGATTCTCTCAGTTTCGGGTGAACAAAAAGCGCATCCGTGAAACCTATCGGGAAGATTGCTCCGTTTATACCTGCTTGCCAGAATCTCCCAATCCCGAGTCACGGCTCAGTATCGAGGGTGCAACGACATTCCGAATGTAAGTTGTATTAAATGTACAGTACATCCAAAATACCAGTTTTCCCAGGGCGTTCTCGTCAGAATGACTGTAAAACAAGCATATTGTGGGCTTCAGAGATTGAAATTCAACATTCACATTAAAAAGGAATAAAGCGATTTCACATAGAATCATCAGAGGACCTCACATGTCTTGTTAAAAAGAGTCTATATCTTGATGGCTGGTTAGGTATAGCTGGGGAAATACCTTGAATAGTACGGACTCCCTGCCCTTGAATGTAAGGCCAAGTGGTCAGGTTATGTATATTAAAACACGGGAACCGGCTTAACAGTTCCCCATCGGTAGAGCACCATACTGAAGAAGCCTTCGTAGCCTTGAAGGGGCTATTCATCGGACATGCTTCAACCTCCTTGTGGCTTCGGTCGCGACCATCGCACATATCGCACCAATAAACAAACACATCGCAATCCCATTTGGTCCCTCAGCATTGAGATTCATCCATTGGTCTTCTTTTGAATTGGTCGTCTCCTTGGCCTTGAGCTCTGGTTCGCTCTGTGTCGATGATCTATTCGGTTCTAGAATGCTGAAGACGATCCAGCTAATAAACGTGCCCACGAACTGAGGAAGAGTAGTGTACACGTTGAGGACGCCGAGGTATATTCCGGCCAATTCGCCAGTGGACGCGGATTCATCGTCTTCTACGTCACTCTCGAAATCGCTGTCTCCATCATGACGGTGGTTGAGCCGAAGGACACTGGCGTTATCGAATTCTAGATCGGAATTGTTACCGTCCGTGGTTTCAAGGGGTAGGTAGGCACTATGTCTGTTGCTCGCTCCTGCAGAGGTTATCATGGTAACTGTGGAATTCCGTGACGTAGAGGATAGGGCCAGCCGATTGATTTCAACTCCCATGAAAGCAAAAGGAGCCCAGCTAGTAACAGCCCATGGAATGCCGCAAATGGCTACGAGGAACGTCGCGAATCGAACCGATTTTGCCAATGGCGCGAATATCATTGTTGCAGCGAAGATGATGTGCGACATCATCCACGCTGTCTGCAAATCCGGCCGGACAAAAGCGATCTTTTTGAGGAGACGGACGACACCCCGAGGCGGCCGTGGAGTGAATCGCCCTCTTTTGTTTTCCGGTGAGAGGACCCCAAACGGAAGCACAACGGAGCTAACCAACGTAATCATGGAGAATATTACGAGTGACAGACTCCCCAGGCGACCAACCTCGCCAAGTGTATCTTTTGACTGTTCAACGGCAGATTTTGGCACTTCATATCGAAAATATGTCTCTCCAACCCAGGTGCTGCTATAGAAAAGGAATGGAAACCAACCTAGAAAAGCATTAGCGAGGGTTTCTCGGAGGGTTTTCTGGGGCGTGCATACCAATCCAAGCCCAGAATTGCGCCCAGCATATCGCCTTGATTCGAGGTGGCAGATTAAAAGTGGTTCTAAATAGCTGAGAGAGTATTTTGATCGCGCCGGCTCGACTATCCGTATCTCTACAAAGGTTGAAGTTTTAGTATTGGAAACTTGAAGCGAGCAAGGTAGTTCTCCACGAACCTGACGGATAATAAGACTCTCTCTTTAACGGCGTACGAGGTGACAGATACTGCTGTGATGAGTGACAGGGCAGCTATCACCGTCATTTGCTTGAATTGAGTATTTCCAAGCGTGGTGCCAAATCTGCTCAGCATGTCGACAGACCCAATTGCATAGCCAATAAGGCTTCCCACCGCAGTCATCCTACTTGCTGTGATAGGACTGAGCAAAGGTTCACATTGTTACAAATCAGCGAATTGAGCTTACCCCAAGCAGACCCCAGTTGCTGCTGGGGGATGGGCAGTGTATCCACTATTAAACTCCGGCAACATGCCTGAACTGTTCGACAGAATTAGAATACGTCGAAACAAAGTTTAAAGGATTATACGCACCAACATTTATGGCGAAGTCAGTGGCATAAATGCTTAAAACCGCTACCATTATCGTCACTGACTTTCTCTACTTGTTGGTTAGCTTCCGCACAATCGGCATCAAATACATGCAGCATTGTTCAAGGAGACTTTCAAAGTAAAACCCTAGTCTTAATGCAGGGTCGAATCCGACGACGTACCAATTGTGTATCGCTTATAAAGATCGAAACAATCTCGGTTGTCCATCCGAGCACGAAGAGACAGAGCGCAACTACCAGAGAACCCCCGATCATAAACGGTCGTCGGCGACCCCATTTCGACGTCGAACGATCAGCTATTACTCCAACCAACGGCTGCATTATTAAGCCCGAAAGCGGGCCAGCTATCCATACGAGCGACGTGCGTGACTTCGTTAACCCGAGCTGAAGGAGATACGGCGTGCAATCTGATCATAATCATACCAGGAAACTTGTTAGCAAATCTTCTGATAAACTCATAAAAGGAAGATAGACGGCGGATGAGAACCAAAAAAATAATAAAAATAAAAATAAAATAGAAAATAAAAAATTAAAAAAATCAAGGAAAATGTGAGCAATTACATGTCATTTCAATTCCCCAAGTGAACCTTTAGAACGGAAGGCAGCACATGAGAACGGTAAAATCAGCACAAGTTTTTTCAATCCAACGCCAGTTAAGCATGCAACCAGGCGTAGATATTGGAATCGAAGGATCCGGGGAAAACCAACGCACTGTAGTCCAACCAAGCTGAAAGTCAACAGAGCCATGCGCTGGGACTCTGTCCGCCCCTTGATGGAGGGCGTCCCCATCCATGATGCCCCTTGTCGCATGGCTCACGCCCCTTCAGATAAGGGTACCAGGCGAGCGTAGCTACCGCCAAAAAATTCCGTTATTGCCTGACTATGTCCTGTTGGTCATTCACGGCTTTTCGTAAAAGATGAGTCTCGTCTGGAAGTTTTGACAGTCCTGGTGAAAGATCGGAAACCAAGCGAGCGACGTAAACATCAGACGGATCGAGTTGAAAAAGATCGGGGGTGGAACTAGGCCGATCTATACATCGTACGTCAAAGGACCTGCAGGTAAAATGCCTCACACTAACATGTCAAGCCCAACAATTTATTCAAACAAGCAGACAGACATAGGAGCGGGAGATCACGTTGGGCAAATCTGGGAAGACAAAAAAGGACGTTTCGTTTTGGATCAATTTAACTCAGCGTGGAGAACTCCCCTTGGCGCAATCCACGGTCCAAGCTCCCGGCCCAGGTTAATTGCGCGTACTAAGCTCCAGGCACTAAATTTAGGGCACTGAACTGCGGAGTCGCGGCCCAGCAAAACGGTTGTCGGGATCAACAGATGAGGAAAAGCCCGCAGAGATCAATCCACTGAGCGTCAGAATGGACTATATATATGTGGAATGGAGGGTGATGACAATGGAGTATGGAGTACGGAGTACGGGGCACGGGTTCTCCATGCCCGTCTTACCCCTTTGTCCACGCAGGAGGCGGCGTCGGCACCGGACAGGGAAATATCTGCACGAACTGCGACCTACAGGCAAAAATCGACAGGGGTCTGCGTTTAGTTCTCCGATTCATTGGGTGAAAGCGCTGACAACCGGAGCGATAACTCCATAAATGGCAAACATTCGAAAACGTATATTTGCTACTCCGCATGGCTGGTTATGTCCCTACGTGCAGCCTTTAGTTCCCTGATATCTGCGATCCCTTCTCCCACAGCTAACTAGTTAACTAGATCCAGGCTCCGTGACGGAACTCTTACTTAATTTTCGGGTTGGTCAACAGCACCTCGAATTTTAATCCAAAACTCCTCTCCGCTAAACTTCAGGCTTCCTTTGATCGGCTTCGCCTCGGTCGGTCACAGTCATGGAGGGTACTATGCGAACTACTTAGGCTCTGCCCTTGGCATTTCAGGTGCCCATGGGGGCTAACTAGTTGTGTTCCAGCCTCCAGCCTTTCCGCATCGAGGATGCAAAGGACATTGTGATAATTCAACGTACCTTCACCCCTATTTCTTACCAACGCTTTCCCTTCTTCCAAACTCGAGTTCCACAGTGCCTCGTGGTAAACAGATGCTCGGCAAGTGTCTGTTTCTCACCCCGTCCTTCGGATTAGCCGTGTTCAGTTGAGCCGCCCAATTTTCGCCGAATTTTCTACATCAGCGCTTGGGGCTTTGTGGCCTGGAAACGCCTTATTGACTATGAGAATGAAGAAGTTGCCATGGCGCAGTTGAGGGAGATAAAGGCTGGGTTTATGGACAGGGAAGCTTTTCCAGAAGCTTTGGCTGTTTTCATTGCTAAGGGTATTCCTAACAGTCATAAAGCACTGTCCGACGACTCATCAAGTTCATTCGACGAATCTTCCGCTATCTTGTATACTGTATACAAACATGTATTCCCCATCATCTGAGGCACGTGGTTCAGCACTGCAACCTTGCCCTGCTGTGAAGAAGCTGAACTTCCGGTTTCGTGCACCCAAGGTTGCGCATGTTAGGTCACACGTGTAGATGATGTTTTCAGGCAGGTTTCCATCTGGCGGACGGACCTTGATTCTGTTGGAGTCTCAAGAACAGTAATCCAGAAATTGCCATCAGTGCTGGAGATCTATATAAATGTGAGATATTGTGCATTTTTGAAACAAGCTGTTATAATTTTGGGGGCATGGTAGAGGATCATATGCTTGACAACTATACCTTTAGACCTACCATTAGTGGGCCTTGTAATCAGTAAAAAGCTGTTTGCTAGAGACCTTGCTGGATTTAACGTCGAAGGAAAATCGCTGTCATCCATACCGCGCCAATGAACCATCTGGAGGCACACATTCATAACGAGGTATATCCCGGCTTTATTACTCCGACTCGATGCCAGCTTATTTCATGTCCTTCTCCCTCTGATGTAGGCTTTCATATCTCTAGAGCCTGTTATTGGGCACTTCATGACTCTCAGGAAGGTCTCATTGACACCATATGCCACCACCTTATTGACTTCTCCTCACCGACGTCCCTTTTGTATTGACACCATCACTGTTAAACCTCAACTCATCCTTCTGGTTTGGGAAGTAGTCTCTTAAGACACTGGTTTTCTATGGCGCGCAGCAAGAGAGCGTCTCTGTGTCCAATCCAGGGTAGTTTCTAAGCAGCTTGAGCACCGAAGTAAGCTTGCTATTCATACATCCCTCGCACAGAAATCATGGATCCTCCTTGATATTGCGCTGAGCAGTCGGATTTAAATTTTTGTGATTGTCTAGCGTTAAAGAGACCTCATCACAAGCTATCACCGCCAGGGTGTCCCTCGGCAACATCCCGCCCAACCCTCCCTCGCCAAGGCCCCCTAACCGCCCTTCTCCCATCGGCACCCTCCCGAAACTCCCCACAACATCAAGCTCAAAAATCTGGGGAAAGCTTTGCCATGCTTGCTTTTTTTCCAATTCTTCTTCTTTCTTTTTCGCTTGACCTTAAAACCCCCGTCCCGCTTTTTTTTTTAGGATCCTCGTGAAAATCACTGCAAGGGACGCGGGGGCCTGCAGGCTATGTGGCTTGACAGCTTGACCCACAGCCATGCAGGCCTGACGTGGTTACAGCCTGGCAGTTAAGGTCGAATGACGCCCTACTTCTTCATGGTGCGCTAGTTATTATATGCATGCTTTCATGACTATGTACGGAGTACTCCGTATGGAGTAGAGCCTTGTGAAGCACTTGAAATTGCCAAACCTTGGGACCCCAATTTTCACTGTAACTACTCCGTACTCCGTATGGTTTCCTTTTTTTGTCCTTTTCACTTTTCTTTTCTTTTCTTTTCTTTTTTTCTTTTCTTTTTTTTTTAGAAAGCCATAATCTCTCAGCCAATCTGTCCCAACCTCACAAGCCCCCTGGCTGTGATTGCCCAAATATTTATTCGAAAGATGAAAGGGAATCGTCGTACGGATTGAATTGAACAGAAGACAGATCATATACATCCAGAAAACGTAACAAAAAGCTGCATCACTCATGCTTAACAAATCTAAGAAACCAGTGGGAGAAGCGCCACAAAAACCTTGGCTGCCGAATTCATTCTCCCCATTCATTGCACAAAAAAACAATACAGATGAAAAGGAAAAAAAGGAAGAAAGAAAAAAAAATAACACAAATAAGTGAGAAGCTTAAGTCCTAAACCATTACCACTTTTCTTTTCCTTTTTCATTCATACATGGGGCAAAAACGAGTTTGATTTATCAACAAATAAGGATATTTCTGCACATCAACAATGTGGGTTCTGGAGCCTCATAAGCGGTTGGGTGCAGTTGTAAGAGGCCATTGGTACCCAGCCGCGTCACTGAATTTGTATCCGAATGAAGCTGTGAAATCGTCAAGTACCGGAGGACCACGCGAGCCTACAGAGAATCAGTAACTCTTATTACCAGTTCAAATTTTGGGACGAAAGCATACCATAGGGATACTCCATTGGGATTATATCCGTATTATCATCGAGATAATGAAGAAGTGGTGTGAAAATTCTCCAGCTGGCATCCAGCTCGTCGTCACGGACGAAGTTGGAGTGGTCGCCCTTCAGCGCGTCTAGAATTAACGACTCGTACGCCTCAGGGATCTTTAAATCGGAGAACCTTCGACGGTACGTGAGATCGAGCTCGGTTTCGACTGTTTGCATGGAGAGACCGGGAAGCTTGGAGTTCATCTTAATGTACACCGACTCGTTGGGTTGTACGCGAATAACAAGTTCGTTTCTGGGAATGTCTTTAAATATGCCGGACGTCACGTCACGGAATTGAATGCGGATTTCAGTCTTCTGCTCATTCAAGGCTGTAAAATATGTAAGCATCCAACGCGAATTGGGTTCAGAGGCTTTGAGACCCACCTTTCCCAGCTTTTAAAATGAAGGGGACGCCATCCCAGCGTTCATTCTTGATATAGGCCACCATGGCGCAAAAGGTTGGGCATCTGGAATCTTTGGGAACAGTGTCGTCCTCCAAGTAGGAGGGTTTCGTTCCGTCCAGGGATCTGCCGTACTGTCCAATAATCACATTCTTCGGCTTGATAGGGTCAATACCGCGTAACACGCGGACTTTCTCATCACGAATATCTTCTGCGGAGAAGGAAACAGGACGTTCCATTGCGAGGAGGGTGAGGACTTGAAGTAGATCTATTCACGATTATTAGTTGAAATTAGTAAAACTTAACATTGAGTGACCTACGGTTCTGCATCACGTCACGGATGATGCCGAACTCGTCAAAGTAGCCTCCTCTTCCTTCCGTACCGAAAGGCTCTTTGAACGTAATCTGCAACCTGTTAGACCCCCTGAGAGATTTCATTTTCACACCCCAATGCCAAGGGCATACCTGCACGTTGTCGATATGGTGTCGATTCCAAGTAGCATTGAAGAATTCGTTTCCGAATCGAAGGATGAGAATATTCTTCACCATCTCTTTTCCGAGATAGTGATCGATACGGAAAACTTCGTCTTCTCTCCAGTTAGGCTGGAGCGCTCTTTGCAGCTCGCGCGAACTCTCGAGATCTTTGCCAAACGGTTTCTCGACCTTTATATCACTATCGATGAGCACTCGACTCGGCAAAAAGAACGTGAAGAAACCGATGGACTCACAATAATCCTTGCAATGCCTTTTTTCGGGTAGCAGTTCTTTTTTAGGTGCTCTGATACGGGGACGAAAACGCTCGGAGGTAGGGCCATGTAGAATACTCTGTTCTGCTCGGTTTTTCCCTTCTCTAGCTCCTCCAGGTGCTTATTCAAGGCGATGAAAGAGTCATCTTGATCATATTGACCGGCGACATATGTGCAGAGTTCACAAAAACTAGCCAGCTGCTCTTCGATCTCTTTTGTGGGAACTTTAATGTACGAGCGGACGCGTTTGATGAATTCCGCATGGTCCATCTTCGTTCGAGCATATCCGATGATCTTGATGTCTTTCGGGAGGAATTTGTTGCGGAACTGGATTCGGGAGTAAGCTTTCGATTCTTATGGTGGGGTCCGGGGTAAAGAAACTGGGGACCTACGAGGCCAAAAAGGGCCGGGAACTGCATCAATCAGTATCGATATACGTGACTACTGCGAATATTCAACATAGTCGGACTTACTGTTTTTTTCTTTGCTAGATCACCAGATGCGCCTAGGACCACGATGACCGTATCATCTTTGAGCTCTTTAGCGCTATAATGAAAATTAGCTTAGTAGACTGACATCACAGCTCTCTAGGGTAACAGTAGGCTCCAGGACTGAAATAATCAAAAACATTTATTCCCAAATATTGGCTTGCTCTTCGAATATCTTTGTCATTCAGCCCAGCACCGTTCACTCGATACTACATGTAGCCCGCCAACAGCTCTGGAAGATTTGCCCAAGGACCGGGGAAACTTGGCTGGGGAGCAAAAGCACCCGGATAAGAAAATTGTAGACACTCACCTAGGATTCTGGTGCTCCCCATTGTGGTTCTGTGAAGGTGACATTGTGCAATTGAGGTCTGTGGTTCGAGCTGAAATGATAAAAGACGAAACGAAAGGGAAAAAAAAAAAAAAAAGAGGGATGCGGGCGGGGAGGGGGAGGGCACTGTTCGGCACACGCGCAAGACGAGAGATATAGATGGTCGAGGAGATGTGTGTTTTTGGAAGATAAAATCAATGGAGCATCTAGGAATGAGAGATGAAGATGGTCAACAATCGAGGTTCAAATTGAGTCAACGTGCGTAGCCGGGAAGACGTCGCAATGGGGTGTTTGAGGTGGCTCTGGTGGTGGGGCTGGATGCTGGTTATCCTGATAGTTAACTAGCGGGATAACTAACCAAAGAAGCTCGAATGGAGTATTTATGCGGCCTCTCACACCCTTATTGTCTGAGGATGAGGATCTTCTCTCTCTTTTTTTTTTTTTTTTTTTTTTTCTTTTTTTAAGCCAGGTGAGGACAGAATGATGTAAGAAAGAAAACAGAGAAGCGTCTAGCAATAGTATTTGAACGGTGGCTTGAAGGATAGCCGACGAAAAGTGGTTAGTTGGACAACATACTCGGTTCCTGCCAGCGTACCCAGGCAGTTTGATGATCCAACTAACCTTCGAGTCTATGAAGCGCAAAAGAGAACTTCCGAGTCCGGCGGTCGCTGGACGGAAATGATGTCAGATCCACGTGAACAGTCCCTCGCGAATGATGCGATCGTGAGATGCTCCTTTTTTCAATTCCCGCTCGGGAACAGGTGCACTACAGCAGCAGTCAGCCGGTACCATCCACTGTCAGTGCGTTCTTTCTGAGAGCTGCAGGACAGGCGTTCCCGGTCGATGTTAGTCGTTATAAGTTACCTGTTAACTAATCAACTAATGCCGCGTTCCTAATTTAGGCCAGCCCGGGTTCATCTTTACCATCTCTTCCGCACTGACCATGAGTGCCGTTGCAATAATACGACCGTGTTCAAGGGAAGATCCCATGCTGATACCGAAGTGGAGTCATGAAGTCACATCCACTCCGACGGCCTGCCGGTAGCTTGCCCTATGTTCGTTAAGTTACATCCGTAACCACCTAAAAGTTGACTAGGTTAGTGACAGTTTCCTCGTCAAAATCGTTGAGACAAATTAGTAATCATCACATCGATCGGAAAGACTTTCAAGCGTTCGAGCCTGCGAACCGTTCAAAAATGTCGACGGGAAGAAAGACACGACATCCGGTCGAGCTGCAGCAGCATCATTCACCCAGCTGAGGATCGGTGATTAACCCGCCAACTACGGAGTACATAACTAACTAACTGATTACTCGGCCCCAGGCCCTGTCGATGATCGTACCGGGCCCCGTATGTAAATAATCAGAACGAGGTTCAATTAGCCAACTCGTTACTTCGTACTTCAGTCACCAGCTGTCCCGTACATACGTCCTATGCACCTCGTCCAGTCTTTAGAGTCCGGTGTAATTAAATATTCCCTATCCCAAATGGACAACCCTACGGTCGAGATGCCATCGCCAATCATGCCGGCGATAATGCCTCTCCAGACCGCAGGTAAGTTTAACGTAGGGACAGAGGACTTTGCTGACCCGAGGCATAGAGAGCTTTGCGCTCGAGCTATACTCTTAGCGAGACGATCCCGAGGCTATTCAACGAACACCGATTTATTACGGAATGGTGGCGTAGTTAACCTGGAATCCTTCGTTTCTAATCCAGAGAACTTTGACTAGACTGACTGATATGGGACGCCAGGCTCAATACTAATAATTACATCTCGGGGTCCCATGATAACAAACGTGATAATTACATCACAACTTCAGCCCGGTGGGATATAGGGGAATGACTGGCCTTGCACCTGGATTTTTTCGCCTTTACGGATAGCAAGCCACCTTTCCCCAAGACACTTTGTCGCAAAGTTATGATGATAGATATCAGCTGGCTTCAATAGAAAGCGAAGAGCGCTGTCCCTTGAGGGATAGAGTAGCTCAAGAGCTCTTCAGTGTTGCATCCTGCATTCTCTGCACCTCTGGCAAGCCCCATCTTTGTATTTAATCACATCCCACTACTTCTTTGATCGCGGCTCTTTTTCTCAGCTCAATGATCAACATCAACTGCATGCATTCTCCTCTGCTAGAAAAGCACAAATGTCAAAACTCTTCTCTCCTGTGGGTGCCGTATATACACATGAATCACTAGGACTAGTCCCTAGTGCTGCTGTTGTACCGTGGATGAAATGCTCATATTCTTGTGTCCATCTTCATCGAACCAATTATTTCTGGCCTCTCACTTGCTCCGCCACTGATCAGCAAGGCTGCTGTGCATGCTCAAGTATAATGCGATAGGAAAGGCCTAAAGAGAGTGACTCATTCCAAAGATATTCTAGATAGTGCATGCAAGTGTTCATATTTCTCCTGGAGAAGGAAGGGGCTTGTCTGGTCCTCCAAATTCTGTGAAACAGGATTCCGGCAGTGGAGGTGTATGAGCGGAAAACTGCCATATCACTTGAGGGTCGGACACTTCTCCAAATCTGTAATCATAACAGTAGAATCCACCAGGCAAATCTCATTACTACTGAAGCCAAGCCAATTAGGGACAATGGCTTGTGAAGAAACTCCTGGATCGAGAAGAGCACTATCTTAACCTGCTCTTTTGCCAGTTTGCTGGCTCTAGCCTCTAGCATGCAGCTGCGCTAGAGTCCGTATCAAATAGCATGCAAAAAAGGATGCTTGCAATGGATGAGTTGCAGGCCAAGTATAACTTGTGAGGCGATGGCTCGAGTGACAGGGAGACAAAAATGTTGATGATATGCAGCCTCTTTCGCTTCATGGATATTGATTTTAGCTGCACTGTGACAAAACATCAATGAGTGCGAATGCTCAATTTTTCCACAAATTTGTCCCTGACTCTACCAGCTTGATTGGCTGTGATGCTGAGGAAGAGGCGCGGGTTGCATGCGCGAGTAACAATACAGAGAATGTGTGCATATTTCACCAGGAACAACAATAATCTGATAATGATTGGTCGTATATCTGGCTCCAGGTTCATTTCATGAATGGTAGATCTTAGCAGCATGAAGGAATCCTAGGACTTGGCCGGCGTTGATGATTGTTTACCATATAACTAATACGACCATATCATAGAGTATTTATAAACAAAAGAGACAAGGAAAAATCATATTAATGCTGGCTTGGGCTGCTATTCACCTGAGTTCAAAATCGGTTTGTATTTAAATATTGAAGCACAAAGCAGGGCTGGAAGATCAAAAAGATCACAGCTTCCGGAGCAACGAGTCAAAACTTTGCGACCAACTTCTACAATTTTGCGAACTGCTTCTGTGACAGAGAGCCGAGGTCCAGATCGGCTACTAACAGATTTACAAAAAGTCTGATGAGGAGGAACTCTGCATTATTTCCTCAGCGAATGTAGTGCTTGAAGCTAAAAATATGATAATAATTCGGTATCAATATCCAAAGGTTCCTGTTGAGAAGGCTTGAACTGGGACAGGGATGCTGTTGGATCCCCACACAAAGCGCCATTTTTGCTTTTCGTTATTGCGTCTTCCGCCACGAAATGACGATCGCTGCTTTGTTTGCAGAATTCGCATGGCGGACGGCAAGGGCTTGGGAGACAACAAGGGTCGGCGCGCTCGTTCACTGAGAGTCGCAGTTCGGAATCCGCCGAGTGCTCCAGCCGGGAAGACACGTCTCGCCCAGGATCAGGGCTGTTCAACGTTCGTGCTTCTGAACCCGTCGATTACGCCCCTCTCTGCACATCAAATCTCGAGTCTTCACACCCCCCAGTTCACAATTATTATTCGTTTAGCTTGCTGCGCTTTGCAGAATCCATTTCAAACCGGTTTCATCTCTCGTCCGGGTGACACACGGACCCCTACACCGACTCGATCGGCCTCCTTGCTGGCCAAAGACCACCACCCTGTCACCCCGTGCTCTATACCCAAGTCTAAAACGCTTCGTTCATGCAAATGCCTCGCTTTTTGAAAATCAATATTAGTAATAATATTGCGGTTAGTTAACTATGACCGTACATTCGAGGGCAAGGTGGTGGCTTAACCTGTTTGGATGGGCCAACTTCCCCTTATGATCTTATCAGATTTCTTTGTTTGATCGCGAGAAGCTGCATAAAAGATGGCGAGCCCCAAGTTGAACGGGATTTCGTACTATCGGTGCATCCTGCCGCTTCCTGAGAGCGAGGCGAGACCGCTTTTGTGAGATCACAGCCCCCACGAAGTGCAATCAAAAGCCAATGTTTGATGAGCCGCGAAGAGACACATCCCAGCATCTTGCTCATATTGGTTCCGCCATCGCTGCCACTATCAAAACTCGTACTCCATATGATCACACTGCATATTTCCATCCACACCAATATTGAATCAACACGCCTTTTGGGAGATGGCGCGTACGACATTAATTTGATCTGCGAGAGGTCGCTATGGCTCAAGAGACCCAAGGAAAATTGGCGATCGCTCCCCAGGCTCGGGCCTAGACCACAGCTCAGCTGAGCGATGCCTAGCTCTTGTGTCCGTGCAAAGATATTTCTGGGCAGTCATGATCGGCCATCAGCTTTCAAATCGACACTATTGATCTGCAGGGTCAGTACTCTGTACACTGGACGGCTTAATTCTGATGGGATGATTCCATTCGGGCTTCAGCATCCGCATTGGCTTGCGAACGTAATTCCCTCGTAACAATTCCTGGTGTCTGCTCATGACCGATATGACTTTCTTATTTACCATGGGAGGCCTGCCTCATCCTAACTGTCGAACATTTCTACTCCGCACTGAGTCCTTCATTCAGAGGACCATTTTACCTTTCTTTTTCTTTTTCTTTTTCTTTTTCTTTTTTTTTTTTTTTTTTTTTTTTAAGGTCCCGTCGGGTCGAGCCTCGTGTCTATTTTGATTCTTTGGTCCCCGCAAATTCTCTTCATTTTCTTTGGGGCCCTGCAGCTTTCTCATTTCATTCTCAACTCGTCTGGCTAAAGGCAGAGACGCGAGGGGGCCATTCGTCCAGTGTCTTATGGGGTGGCTCTCTTGCCTGTACACCCATAGAGAGGCCTCCTCTTTCATGCCTTCTAAACCCCTTTGAGGAGTACGGAGTACCGGTATTTTCAACAGTTAACCACTAGCCTAAGAGGGGTCCATGTCCGGTTTGGCGGTCGAAGACCTTTCCACGAGCAATGAGGCAGAATATCTGTCTGGCAGATTTACCGATTTTGCTGATTTTAGACCTTGTTGATAATCCATACCTAAGATATCGATGTATTTTCTTGGGGTAGTCTATCAAATTTATGCCCTGGTAAATCCAAATTCCCATCAGCACAATTTAAGAACTCACAGAGAACCAGCAGTACGGCCCGGATGTGCGATCTGAGGGAGCATCAAGCCTATCGCATCTCACTGTTACCAGAAAATGGTATTGCATGATTATTTTGCTGACTGGGTCAGATGCTCATGTGGACGCAAAAGACTTAACACAATACCTTTTTCGAATAAGGCTCTCGATAATGCTAGGATAGTCTTCTCATCCACATTTTCTTTATTAGGTATGATCCTGGAACAATAGGGTGCAGTGATTCAACTCTTGTTTAAGCACATATATCAAACAACAGGAAGAAAACAGCGAGGAATCATACATTTCTCTCTATGGCATTATGTGACTTATATCTTAGTGTATTAGAGTACAAGAATAGCAGTACCTTTTGTGCAAAAACTCCCTTTCCATATCCATTCGTAACATATACTCCAAGAAGGTACAGTGCGGGTATCAAAATGTCCAAGAAAGGCATGATATATGTGTGTAGCCTCACCGACAAGAAAGGTAGGAAAAAGTGAAGAAACCAGTCCGACCACCAGATATCACCAAGCCAAAACCATGTATATAACGAAAAAGTCTTTTGAACTCACTTTATATCCCCGCTCTTCACTCCAACGCGCAAGCATTAAACCTCCTGTTTCATTTCGCTCCCGTTCCCGTTCTTCTCGGCTTTTAACCTCTTCTTCTCCCTCTGTGCTTCTAGCCGCTCCTGTCTCGCACGCTCCTGCTCCGCAAGACCGGTTCTTGTGACTTCATGCTTCTTGCTCAATTCTGTCTTCTTAATTCCTAGACTAAACAAGCAACCTAACGCCGCAACACAGGTGTAGAATATCCACAGTCGACTCAAAGCATGTGTGTATTCGCCGAATACAACGCGTTTTTGCTCCTCGGTGAGGAGGTGTGTCTTCTCGATGTTCGTGCCCGCGATGGTGCCCAGGAACGCGGGTGCTAGTTCCGGGCCAAGTGCGGCGCGAATTTTCGGAGCAGATTGTTTCATTACGTTCTGGAAGACGACACCACCAAGCACGAGGGAGGTGGATGTAGATAGTTGGCGCATGAACCCGAAGGTCGATGTTGCAGAAGCGACGTCGGAAGGCCTCATGGCTGATTGGATAGCGATGAGCGGGGCCTGGAAGTTAGGGCCGATTCCGATGCCAGAGATGAGCTGGTAGATGATGATGCGTGCCCAGGAGGCGTACGGTTTGAAGTCGATGAAAAGGCCGTAGCCGAGTGTCGTGATGAGGGCGCTGGCGCGGATGATCCATAGGTATTGACCTGTCTTGCGGATGACTATGGCGGCTGCAATGGAGAGGACGGCCAGGCCAATTGCTTGGGGAAGGATGTATACGCCGCTAAGAATGGGGCCGACGCCGAGGACGGTTTGGAAGTAGATTGGTAAGTAGTATGTTCCGGCGATGAAGCAGGTGGCTTGTGACCAGCTGACTCCAAGAAGGCAGATATTGCTCCAAGACTCAAAAAGCGCAGTGGGCATGATCGGGTATTTGGCAACTCTACGTTCAACGAGCCCAAAGAGGGCCAAAACGACGATGCCAAACACGATTAAACAAATAGTCGTGGCGGAGTCCCACGGGTACGTGATTCCTCCAAACTCCAACCCAAAAAGTAACATCAGAGTCCCGCCGATAATGGTCAGGGTCCCCAGCCAGTCAATCGCTTGGAGGCCGGCAACAAGTGGTGTCTTTGGGGACTCGATATTCAGCCAAAGGAGCAAAATGATGAGCGAGACGCCACCGACGGGGACTGTGTCCGAATTAGCATAATGGAACCAGTCTCATGTTTTAAAAGCGAGAGCTTGCAGAAACGACTTACGGTTGATATAAAAGCACCACCGCCAGGTGACTTCCTGAGTTAAAGCACCGCCAATCACAGGTCCAAGCGAGCCAGCAACAGCCCAAACAGCTCCAAACATTGCGTAATAAACAGGCCGTTCTCTAAGTACGGAGAATATAGTATTAGATGGTGTGACCGGAGTCGTAGAGCGTGGCAAGATTCTAAAAAAAAAAAAAAAAAAAAAAAAAAAAAAGGGAAAGAAAGGGGGAGGGGATTCTCACCTCGCACTGAACAGGTCACTCACGCAGATCTGTCCCAAGATAATGACACCTCCACCACCGATACCCTGCAGAGCTCTTCCGACCAAAAACATGGCAAGGGAGTTCGCTAGGGCGCAAATCAAGCTACCTACGAGGAACACGACATTTGCGAGAAGAACGATAATTTTGCGCCCCCAGATGTCGCTCAGCTTTCCCCACAGCGGCAAACATGCGGCATTAGCAAGGAGATATGACGAAGCCATCCACGTATAAGACGTTTCATTGGCATCGAACTGAGCAGCAATCGTAGGCAGAGCAGTGGAAATAATGGTCTTGAGAGATAAGGAATTAGAGCCATGATCCGATCACTTATGGCGGAGAAGAAGCGACTAACCATATCTAAAGCTGCCAGGAAGAGCGCCAACTAATCAACTATCCATCAGCTTCCGTATACATAAGCTTGCTTTGCGATAAGCTGGGTCCTTACGCATAATGCCCCCATAATCGCGATCACCCGCTTCCTGTTCATTTTCTCGCTTTGAGAAGGTGTTAGTTGCAACGGATTTTGTTCCTCTTGCGTTGCGGGCGATTCAGCAGGATCATCTTCGCCAGCGTTGTCGTTTGAATTCACTGTCGATGACGATGGCGATATGTTTTCTCCTCGGAGTGAACCATCTATCTCTTTCTCCTGCCCATCTTGAAGGTCGACACTATCCGTTACGGTGCAACGAGACTCAGCCGAAAGACCATCAAGCGGCCGTTGATCTGTGGAATGCGCCATCACCGCAGGGAATAATATCAAGGCATGAAATTGAGAATATTCTTCGTTACCAAGGCGGCGGAAATGAAAACTCGGGGGTTTGGGGAAGGATGGATAAGCTTTTCGCAAATGTCTGGTTCCTGGAAACGCTAGACGGGGTGTCGCTTTTCCCGAGAGTCTCAGTGACCATCCAGATCTTAAAAATGGAAGCCCGTCAAGAGGCGTGTCTTCGCACCCTCTATACAGCCTTTCGCCGTGGATTTTCCTGTCTGCCCGGAGCGAACCTCCCAGTTATCGAGAGGATTGTAGAATAAAAAAGAAACAACTCTGCCTGACTCAACAAAATACCAAGTGGGTCATTTTTCGCTGTCAAGAAGCCGAAGCCCATCCCTGCTTCGTCGTAGTCCAGCTTGTCGGGGTTAAACGACGCCGCTCCCGATGGTTAGATCCTCGCTCTTTCGCGAGCCGACCGTCACGGCGGATGCCCATTTCGAAGGCACTTGGTCATCTCCTTCTAGAACAAACCGAGTAGCCAGACCCAAGGGCCCGAGTACCCTCCACAAAGCCAAATTGATATTGGCTCGACGCCGCTGAGCTCACACGGCACGAAACAAACGAGCGAAGCACTCCGTACGGAGTACTTTCGTCTAACTCCGGCAAGCCGGAGATAAGCTTGCTTTGGGGCTGTCCATTCTCCTCCAGATCTCAAAGTCATTCGCAACTTATACGAGAATTTGAAATACCATGGTTGTCCGAGCTGGCAAGGTTGCTGAAATAGACACTCCGTACTCCATACGCAGTTACTCTGGATTTGTTGTTAGTTCCTTCATGCGATCGGCATACACTTCCCCCTGTCGTGTAACGCCGCCGTGGCCAAGCGCTGTTGGCGCGTCCTCCACGTGTTGAAGCTGAAGAGAGAAAAATTCAACTCTCCACCAGTTCCTTTGAGGTATCTTCTGGCCGCTGTTTCTCTTGTCTGGTAGTGTTCTGCACCCTCTGGGTTGCTTTTGGCACAAATCCCCAAGATGAAGCCTTGCCATTTGGAAAAATCCTCACGCGTCCATAAATTCCAAAGGAAGAGTTTGGGATGATCCTACCAACGCCAAATTGACTAGGTCTAAATATTCTCTGACAGTCAAAAAATCGGAGATACAACTGTTGACATCGACAACTTCTGATACAAATGGGCCTTTAATTGACTGATGACTTGCTGCAGCACAGCCAGCATCAAACTCCCGGCCAGCTCCAAAATCAACCCAAAGAGGTCCAGGCTTGTTCACTGCTAAACAATTCCGAATGCACGCGAATAACAATCAAGGCCATCGTGCACCGGTACTTACCATCACGATAACTCGCAATTTTGCCGTCCAGTGACTTCTTAAATTAATCCTTCAACAGACATCCTCCGAATGATTTAAGATGATGCACTGACAGCAAGGATGGCCTCTCTATGCAAAGAGGAAGTCAAATTTCTTCCTTTAGATGGGTTGATATGCACCCCTTCAAGAGGCGCCAAAGAGAGGTGTTTATCAGCCATTTTCTGTGCAAGGTTCAAGCAACAGGTCCATTGCCCACCATGGACGCCAGTAATCTTCTTTCGAAATCATCCTCTACCGATCCACTACGGCTTGGACGAAATAACTTCTATGGCGGGATTAGCTAAATAGCCTATCCCGTCCCCAATTTCTTTTCTTTTCTTTTCTTTTATTCATGAGACCTTGATTTTCAAGTCTGCGCCAGCGAATTTAGCTTCTGGAACTGGTTAGGGCTTGATTTATTCAGACATATAGACCCTTGGATGACACTATCTGATCGAAACCCATTTTGCAGGGCACGGATTTACCATTTGCTTCTTCGATTCTTCGATCATTCCAGTTGGATATTCACCTCAATGATAAGTTTAGTTAATCGAGAAGCTGAATGGATGGCTCGTACCTTACCTAGAGTGAATCGGCGCACTCGTGGTCTGTCATATACTGCAACACCTCTTCTGATTACATTTCATAACTCGACAAAAAGAATTCCAAAGACACTTCCCTGTGACAGCGGGTCCACATGCCAGAAATTTGCAGTTTTAACCTGTTGAAGTGCGCTCTGAGCCTTGAAAGCTCGATTAATCTAGAAATTGACTCGCCAAGAAGTGACACTTACTTTGATGCTAAATCTCTTTCGTAGGGTTAATTAGTTATCCTGATCTTTGGCTTTTGGCCTCTCGCGAGGTCGAGGCCCGTGCCAAGCGCGATGGTAAACGGCCAAGTTTCTCGTATTGAGTAATCACAAAACATCTGAATAGTAATCTTCTATCTGGGCTGGCACAGATTGGCTTGGGGAGAAAGTTAGAAGTTGCACTCCAAGGCTGAGTTGCGGATAAGCATTGCATCCCCTAGACCCCGCCGTCAACATCGGGTGCTTCATGAACAGTCCAATAATGCTAATAGATTCAATCTCCTTTCTGCCTAGATGCACTTGGGCCGGATTCGATAATTGACTTCAGGCAGACTGTGATCATGATGCAATGTGCAACTAGATCGTGATATTGAACACGCATACATACATATATGTACATAAATGCAATAACTCCCGCTTTCCACTTTTTTTTTTTTTTTTTTTTAAATATATCCACAAGAGTGTACCCTCAATATTCGAAGCAAAGAAGCATTCCATCCAACTCCAATAGCGGAGAGATACCCTTGTCGTTCCATCTTCCAAGATCCTTCAAGCAAACTTTCCATATCAGCGTTTCAAGCTATGGCTTTTCCAGTCTTCATTAACCTCTCAACGACCAAGCTCTCCGCCGCAACTACTTTCTATGAAACAATGGGCTTCATAAAACATCCCTTCTTCAGTTCCGAACATGGCCATGCGATGGTCCATTCCCGCAACCACGACATCGTGGTCATGATTTCCAGTGCGGACCACTTCCAGAAATTCATCCCTGCCTCACGGCGAACCCCAGAAACAACCATTGACGAGGTTTCCAAGAACGTGGTACTCCTCGGCTTGCCTGCTAAAAGCAAGCAGGAGGTTGACGAATTGGTTGAGAGGGCCGCGAGTGCGGGCGGGAAAGCATTTCCTGCCGTCAAGATGGAAGGATGTGATGAAAGCATGATGTACACGCGGGCGTTTGCTGATTTGGATGGGTATTTGTGGGAGATGGTTTGGTGCGAGGAGGGCATGGTCAAGATGGCTGATGAAGCGTTGTCGAAGAGAATAGAGGAATTGGAGAAGAAGAGTGATGCTTGAATTCGTGGCGCTAGGGGGTCCGAGAAAGGATGGAGCGTTCAAACTTACTGATGTGCTGGTGTGATTTGAGGAGATACCCTTTGAGCTCAATGTCATACTTTTGTGTCTGTCTATCGGATACCTGAATCAAAAGCAACTCGAGATATTCGAGACCAAAAAAAAAAAGAAAAAAAAAAGAAAAACCAAAAGGTCATGCATATGCAATGGATATAAATGTGGTCGTGCCATATGGACATCAAATTATCGTCTCATGGCCGTCTCACGCTATTCTCGTAGCTGTATTATTTCTAACGGAGGTATGTTAGCATCAAACCGGACCAAGGGTGGAGAATGGAGGTACCTGTTAAAAACTCCTCGAAGCTCACTGTTATATAACCATCCCGGTCTTCGTCATACTTCTTGAACACATCCGTCATTCTTTTTAACGTCAAGCAGGCCTGAACGAATAGATCAAAGCTCATCCCACCCTTTTCGCCGGATAGAACTGGAGCACCCCTTCCTCGACCTTTATTCTCAAAGGTCTTATATAGGAGATTCACGAACGATTGGCTCAACCTATAGCCAAATGCGACCAGCGCCTTACTAAACTCTGGTAAACTGATGCGGCCACTGCGATCTTCATCAAACCGGTCAAATAATTCTCTCCAGGCAGCTAAAAAGCGCCATAGCGCAACAAATTCATCAAATGTCACCCGACAATTGCCGTCTCTGTCAAACATTCGGATCATCATCTTAACCGTTTGGGGATCGAAAGAAGTATAGTCTCCGTTTACCAGTGCGGATCCTAACTCGTGTTCAGATAATGAGCCTGTGTTAGAAGCGTTCGCGGCACGAAAGAGCGGGAAGAGATCTTGGGGATTGTCGGATGCGGGCACTCCGGGCGCTTGTCCCGGCCGGGGTGTCCGCGGGGGCAAAGAGGATGCGGGAGGGCGGTTCTGCGTTGGGTGCATGGGTCGTGGGCCATGGCCATAGCTCTGTGGAGGAGGTGAATATATTCGATTACCAGTATTCGAACTCGGAACAGGAGGTCTTGAAGCTGGGGGGTAAGTCTGCTGGTGATGTGGAGCATTTGGATGGGCACGCGGCGGAAGTCCGCCGCCTGGTGGTGGCTGACTGTGGGCGTGAGATTGCGGATGGGAAGACCGCATTTGCCCTAGCATCTGCGCAGCCTGTTTTCCTGTGTTACTATGGTGACATTGGAATGCCGCTTCCTCCGGCCAGAAATGCGGAGGTTAATCGCATACCTGCTCCGGCTCTGCATGCCTAAGTTCGGATTTCTTAGCGGTAGCTGTGGAATCGCGAGGGCAAACTGAAGATACTTACGCTGGAAGCGCATCCGGGTTAAATGCGCTATTATACGCCATTGTACGCTGGTTTGTTCAGCACCTCACCGTCGTTCTTGATACTTGGAAGCCTGGAGGAGGGGGTGAAAAATGGGAGCAAGGAGTCGACAACTTTTAGATTGCGTTCGACGAAGACACAAACATTACTGGGCGCAACCGTGGCCTTCACGCTCAAGAGGAGCTCACCAAGCTGGCTAGTGCGTTTGATCTACTCTTTACGCTCAGCTGCCCCATTGACTCTCTTTCGAAACGCCCTCTTTGACGCGGCTCAACAGCAGCTTCTCCCCGCCAAGCATCGCGGGCGCCAAGCTCAGGTCACATGTTTTCCGCATCAAGGTTCGACACCTTTCCTCATTAAACCTAGCCTGTTGCTGCCCTGGATTTCCGCCAGGGGTTAGTAAGCGCTAGCGCTGATTGGCTGGTAAGACATCCCGCCCGTGTACCGTTTTCTCAGGGCGGATGGAACAGGGCATGAATTGTTCGTGACGACGGGCGGCGTGATGGCGATCTGATAATAGACATAGTAGATTTATAACCTGTTCGCCGCGGGTTGTGCGTTTCGTGCTGAATCTAAAGGACAGTCATGGAAGACAGCTCCCAACAGACCTCAGCCCATTCGGTATCCGCCCTGAGTTCATGGCGGCGTTATTTCCCCGACGGAGATGTCTGGGTTTTCGGATATGGGTGCGTGAGTGTTTGCAACTAGTTATCTGCCGCTCGATGTTGAGTCTGGGCTCCGTCCCGGTGCTTTATTGCTTTTTCCTGTTTAAGGAGGTCTGTGCGAGTACCGCTAATGCATTGATGAACAGGAGTTTGATATGGAAACCGCCTCCGCATTATGGTATGTTTCAATACATCAGATGAGGCACCCGAAAATTATGTGTACCGATGAGGAGCCATTACTCCATATTGGGTTCAACTTTACATTTTATTTTTCTCATATTTGCGAATTTCATGAGATACACGGAGAGCATTAAGCCGTGGCCTCCCCGAGATGTAACAAGCCACAACGCTGGTTTGAGTTTCGAGAAGATATGCAATGAGACGCTCCATTACTCCGTACTCGGTATTCTCCTGAGGTTCCTGCTGGTGCTAATTGATTGGAGTTTAGACCGGCGTCTTCCAGGCTATATCAAAGGCTATGTTCGGCGATTCTGGCAGGTATGTCCTGTGTCAACCAACTGTCCAACTTCACACGCCCAGGCACACCATAGCATTCAGCCAACGCGGGTTGTCGTGGTTAAGAGAAGCTAATTTTTATCGTCTCCCGTAATTTTCCCTTGTCAAGGCAAGGTATGGAGCACAGTTCCTCTAGACCTGAAAGTGACATTTTTCTTGTTCCCAACCACGTCCCGTTTTGTTGAAAATACCGTCGGATTCCGGGACCTTTCAGCCGTCAATACGCGTTGCATCCCCTAATCAACATGGATCGGCTGAATGGAAATGGACACCTTTCAGTGCTAATTCGTAATTCTAATACCCAGCGCGGATCACCGTGGCACCCCTGAGTCCAATGGCCGTGTGGTCACAGTCATAGAGCGCTCCTTTTGGGAGACTTTGTCCGATCCTGTTAGTACTCCCTAGGCTCTTTGCCTCCCCGTCTTTCATTTGGGAATAAAGGGTCGCTCTCACAACTTTTTTCTTTTTTTCCCTTTTTTTTTTTTTTTTTTTTTTTTTTTTTTTTGGCTTGTATCCCATTTACAGGCAACAAAACCAGCTTATCCTCAAACCACACAGCATCAAGATGTCCAGCCAAACTCCAACGAATCGTTGGTTTGGGGTGCAGCGTACCACATTCCCGCCTCCCACGCCGAAGAGGTCAACGCCTATCTCGATCACCGTGAAATAAACGGCTACAGCGTCCACTACACCCCTTTCCATCCGTACACGCCTTCAACCCAGGGGGGCGAGCCCGACGCACCCGATCCATCGAACTCATCTCCATCATTCCTCTGCATGGTTTACATCGGCCTTCCAACAAATTCTCAGTTCCTCCGAAACCCGACAGATCGCGATCCGTCCTCTGTGGCGGGTGTGATTGCTAAAAGTCGTGGTCAGAGTGGCGAGAATAAAGAGTACTTGTATCTGCTAGAGAAAGCCCTTGAAGGGATCGGACTGGGCTACGCCGACGCCCATGTTACGGATTTAGTGCGAAGGGTTAGAGCGTTGGAGGGTGTTCGCGAGGGCAGAAAGAGCCAGAGTGAGATTGACGTGGAGAAAATTACTATCCCAGAAGCGGAATATAGGGAAGACGAGGCGATGGAAGAGGTGGATGAACATGTTGAGCGGAAAGCATGATGAAGTGATTGCGATTTGTCCAGGCTAAGCTGTGTTTATTTCCCCCTTATTAGATATTAGACTTGGTCTACATACAAGTTCATAGGTTTACCAAGCAGTTACTGAAGATTTATTTAGAGTAGAGCTAACGAAACTATATTCAGAGCAGAAGCCGAAAGGATCTGAAATTCGACCACCAAGCAGCATTCCCTCATCACCCTTGTTTGCGTACATGCGTACATACACCAATAGAGTAGAAAATGAGAAGCAAGTAGTAGCAATTTCAACAAAAGGAAAATAGTGACAAAAATTCGGGAGCTGGACTTTTTGCCGGGTCAAAATCAAAGAACAAACCAAAACGAAGGACTACAAATAGGAAAGCAAAAGGAATGTTCATCGTACCGCCAGCCCTCGTAAATCCGGAGAAGAGAATCAAAGGCAAGACAGAAAAGGGAATGGACAGACAATATCAGGCCGTGTATTCGAGTAACCACAATTCGGACAAGAGGACCTAGCATGTCAGTCATTAAGAATCGAAAATAAGGAAGAGAAATTAGAGAGCAAATCGTTAGAGAAGCTATCAAGATGCTATCCCAATGCCTTGGAACTTTCGTACATCCCTCCTCAATGTCAGCTCACCAACAAAAGGACATAAGAAATGCAGCCAGGGTTCATCATATGCGAATAGGACTTGGAAAAAGTGAGAAGCAAGACTCGCTTCGGCCTCTAATCGCCCAACTTACGGCTCAGGCAGCAGATCCGCCCTGGTTTTGGTTGGACCAGTTCTGTTGATAGCCGCCCCATCCTATAAATTCCAAGAAGAGACTGGTCAGTTTTGCGAGTGACAATCTCTTGGTGAAGATTAGAAAAGCGAAAATAAAAATCCTACCTCCTCCAGTACCACCCTGACGCTGGTCATAGCCACCTCCATTGTTGCCACCTTCATCAAACACGTGCATCAGCTAGGATCGACTTTTCTGATAAGGTGCTATAACTATGAGGAAGAAAGCTCACCATAACCACCTCGATTGTAACCACCTGCTCCACCGCCTTCGAAACGGCTGTAGTTGCTGCGGTTAAAGCCGTCGTTGCGCGGGCCAGACGGGCGATCAGCAGCCTTGTCAACGCGAATGGTGCGACCATCAAACCTGCATCGATCAACTTTTAATGCTGCCCAGAAATGGTTTATGGAGAAGAGAGCTGCTTTTTGAATGAGAAAATGAGGGAGGTTTTAACGTACTCCTGGTTGTTCATCTCGTTCATAGCGGCTTCCGCCTCGCCCTCACTGGCAAAACGAACAAATCCAAATCCCCGACTGCGGTTGGTATCGCGATCCTTCACGACGATCTATTTCAGTTTAGAATAAGACACTCATATCGCTTTCACCGCTTCGAATTGAACGAGCAGCCCAGGATCATATAATAACTAACAGCCTCCTCGATGCTTCCAAACTTGGAGAAGCCCTGACGTAGGGTTTCATCGGTGGTATGCCATGCTAGGCCTCTTAGGAAGTTGAATTATTAGGTTAGTACTGACGCGAGGGTGCGCAGAAGGCCGAGATGGAATTGAAAAACTAACCCAATGAACAATTTGGACATGATGACACCAAATAGGATAGATTTGATGAATCGAATAGTAGCAAGTGATAGAAATAACTTTAGAAGCAAAGGAGTATGCTGTTAGCTTGGAACCAGAAAAATAAATTGAGAGTCAAAAGGTTGATCTGGGCTGAAGGAACACCAAGATGTGGTGGTAAATTTATGATCGTAATGTTTTTCAGGACGCAAGCATGAATGTTTCACACGTAACAAAGCAAAACAGTGTTGCCGGGAGCGATATACAGGCCGCACGGGATAGGTATGACTCTGCGCAGTCAGGACAAAACAGGAAGAATGTCCAGCACAAGATTCACATCAAAGTGGGGGAGAGAACATGTCAAAAAGGAATCAAGTGATCTAACCCTTTCTGGCAATGATTCTATGTGCACTCTGGATGCTGATTTGAATATGCCGGCTCTGAGTAATAGTCGCAAGGCAGACACTGGCCGGGGAGCAAGAGTGGTGGAAGCAGCCGGTTCTCAAGATGGAGGGGTCAGCAGATGGTTTTAAAGGCCCTGCATCCAACAGGAAAATAAATCCAAGTGGTGCGAGAGTAGACGAGAAAAAGTAAAATATGAGAAAAAATATTCAAAGGTTTTCAACTGAAAAATAAAAAATAATTTCAACTGACAAAGTTGAAAACCTTTGAATATTTTTCAAGCACACTGCGAAGGGTGCCTGATGAGACGACGGAAAGCAACATGACAAGCAGACTCAGCAGAACAGAAAGGCAATCCTTGGCTGCGACAGCAGAGAAGCCTGCTTCGAATACCCGCAGGTGAATGCACTTCCGCTTCATTTATGCGACAGCACTACACTATCCCAGCCCTCGTCGCCCCCGGCCGGCCGTTGGTGGGAAGAGTCGGCTAACAGCTCTGGGGCTAGTGATGGGAAAAGTGTGGGCACTAGCTGCTGGTGTTGACGAATCTCGGCACTCCGTAGGTTTTCCGATTTTCCCACTGGACAGAAAACCATTAGCTGGTGCGTTAATTTCCTCGCGGCAAGGGGTGCTAAGCCAGTCACATCACAGACCCGGGTCGATTCGAACTGGACTGGCTCGGATGCTGTGCCATCTGACGGAATTGATGAAGTCTGTTGCAACGATGCTGATGGAGCACGGATGGCCAGGATCAGGGTCTGGACACGGACGATCGACAGTATGGTATGAGTTATGTATGTCAGCCAGAACTCGCAGGGCAGCCATGGTGATATTTCTCCGTCGATGTTTGGATAAAAGGGCGTGATGCATGCGTCCCAGCGGGAGGGAAGTTGGCTTTCTTTGAGCTGGCCCATGGAAAAGAGGAAAGGTCCCAGAAAGCCCGTCTCGACTGATTGGTTCCGCGGTTCGTACCTCTTGTGCTCCGTACGCCAGGCTCTTCAGCCCGCCTCGACCACATGCGCTACCACATACTTCAAAGGGCGTTTATTCGTCGAGCGAGGGAGCTTGTCCCGCAGCTTGGGCATCTCAGATCGTAAAATGTAAGTCGATGGTTCGATAGAATTTTCACGGATTCTCTTCAAAGGATAAGAATAATGTACGAGCTGGCCAGCCGCATGCTTTTTGAAGCGGTGCAATTCTTTTCGGTTAGGGCCTTCTAACAAGCGTAGTGGTCTGTTCCGGTGATGCAAATAGGCTCCCGTATACTGTTCAGGAAGGGCTTTGTTTTGCTAGTTCTTCTCTTGGGGGATGCAAATGCCAGCAGCACAAACGACCCCCTTGGTACTTACGCCGTTGATGCCCACGGAGCCTGGAGACCGGAGTATTTTTTTTTTTTCTCCCGCATACTGTCATTGGGTCTTATAGTGGTTGTTGGAAATGCCTCGATGCTGGCTACAGGTCAATGAACTTGAAATTTGTTTGTTGTGACACCATCGCGTGTTCAGTCCCAAAAAAAATAGACAATAAAACGCGGATCCACCAGATCTTCCAGATCTTTGAAGTCGCCTCTCTGGGTGGATCCCGGAGATCGCACATTGGGTTGATGGGTTGTCACCCCGGTTTCGGATTAACCAACATTCTGCAGCAAGCAGAAGATATTGTTGGCTCGCCCTTTTTACCTCCGCAATCCCATAGCATAGCTTATCCTGAACAAGGTTAACGGCTGTTCGATCGCTTTAGCCGCCATGGCCCTACGGGCCTACTCTCAAACGTCGCCTGGCTCCATTGGAATTATGTCAGCCCTGTTGAATGTGTGCTGGACCGGCACGGCCCATGCTACATGTTCAAGGTGAGCATCATATCTGCTGGCTTGGAATGCGTGTGTCAGCATGCAGGCCCGCGGCCAGTCTCATGTGCTTCACAGCTGCTCCCCGGTGGTCTCCCGAGGGCGATGCCGGCCGGATGGCGAAGTGAGTTGGTGGTCGTGCTGTCGTCCCGAGCACCGTCGTCAGCGGTCGTCGTCCGGCTTCCCTCTGCCCGCGCGTGTGACTTGCCCTTTTGGGAAATGGCAACGGCGTGTCAGGACACTGCCGCCGCCATCTTCACGGCAACCTGCTGTGAGTCCGCCGGCGTGTCTTGCGTTCACTGCTCTTCTCGACGAAACCAGACGGTTCCCACAGGCGTTGACCGGTAAATACCAGCTATGCCGGAACCTGGCGTTTCGCGACGGAAAAGCGTTGTCCAGTGGCTGTCGCAGGTCGATCCCTTGGATGGTGTTCCTCCTGTTGAATCCTACGCTGCGATACATCCGAACCCGTATCAGTCCTCACATGCCTTGGAATGCCACGTTCCAGCTAGACAGTCGGATGATATGACGTTGCGGGGTGGCCGAGGTCAATTTCCAATGCTCCCATCCCTATTTTGTTCCCAGAAACTCACCTCGTACCTACATTCAGGGAACACTACGCGACTCGGCGAGACAAGATCTCACTCAAGAGAAACTCAGGTTAGCGGAAACAACTTTCATTTCTACAAATTTATAGCAATGCATCACGATCGTAACACTCCCAAAACTAACAACTTGTTCACGTTCCAGCGTTTTGCTTTTCCCGCTCCGCACAGCCCAGTTCAATACAGTCCCACAAGGACGGCCGTTGGCGATACTATCGAGCTACCTCTCCCTGAAAAGACATACGAGAAGAAGCCTAGAAGAAAAACGCGAAAAGATCGATACGATCCGAAAGATGCAGCAAAAACCCACAAGGCAACTAAATTTGCTGGAAACACCACGTCCAGCAGACCCGAAACGACGAAGTGTAAACACAGAAAGAAACTTCTTGAGGATCAGTTTGTTGCACCGAATGTGTCGCAACAGCGCATCACGGTAGGGCGTCATCCCCCAAAAAGGGCCCAGTTACTGAAAATACTAATTATTCCCCTGAAAGCTTGGCTCAAGCTTTGATATGGGATTGTTTGCACGCGGACGTGCTTCTTCACCAGTAAGACGATGCGAACGTGAGTTTACATACTGAAAGTATCTCTATACCTGCTTATATGCTAATCATTCTTAGCAGTACCCGACCTTGCATTTTCAGAGATGAGATTTTTATCTCATCGCAGGCAGCACCAGCCCCTTAACACTGTTGATAAAAGCAAACGTAACGCATCGATCAGGCCCCCAGTTGTGGAGATATCAGAATATTTCTCTCGCCCGCAGTCCACGGGAAAGCCTGCTAAAAGCTGTCCTTCCGCTATTCTGCAGCAAAGGCCAGAACCTTTGAAATGCGGAGACGTATCAAATTTCGCTAAACAAGCCGGTATCTCTAAGGATGATTCACCTGCGCCGCTAGCAGATCTATGCCATGGTTTGGAAACGAAAGATTCACACAGCGTGAAGCGGTCAAGGCGGTCCACAACTTATTATACTTGGTCCGACACTAATGCTAAGGATAGCCCGAAGAGTGACATCAAAACTGGGGGTGATGAACTACACGGTACCACACATCAAATTTCTGCCCGAGATGTGGCTTCCCGACAGGATTTTTGGACGAAAGTATCATCCGCCGAAGATGTTTCTGGACATGATCCGTGCATTATATCGAAAGTCTATGACATGGTTTTCAAAAACGCCTACTTAGGCCAGCCGTACGAGATGCCAGCATCATCCGGTTCACAAATCTACACATTAGAGGAATTGCAATCGTTAGCAAGCCGACATCTTTCCTCCGCCCCCATATCAAAACAAGGTGATAGATATATTTCGGAAGCAGACCAAGTACAAACCAAAACCGACGACTACCCTGACAAACCGGGAATTATCTCCAGTGGGTACCAGGGCATTTATTGTCAAGGAGAAAATTCTATAACGGGAACCGCCTGCCCCAAGGACCGGTTTGCGAGGACTATGCGGAGTTTAAAGGGACTAGAGGTGGAAAAAGAGCCCCCAAGTCTGGCCTCCCACCAAGATCTTTTCGTTTGCCATAATGAGCCTACGTTTCTATTTGACAGTCATGACAGAGGAGCGTCCACTTCGAAGCATGAGTATCCGAAATTCCCTATTGGACTCACTGAAAAGTGCCCCGGAGGACTCCGACATGGGTACTCGCGTCCTGATCGGAAAGGCACCCTGGAACGTAAGCCGTATAGTCCATCAGCGTCCGGGACGTGGATGGCCCAAATAAATGTCGTTCCTGATACGAGACTCGACCACGGCGACTTGAATGCACAGAACGAAGATCCCAACCTGACAACTTTCTCAGGACGCGCGTTGCTCGATTTAGCGGATACGGATATAGATACTTTGCTACCCCTGGATTTTAGAGCGTTCGGTGAACCGTCGTTGGATGGAAAATGTACTCCCAAAACGTTGAACACTCTCGAGGAACCCAAAGGCCCTTCCGACCCATACCCATATGTGCAACAGTATAGCAATATTAACCCTGGTTATGGATTACCAAGCTCTCCAGCTGGCAACGCGCCGTCGTCATCCTCGCTTTTTCATTATCCCCGACATTTGCTCAGTCAAATTCAACAAACTCCTGTTCATATCGATCCGATCCCAGATTTATCTCTATTCTGGCGTCCAAACAAGCTATACTAGTTACAAGGCAGATGGTTCTATCACTTGGAAGGGTGTCCGTTGTCATCGAGGAGTGGTCGCCTTGGAAATCAACTGATCGGGAATAGTGTTGCCCATGCTCCGAACAATGCAAGCCTCTTTGTTTGGTTTATTGGGAACTTGTCGATTCTTTTACGATATCATTTTAACCAAAAAGTTTGAAAAGATTGACGGTCGATCTCTCCCGAAACCCAGTGCCTATGCTACCAAGCGTGTGCATGGCTATTGGAAAGGCCCCATTCTTCCCAGGAAAATGGCTGCGGCGACAATCAATACGAGAGATTACGATGCGCTTTTGGATTTTTTAACTATTCCCTTGACGACTTGTCAGATTCTTCAAGCATGAGCCCAGGCAGCAACTTTCTTTCTTGGCAAGCGGAAGTACATCATTGCCAACTGCACGAACGGCCGCTGACAGCCAAACGACTGGGTGTTTGCTAGACCTGAGGCCAGTAGGATATTGAGCTTGCAAAGCGAGAAGTCACCATGAGCTTTACGATATCTGCGTCAGCACACACGTACTCCTAGGTCTCCCCGCCTACCGATTTTTGACCGTTTAAAAGCACGAGCGGCCATTTTGGACGAGAAAAAAACATGGCCCTCACGATCCAACGTCGACAGCGATTCACCGAGAAAGAATGGCTCCTATCGCTAAACAATACTTTCGGAATGCAGCCAAAATTGTAGGGTATTCGAAACTCTATAACTTCATTCTTTGGTTCGTTTTTGGCGGTGCCCTTCTTGGATTCACTTTTGCGCGCCTTCAGTACCTTCACCTCGACACCTACGCAAAAGAATCAGCACCAGGCGAATGGTATTACGCACATACGGGTCGGGATCGAGTTGGGATTGTTCTCCATCTGGCTACCATCTTGCCCTGTGCGATTCTTGTGGTTTTCCAGTTCACCCCAGTAATCCGGCGACGATGGGTCACGTTTCATCGTATAAATGGATACATTATCTATATCCTATTTATGGTTTCGAATGCTAGTGCGCTTATGATTATGCCGCATACATTTGGTGAAGGATTGGATGTCCAATCATTCACGGTTATGCTCGTCGCTGCTTGCACAATCAGTGTCGGTATGACCTGGTACAACATTCGTCGATTACAGATCGAGCAGCATCGAGCGTGGATGTTGCGCGCTATGTTTTATATGGGGTGCATTGTGACCATCAGACTCATCCTCCTGATTTTAGCCGTGGTCATTAGTCGCATACAGCCTTCCCGACATGACGTGTGGTCTTGCGAACAAATCCGGTTTACATACGAGCAGCGCGAGTCCTTTACTGATGTAGCAGAAGTGCTGGCACAACGATATCCGATTTGCGCATCTGCTACTTCCCAAAATATGAGCTCGACCTTCACGCCAATCGAAGCGAGTCTTCTTGCCGACGATGTCGCGCAGAAAGGCGCGGCGCTAGATTTGAGCTTTGGTAGCGCTGGTTGGATTTCCTTCTTTCTTCATCTTATCGGAGTGGAGATTTATCTCCGTCTTACTCCGAGAGAAGCTGAGCGTTTGCGCGACGTGAGCTTTGAGAGACAACTGGCGGCTGGGTATGAAAACCCAGGTAGTTCAGGGTTAGTGATCGAGAATTGGGGAGATGCAAAACAGTGGAATCGGGGATAATAGGAAACGAGGGTTGCTGTGATCGTTAAAAACAAAGGGGGAGATCATAGTTTTGTTTATTCCCCATAGTTTTTGTTGAATTACAGAGCTAACCGAATCTCAAATAAGATATCGTGGATTTTATACTCTGTACTCCGTAGGGATCGTTAATACCCTGAAATTACCTACCTAGTCACAATAGAAAATCATGCCCTTTGTTGCTTGTAGAGCATGCTCA